GGATAAACCTCCAAGAGGCAAAGACGTCTGGAATCGTCTTGCCATGGTGCGTTTCACCATTCCAAGATGGGACATTCAACCACCAATCAGCACATGTCTTTAATGGGACTGAAAAAAATAGACCCTCTGGTAATTTAAACATTGCCCATTTATAGATGATTAATTTATTAACAATGGTGGTTTTCCATAGTAAACTGTGAACGTTTACTGGAGGGTAATGAATCTGATTTCCCGGTGACAAAGGATCGACTTTGCGTGCCCAAGATCTTCATTGTTGGGGGGCACTAAAGTACGCGTCCAACCTCAAGGTTGACCCTGGCTATCCCGACTGCCCAAGATCTTCACTTCAGGGCACAGTGGTCTCACCCTTCACGATCACGAAAAAGTGATTGCCCGACTCCCCTGCAGCTACAGCAAAACTCGTTTTAGAACTCAATGGTCTGCGTCAAAAATGGGTTTTGAGCCAACCAAACAGTGGGGATTTTAATCAACCAATTGGTCAAGCAACTGGGGTACCCTAACATTGAAATCATGTAAGATCATGTAATATCGTTTGATATCAAGATATATCAAGATATATCACGAACCATATTGCAGATCATCACTGGGTCGACCAGTTTCATACCCATTCATTGCAAGGAAGGAAAAAAGACCTGGGCCGTTTGAGCCTGCTCCTTAACATGAAAGTGTAGATCTACAATTGACATACCCTCTGGTAAACTAACAGTTTGCTATTGAAAATGGCCATAGAAATAGTGGATTTACCCATTAAACATGGTCATTTTCCATGGCTATGTTAGTTTACCAGAGGGTAATGATTGTGTTTTTCAAGGCTTGAGTGTGCGGTGAAGGATCCATGTTCTTCTGACCAAACACATCCAAACAGTACTTCTCAGAAACAAAATGTTGTTTCACTTTATTGTGGTACAGATTTCGCAACATGATTCATGCGGAGGTTTCCTAAAATAGGGGTACCCCTAAATCATCCATCTTAATAGGACGTTCAGGGATTTTCCATTATAAACTATCCATTTGGGGGTACCCCCATTTACGGAAACCACCATGTTTTATTTGGGGTTCTTTCTGATATAATGTTCCCACTGGCCTTGCCGAATCACGACCTCACCGTATATGCACTTCCGATCTTGCAAGGACCTTGGGGTGCTGAATGCTGTGGGTGGAGAATATGGGGGAAGGATGGCTAAGGTCAAGATTTTCATGGAGCTAGATGGGATTTTCCATGAAATAAACCAACCATTTTGGATACCCCCATTTATGGAAACCCCCATTTATGAGGAGCAACCAATGTTCCGGGATGTTCCGGGTACCCTCATAGGAAGATGCAGAAAATCCTCATATTTTTCACATGTGTCCAAGAGTGGGTGTGATGAAATACTGGACAGGAGTTGCGACCAAGATGGGGATCATGGGGAAATCGCAACGAAGCTCATACCCAATCTTTCCAACATCTTTCGGTCTGTGTTTAGGCACGTTTCTCCCTCAGGCTGGTTAGATCTCCCAATGCTGGCAGCGTTTTGGACATGCCAATAGTTTTTCTCAGACTTCAAACATGTGACATACCTTTTTTATCCTTTTTTGTTCAATTCAGTCACCATGTTTCAATAATGTCCTTTTGGTAAAAATAGAGGGGCCGGTTTGGCATACCATCTATCATCAAACAGACCTGTTGCTAAAAGGTTTTCTGAAGAAACCCCTCTAGTCACCAACCAATGGGAATTTGATGGAATTTGGGACATCCATGCTATGTTTTCTTGGGTTGAAACACCAACAACAAACATAGTCCAATATGGATCCCAAACAGCAACCATCCGGTCCCAAGGTCCGAGTCCGACTGAGTCGATGGCATCACAACTCTTTCGGTTTGTTGCTTGTTCAAATGCCGGAAGATGGGTACCTGATGCCACGGAAACTGAAAAAAATGACCCACCATTTTGGAGGTGTGGAATTTGCAAATGCTTAGATGGTACTAGACCACATCCATTGCCATTTGCGATACATTTCTCACTATCAACCATCATTGATGGCAAGGTCCGATCTAGAATCCATGACCGACCGCAGCGGCATTTTCACATGCACAGTTCGCCCTCACACTCGGTCGCCCGGGTGTGCAACGGGTAGACAAGTATTCAAGGCGTTCTTCCAGCAAGTTGGTATGCTGGATGAACACGTCAGATACTTTGCGATCAGCACGGTTCGGCTGAAAGCGGCTAGAACTCGTCACCATAGCCTTCCTCTTCGCCTGCACGGTTGTTGCCCGAATGGTTATGCGCAACATGATCATGCACAAAAAGTGTTTGTTTGATATCGGGTGTTAAAAAAAAACATACTATATATAAATTATATATATATATATACAGATTTGAACCAAGAAAACAATCATATGCAGAAACGTACAAAAACAAACAAAAACATATGACAACCAGGAACATTCCAAGGCATGTAGCACAGCCAAACAAACTCTATATAAATGATTCCAGATACCAAATGCGTCTTTGAATGGTAGGGTGCCAAAACCTATTTTGAAAACAAATTATAAAATACATTTAAATAGTATAAATGTTTATTGTTTCTGAATTTGACACGTCAAATTGGAAAAAAAAACACGAAAGGTTTTCCAAAATACCACCGGCCTTCGCCCTCTGCCGTCTCGATGCCCACCTAAGAATGGTCGAATTCGACCAATGACGGCCACATGACAAAGATGCTGCCACATCGCCGAAACAATAGAAATTACAAGTTTGAAAGGAGAATTGGGTAACATGCGTTTGCAATCGTTTGCACAAATTTGTACATCAAAATCTGGACAAATTTGCCAAGAAATGCTCGGGAATCCAACACATGATGCCTAGTTGATTTTCAGTCCCAAATAATCATGGTGGAATCTCAAACTGTCATGGAATTTCATTTTCTCTGGGTATTCTTGTCTGTTGCTGATTAATTTTGTCATGCGCCCGCCTCTTCGTAATCCTTCTCCAAGGCAGCAAGATCTTCGCGGGCTTCAGAGAACTCGCCCTCCTCCATGCCCTCGCCTACATAGTGGTGGACAAAGGCACGTTTCGAGTACCTTAGCCAGATATAATTTGATTGCTGACGCTGCACCTCAGGGATGGCAGCGCCAAGTGGCACACGGCCACAACTCACATCTTCTCCAAAACCTTGCTTCGCACACTGGACATGTGCGCAAGCACCTCAGCATTGAAATGGTGACCACTCTGCAGGGATGGCCAACCTAAACGTCTCTGCATCAAATCCTGCGGAATTGCAGGTCTCACTTCATCAAAGGCACCGCAGTACCAGCATAAGTGGTCCCAGGCTGGGACACTAGGTTCCTGACACCAAGGACAAAAGTTGTCCACTGCACCAAGCCGCAAGCTTTGATACATTGCAGTGCTGCAAGCAGCACCTACCATGACAGCCTTGCCATGACCATTTTGTGACTCAAACATCTGTCTCGTTAATTTGAAACGCTCTTCATCGTAAAAAAACAAATCCTCTGAGTGCTGTCGCATCTCGACGTTTACTCTTCAGCCAAGCAGAAAAATGCGTAAACCTCCATGTTTCACGAATACCATGATCAAATTTATCCAGCAAAAACTTGAAACGCTCCTGGTTGGGCATATCGAGGAGTTCCATCCAGTCCATAGAGAGCCGACATGCAGCATGACACCATTTCCAAGGTCCAGCGACCTGCCACCCAAACTCTGAAAGCCACCTTTGAACGGTGTGCAACCATGTACCGCATTTTGGCTGCTCATACCAGCGGACACGGCCCGAGATGGCCATTTTGCGCAAAGCGCTTGCAACTAGAGAGCCAGCCACGAAATGAAGGTCAGAAGTGTGCCCATCCAAAATACATCTCAAATCAGGTGAGCCCAGTGCGTGCACAAACATGAACTTGCGATAAGCAGCCTGCAGGGAGGTCATCTTTGGCATGTGAAAGAAACACCCCCATGCTGCCTTGGGGACAATGCGAGTCCGCCACAACATTTTCTTGGCCTGAAGAGGCACCGCTTTGGTTTTGCAGAGTCTCCGTGCTTGAAGCTCAGCAGCCTGAACACGCTTATTTGCCGTAGAACGAGAAGCCATATTCAAACGATCACAAAAATCGATGCCCAACACCCTTGCTTGTGAGGTCAGCGTTTGCCGAGGAAAACCCACCTGCAGAAGTTCAGCATGTTGAGCCTTTTGACGTGAAATGATCTTCAGCTTGGACATGTTCTCACGAAGGCCCAAGACCTTGCTCCACCACTCCCAAGTCAAAAAGATGCGGCGCGCCTGCGACGGATTGACTGCCACATAGGTCCTGTCATCAAGAAAAACAGCTTGGACAAAGTTTGTACGTTGTTCCTGCAGAGCCACATCCCGTACTGGAGAGGACAGCAAAACATTCAGAGTCAAAGGCGAGAAGGAGTCACCCTGGGGGAGACTTTCTGAGACAATTGAAGCTTGGGGCAAAAAGTTTTGACCCAACTGAAGCCAGCGGTGTTGATCCAGCCACACATGGCTCAACATGGCACACCAAACATCAGGGAAACCAGCCGCTTCCAAAGTCTTTAAAGCCAGACGAGGAGCAACCATGTCAAAGCACTTACTGTAGTCCATAGTCACCAAAATGGAACTTCTCTTTTGGAATGCCTCTTCCAAAGAAGAGACCGCTGTGTCAATGCCACGGCCAGGAATACCACCGTGAGCTTCAGGTGGTAGGACTTGCTGCAACCATCGAGTGACGTTGGCATGACGTGTGATACTTGAAGCAACCACTCTCCAAAGGATAGATTGCACACAAATTGGGCGCATGTTCGAGCCGTGCACTGCACCACCATCTTCAGCAGACATTTCTTTTGGCAGGTGAACCTGCCTCACATGTTTCCATGCTTCAGGCCATTGTCGACGTGCCTGCCAACGGGCCAGCAACTTGGCATACACCTGCCAAGCACGAAGCGGCCAGGCGGCAACTTCGTCTCCAGTCCAACCGTCCGGTCCCGCGCTGGAACCAGAAGATTTGTGCGCGCTCATCCACAAATCTTGAGCATTGATGTTGAAGGAGTCTAACTGGGATCGGCGCCCCTCCCGCTGCCACTGCTGCAAAGCGAAGTCCAGATCGACATTGCTGTATCGATACCAAATAGAGTCCCAGAAACCTTTGAGTTGCTCAAGGCTATCGTTCGGACCATATGTAGACACGCGCCGCCCACCACTGTCATACAAGAGAGAAGGCGAAACAACATTGGCATGATTGTTCAACCATTTTGTGGCCTCACGGCCACCTTTCAGCATGTTCCGCTTCCAAGTGTCTAGCCTCTGCTGCTTGGCAAATTCAGCAACGGCTTGCATTTCATCTTCCACTCTTTGCTCATTGATTGTCCAATCAGCAGAGAAAGCAAGGCTATTCGGCCACGTGCGCTTGATGTTCTGCAACAAGTGTTGAGGACTTCGACCAGCATAAAGTTGGCGTTGATATTCCCTGATGCGACCAAGCAGTTTGGCAAGTTTACGCCAACGAAAGGTTTTGCAGTTGCTTTTGAAATCCACGTCAGTGGATGGAGCAGCGAAGACAGGAAGGCTGCCCTTTGGACGGATGCAAGGTGGCCGCGCCTTTTGCACATTCAAACTTTCCAATGCACGCATAGATGCTGCTTCAGCCATTTGATTGAACTCCAACCATTCCTGTTCAGTATTGCTCTCGCGGGGCACCCTCACATGTTCCCACGCTTTGTCAAGAGCTGTTGTCCAGTCGTTAAGACTCACATTGCCAGGCAAAAAAGACCTTGTCCCTATCATTCGCATTGCTGGATCCACATTGCAAGCAGCTGTAAAAGTACCCTGCAAAATTTTGTGGTCAGAAAAACTCTCATCTCGGTAGGTCAGGTTGAGGCATTCCACTGACCGTGTCGTCTGGAGATAGTCAACACACCTATCCCCATCCCATCTGCTCGCGACAGGTTGACCCTCCTCATGCACATACCAGAGAAGAAAATCATCGCTCTTCGAAGGAGGAGGTTCGTTCCAATCACCCATCATAATAATAGGAAAACCATGTTGCTGTGCAGTCACAACATCATGCAATTCAGAATGCATACCCGTTGCGGCTGTGCGTGGCCGTTGATAGACATTGATGACCATGAAAGTGCAAAAATCCACTGCCAAAAATTCGCCAAATTCAGTTGAGCTGCCACACTGGTGCGTAGCGCGCACATCCTTCCGGGCCAAGAGGCACACACCGCGCCTCTGAAGCTCATTTCCACGAGCATCAAGCCGAGGTGGTAAAGTAACGTGCCAGGACCTGTATCCACGAGCCATTGCAAAACGTGAAAACTGCTGGGCTTCACGCTCATCCATGTTTGTTTCTTGCAAAGCCACAACATGCGGCTTGTTCTTTTCAGCTGCCAGTAAATCCAGGAAACGATAAGCACCTTCACGACCACGGACATTGAGGCACCAAAAAAGACAACACGGGCCAGGATTCTCCTCAATGTCGCCGTCCTCCACCAGCCTACGTTGCCACCTGGTTTTCTGTAGGGCTGGCTGCTTCAAGACATCTTGCTCATGCCGCTGGAGCCGCCAGGCCTGCGTCAAAAGCTTCCTTTGCTTTGGTGACCATTGTTGCCAGTTTTGCCGCCGCTTTCTGCTATTCAACAAAACAGCTCTGCCTTTTTTCCCAGGGCATTTCACATTGCATCCTTGTCTGATTCTTCCAAAGAACGCACTTGGACTACACCACATCTGTGCACAAGATTTGCATGCATATGCGGTAACACCATAACCAGCTGTTGTGCGGAAGTCCGGCATCGAAACAACTTGGTGACCATTTTCTTGGGCAACCTTTGTAAAGTCATTGGGCACAGAATTCAAAAGGTTGCGCTCTTCGGGCAGCAAACACCACGCCTTTGCCAAACGTTGCCTCCAAGTAGGGTAGTTGGACCACAATTGAAGAGTGCTTTTCCTGCGAAGTTGTTGACGGCGGCCTCGGTTTCCAGGGCACTTAACTCCTTTCTGTTTGTTGATTTTGTCTGCATATCTCTTGACATCGGCCAGGGAATTCCAGAAACGCGTGCAAGCAGAGCAGACCACCGTAGAATAACGCTCTTTATCGCCAGGACAATAGACAAGGGTGTGCCCGGTTGTTTCCCCGTACACACGGCACTCTTCTCTGCAGTTTTGGACGAAATTATGTCCCATCCATCCAGCTTTGCTACGTCTTCTTTTCTTTGCATTTGTGTTCCTTGTTGCATTTCTTGGAGCCTGACCGCATTGCTTGAAGTGACACGTAATGCTCAACCTCTTTTGGGGCTCAGGCATCGATGGCAGCCCTTGACCACAGTATTCACAGATCCAAACACCTTGGCGAGGAAGTTCACCAACAGGTCGGGTAGGGACAGGATCATAGTGCGTCCTCAAAGTATGAAAGGATGACTTTGGCATGTTGGGATGAACATTTCTGATATGTCCGTTTCGCTTTTTAGATAGCAAAGAGAACTGCTTTGCTCGGAGTGTCCGCATACAAACAGGACAGTGCCACGTGCAAACTTCGCTCAGGGAATCTGGAGGGCCATCATGACCTCGGCCATTGGTGCCTCTTGTCAAAGGAGGAGGTGCTTGAGAATGAAACGCTGAGGATATGGACTGATTTTCCCCAGGTCGAATTCGTCCACCCAAACGCTTCCGGACGGAAGTTCTTGTTCCAGCTGACTGTGTCTCCAGCTTTTGCTTGAGCTTCTTCTGGACGCTTATTCTTGTGCCAGCAGAAGAAGACTTTGCCGCACCACGAAGGCCAACATGAGGACCGTCGCACACAGTGGTGAAGCTTGGTGGCGACTCAGCAGAGTCTGGGATCAAGCTCGTGTAGTGCTGGCTGCTTTTGTCATACTTCAAAAACAAAGCTTTTCGCTGCCCGTTTCGATTGAAAACATATACCATGTCATCAGCAGGAGAAACAACGTAGATGGGTCTGTCTTGCGTATTGGAAAAAGCAGTGACTTCAAGCGCACTGCCCCAGGCTTGGGGTTTTCCCACTTCTTCCAAGTACTGTTCGAACTTGCGCTCTTGCATAACATGGTCACCCTGCTGAGGGTGACAGCCATCCCAGTGCCGACTGTAAGCCTCAGCATACTTGGTGAGGTGTGCAACACATGCTGCTCGGCATTGCAAAGGCGTTTTGCTACTGGCGCCTGCATGTTCCAAACTTTGTGAGAGCGACCAAAAAAGGCAGTCGCCATTTCCAGGGTTGCTTCTTTCGGTAAAACCTCGGAGGCTGGTATCAGCCTTCAGCTTTTTCGGTGGCTGTTTCTCAGGTGAAGTGCTTTGAGCTCGTTTTGTAGCTCCCTCCATTCCAGCATCGTCCTCATCCTTTTCTTCCATGGGTGTGTCTGGAATTGTAGCAGGCACTTCTTGTTCTTCGACTTCCACCGCTGATGCAGTGTGCTCTTTGCGACCAAAATGGACACGTCGTTCACCTGGCAAAGGCATAGTCACACGACGCTGCTGCTGTCGTCGCCCTTGAGTACAGACTTCAATGGGAGTCTCACCATATTTGACAGTCAAAACATCTTTGTCGTCAGACCGCAAAGCTTTGAAAGTATATCCAGTGTATTGTCTCCAACGGAATTTTTCCAAAGGTTCAAAATCAGAAAAACCCGCAGAAGTGAGCACGTTTTCAATGTCTTCCACCCCCATAAAGCGGGGTATCCCAGTGGCTTTCCAAATACGAGGCCTTGGCGAATTGCTTGAAGAAGGAATCTGCCGTACACCTACATGTCGGGTGCCAAGTCTAACACCCAGGTCAGACAAAACTGCTTGTTTTTCAGCTTTGGCTGCTTTCTGTTCCATAGTCAAACTCACATCCTGTACCCAATGTGTCTCAGGGAGTTTGTCAAATGGCTTGGACAAAGGAGCATCAAAACGCAGTGGCTCAAAATACCAACGATGACACCGATGGCGTTGGCCACTAGCTCGCAGTAGCGCAGGGACTGCTCTCAGGTCAACTCTCATTACACCAGAAACGATTTGACCTGACAAGTTCCATCCCCATGTGTCCCCAACTTGAGTTAAGGGACAACTCTTTGACCATTGAATCCAGGAGCGGACAGATTGTCCGGGATTTCGCTGTAATCTTTCAAAATTGGCCACCAAATCTCTGTGGGTGGCTGCTCGCAAAACTACCGTCTCAACTTTTTTCCCATCACTTTTGATTGACACTTCTTTCCGGTCAAATTGCGGCGCATCCGCGCCTCCTTTTTTCAGCAAACAAACTTTCGGTTGCACAATAGCTCCTCGCACCAGCATAGGCACTCTCGCAATGCAGCTTGTGGAATCTAAACTAGTGGACAACTCATGCACCGGAAAGGACTCTGGCAAAACAAGTGTGGCTTTGGCAGTTGGGAAAGCTTTAAGAAGTGCCCACATGTCGGCCGCAAAATCGCTCTTCACAGGAGCGAGCACAACTTTTTTCTCTGTCTGCAACAGCTTCTCAAGCTCATCTGACGTTTGAGCTATCTTGGCATTCCAGTCATCTGCTCTCAACTTTCCCGGCAGCTGTTGGTTCACTGCCGGTCCTTTCTCTGCGTTCGTGGGTTTTTTGGGCTTGCCACGGACAACTGTAACCCAATCGTTTTTGGGTTGCAATGAGGCACCATTCCAGTGACTGTGTCTTTTCTCAGCTTCTGCACGAGTGAACTTCGCCACCAGTGCTTTCAGCTCTTGCAACAAATTTTTTGGCTGTCTCTGAACCAGCTTTTGTAGTTCCTCCAGCAACTGTTGTTCACTATCCACACCATTTGCAGCGGGATCACTTTCACTTTCGTATTCTGCTAAGCACTTGGACAAAATTGCCAGCAGTTTGTTTGAGCCACCTGTGACGGCCCCACCTCGGAGGCTTGGAAAACAAGTATGTTCCGCTTGCACATCTGTTTCTCCTTGACTTTTACATGGAGAAGTTGGGCGGGTGGTCTGCTCAGTCGGTGTTTGCGGCAATTGGCGGCTAACACCGCGTTCGGCTGCGCCCCAGGCGGAAGTTTCGACAGTAGTAGCGTAATAGCTGGCTAAGGGAAAGTCGCATGGAGCTTGTTGTGCCCCCGGTCGCATCACCGCCCTCCAAAATCTTTAAACTCTTATATATTGGTTTTTAAAGGTGACTTACAGTCCCCACTCCTGGCACACAAAACGGACTTGAAAATGTGATCCGCGATTGACCGAGATGGATGTTTTGTACAGCTTTCAAGAAGCATAAACTTTGTTCCTCCTGAAGGGTACAAAAAGCTTATTTACTGCGAATTGCCAGTCATCTGCTGATTTTTGCACGTGGTTCAGCTTGGTCATTACTACACCTAACATGTCTGTCTCCATTCTCTTTGCCTGCACTGCTACACATGTGAGTTTTAAATGGATTTAGGATTTGTACAATTAAATAATCACTTTGCATTCCCTTGCCTCGGCAACCAAGTGGCTCAGAAAAAAAGCTGCATGACTTGATAACTGCTGACACGCTTTTTACATTATACACTATTAGAGAAATGTTTTTGATGTGTATCTTTTGGCAACACAGCTGAGGATTCGACCGTCCATCGTTACAAAGCCAAAGCCAAGTATTTCTCCAGCGTTCAATGTTGCAAACGTTGCAACCATGCAAGCTCTGAAGGTTCAATGCAGTTGCACTCGGAAATGGAAAACAGCCATCTGCTATGACAGTTTCATGGTATGGAACTGCACATTTCCAAACCCCCTCACAACTGAAATTGAAACCTGAAGGCATTAACTTCCATGTCGACGTATCCAACGTCTGAACTAAGCTCTTGGCTGCACGATGGCTCTAAAAGCACTGAGAGCATGCACTCAAGACTCTATGGTACACTCTGCCATCTCCCGTCCACACAGGCTTGTAGAGACTGCAACGAGTTGACTGATGCAGTGTTCTATCATCACCAATGTGCAAATGCAAATCTTTACCAGGACCTGAGATCTGCACACATGAGCAAAGACGGAGCGCAAGGTTTCCCTTCGTCTCAATGCGCCGAAGGTGATGGCATCCAGCATAGTGGTATGCTTTGCCATTCCCAACTCTGAAAACCTTGGTTTCTGTGATCTTCGGCTCGCTCTCTGCTGAAGCTGGGGACTCGGCTGACATTGACCTGACAAAAACGGGCTCATCCGGCAGGCTCATAAAAGACTCTCAGTCTTTCAGGCGGAGTTGGCGGCGGTGACTTCTCCAAATTGGAGGCTGCTGATCCCGACGCCTTTGGCTCAAGTGCGACAAAATAACTTCAAGACTTTAAGATAAGGTTTTGAAAGTTTATATTACATGGTTAATAGCTCACTGTTCTCACAGTAAAGAGTATTCATTCATGATAAGGAGATATGCACTTCATGATTGCGAAATACACTCGTGAGATCTCGTGAGACTTCTTTGCTGTGATTCTTCTTTGCTGTGGCTCTTCCTTGCTGTGATTCTTCTTTGCTGCGAGGCTTCTTTGCTGTGAGACGTCTTTGCTGTGAGACTTCTTTGCTGCCGTCCTTTGACTTGGTGGTGGTTGTGGTAGTGGTGGTGGTGATGGTGGCGGTTGTGATAGTGGTGGTTGTGGTGATAGTGCTGGTGGTGGTGATAGTGGTGGTGGTGGCAGTGATAGTGGTGGTGGTGGCAGTGATAGTGCTGGTGGTGTTGGTGGTAGTGCTGTTGGTGGTGGTGATAGTGCTGGTTGTGACAGTGGTAGTGGTGATAGTGCTGCTACTGGTGCTGGTGGTGCTGCTGGTGGTGGTGGTGGCGGTGGTGACTTTCAAGTGTCCGTAAAACGGAAGAATAGACTTGGAAACTTCCTTTGATAATATGATTAATTTATATTAATTTAACATTTAATGATGAACCATAGAACTCCTGTTCTACTGAAAGTTCTTGCGGATCAAATTGAATGACCCTTCAGACTTCAAAATCTTCAAATCCAACGATGGCAGAACATGAAGGCATACATACACCCTACACACCTCACCCACTTCTGTGAGTCTTGCCCAAGGATTTTCTCATGGACGTAGATGTTCCAGGCAACCCAGGCGCGAAACGTGCAAGCAGAATGTCAGCAACTTATGGGAACATGACCAATCCCGCCTACCCCCACCAAACCTATTTCCACACATCAGAGTCAAACAGCCCTTGCAGAACGAATAAAGCTCAAATAAGTTTCTTAGGAAAAACAAAGCCAATTTTCTCATGGACCTGTGCACGTCACATCCAAACGTTTGTACCCCATTTTGACTATCCCAAGCCCACTCCTTACTACCTTGGTCAAACTACCCACTCCTTATATAATTTGTCCGTTACTCATTTGAAAACCGCGCTGCATCAAGTCGAACTTGTGGTCAATGCGGGAGAAGACCTCTGCAATGGCTGTTGAGTTCGAGATCATGCAGCAGGCGCGCATGACCTTGGCCAAATCTCCTCCAGGAACCACCTTGGATTTGCGTCCTTGGGCTCAAACAATAGAATATGATATGTTTTATGTGTGTGTTTTGAATTAATTACAGTTAAACAAGAAAACAATCCCGTAACGTAATCTAAAATGATGCAAATGATCCAACAACATGTAACAGCTAGAATCTAGATCATACATCCCCGCTGTAGATGGTGGGTCGTTTGATTGCGGAACATAGAAACATCTTACCTTAAGCACACTGTGCAGAAACCGTAGGTGGCTGATAATTGATTCCACACTTGAAGCCAGTTGGGCACCAGTCCACGAACTGAATGGTTCGCTTGGTCTTGATAGTAGCCACGGCTGCATTCACATCCTTTGGCACCACATCTCCTTGGAAAAATATCGCAGCATCCCTGGGCAATTTTCGGCATTCTGAACCATGCTCACCCTCACAGCTGCTTTGTTCAAACATATTTTCTAAATAGTTCAGCCTTCAAAAAGGTGTTTGACAGTCACACAACATATTAACTGACAAGCTGAACAATAGATGATTGACATGTACCCCCAGTAAACAAATGAAATTGTAAATGTATTCTTACATATGTTTGAGTCAATGATTTGTGTTTATCACATGTTTGTACTTTTTTTGGCACAAGCCACAAGCCCGACAAAATATTTAATTCTTTCATGTCTGTATGTAAAAAATATTCCGACCGCAAAGCAGGGGAAACATAGGCGGTGGCTAGGGACCAGGTGTAAAAGCAACAGCATCAGCAATGAGAACAACCAGGAAGACGAGGACGACGATGAGGATGGCAATCAGGACAACAAGGGCCACAACAGAAACTCTAAAGTCCAGCCAAGCATCCACGATACATCATGCAGCAGGCCATGTATTTGCCATGACGAGGATCACACTTCACCATCATGGAGGCTGGTTCAAAGACAGACATGGTGATCTCTGCCACGGACAACTGCTCATGGTATGCCTTCTCCGCAGAGATAACTGGAGCATAGGAGGTGAGCATGAAGTGAATCCTGGGATACGGCACGAGATTTGTCTGGAATTCGGTGATGTCCACGTTCAGCGCACCATCAAAGCGCAGCGAAGCTGTCCTTGGTCAGCGAGACTTGCGGAAAGGCTATATAACTTGTAGCAACGAAAAAAAGGACCTGGAAACAGTGTCAAGTCGTTTTTTTGTACAGCAGGGCGAGCAGGATTGGATTGTGGGGGGCGAAGAAATATGTTTTGGACAATCAATGCAATGACTTACAAGAATTTACAAGAGGGATTTAGTCAGAGGCAGAGTCAGAAACAGCGTGAGAGGTTGATGTGTCCCTGCCGGGCCCGATCATTGGGGCCATTCATAGATATAAATTTCCCACCTAGGCTTGGTAGGAAGTTTGATAGGGTAAGGCTTGATACACGATGCATAAGACACAACTGGGTTCAAAAAAAATGTCAGAAAGAATCAAAGCGGCCGAACAAACGAAACACATATGAGCAAAAATTACTCCCCATGAACATCCCCCTGGATGCTTTGCGGGTCAGTGTTTGGTCAGGAATATGTTGGGGATAAAAAAAGATCTTGTTGGAAACGAGGGTCAATGAGGAAATGATCCCATACAGTCCAATACAAAAAACCGGGACTGGTCAGTGTTTTTTGATAATAATAGGATCTCAAAGATTGCTCAAAATCCAAGTAATCCAAGTGTCAATGAGGAAATGATCTGGGCGATCAACCTGTTGAGGTTGGTGTAGGTTGGACGTTCAATGTCCAAGTTCCTGCGACAAATATCGTAAAGTGCCTCATTGTCCTCGGAAGGTGACTAGCAACGACTGCCAGTGATTTGAAATCCATACCTGAGGATATTCCATGCATTGCTACGGTATAACATGGTTGTTACATGTTGTTACCCACTTTGGATTCAGAATGGTCAAATCTCAAAAATTACAACAGGTTTCCCATTGTTTCCCCCTTTTATTTGGTGAACGCCAACTTTTCAGAGGGCCACGTTCTTCATGAACGCGGCAAATCCAGTATTTTTGTAGAGGTTTGACAAGCAGGACGGTGAATGATGTTCATTTTCTATACCATTAATCACGACTTCTTGCTAGCACTTGTCAAAAATGCAAAAAACTTGGGACACCCACTCATCGTAGGCGGACCAATAACATCAAATAACAAGTTCCAAGAAGATGTTCGAACACTTGGAATATATGGAACACAAAGAAAAAACATGATTCGGACAAGTCGCATACATGATGGTCACATCAGTGTGCTCCAGCAAAGAATGCACACACCTCACGCCCAGTTCCAGTCAAGGAAACCTTAAGACCCAAAACATCCCAAACGAAGCTGGCAAGTGACTGAAATCAGATTCCTTTTCAAAATAAGTTTCATATTCAAAATACAACATAATCATAGAAATAAAATAGATAATCCGATAATCCTGTAAAATGCAACTGGAATGCACCAAAACCGAGCACTTTTCACCGCGATGCGATTTGCCAAGAAACAGGACGGTGTTGTAGGGTTCTACCACTGCGGTAGCCACCTGTGGGCAGCACCACACGGTGAAAGAAATCTTGCTCTTCTTGCCGTAGTCCACAGACCTCTGACAGTTGTCGATTTCATTGATGGCAAATGTTACCCTCTGGTAAACGTTTACATAACGGTGAAAAATCACCATTTTCAATGGGTAAATCCACTACTGGCGGACGTTGTTTCCTACCCCAGGCACCCAGAAGTTACCCCATCCCAATGGTACACAGGGTTACCCCAGTCCAACCGGAAGTTACCCCAGGGACCAAATCCTATTGGCACACTGGTACCACGCCATCGTTGGTTTGGCAAACAAAATATTAAAAATGTGTCCGTGCCATTGTGAACCACATATTTAAATACCATCTCCTTTGGTGATAAAACCATGTTGAAAGTGGGCAACCGCCATTGGCACACACGCAATGACAGCAAAACAGCTGCCTTCCATCCAAATGAGAAAAGTAACCAATTCTCCGCATGGCACACCGAGTTTCATGGCATTTCCAACATACAAACTTGGATGTGATCGACGTCACATTCCTATGGTTTCTATGATAAATTCTACTTCATGCCAATCAACCCTTTCATCCACTTCCCCATGGCACACCGCTGATCGGATCGACTTTCTTTTTTCAAGTCATTTTCTTATGCTTTTGGTTTCTTCCGCACAGCTTCCAGCCTTTTCACAAATCGCTTGGTTCTCTGCCCAAAAACCGCGCCCTGCCCAGAAGCAGCAGCACAAGCAACAACAGCAGCAGCAGCAGCAGACCAAGTAGCAGACCATTGCAAAGCCTTTCCAAAACGGCTGGGCTTTGACTGGCTGCAATTTTAACGAGGTCCGAACGAGGTGCGAACGAGGTGCGAACGAGGTCCGAACGAGGTCCGAAATCAAATTTTGGGAGACTGACCCCCTAAGTCTCCTGACACACTCTTTGGTAGCCACACGCTTTCGCATTCTTTTCAGAACAGTAAAACTCAAGAGCTTTCAGCGGTGGAGCACAAGAGGAAACCAAGCCAAGCAGCAGCTGCAGGCAAGAGCAAGGAGACAGACAGAAGAGGAGACAAAGGGCGAGTAAGGGAGACAGAGGGGAGACAAAGGGACGCAAGCTTGGCAAACAAGGCGGCGGTGACAAATTTGAGCGGGCACAGGCTGTTTGAGACGTAGGAACCGTGATAGCCAGGTAAGCATCGTGTGCCTATGCGAAGTGCCAAAAAATACATCAGTAAGTTAAAGTCATAGGTGCTGCCCATGTGGGCCCCTCCCCATTTCCTATAGTCACACCACGGTTTGGCACAAGATCTTGTCATCGGCACTTGTTACAACATCGACCCAGCTCCCACCCACTGGCACCAAATGGCAGGCACACCGATGTTAGCGCAAGATCTGCTGTGCTGCACAAAATCATTGAAATACCCAGGGCCACATATTCTCTTTGACCGAGCATGCCACTGCGTTTGGATGTCACAAGTATCAAACCAAGTAATAAACGAACACGTTTATGACAACCAGCGTGCCCCTGCGTTAAGTGCCCTGCAATGGACAAACAAACAATAAGAGGGTTTATGACTACAAACTACAAATGGTAGGTTCATGTTGGTGAAATTCAGCGTGCCTATGCATTTTGTGGTCTTACAATAAGCAATGATAGAATAGAATAATAACATATGTATCTTTTATACACACTTCCCCACGGCACACCGACCTGAGACAACTTCAGGGGAGACGAGACAAGAAACAACATGAACCCAGTATTTCAATGGCCATTTTCAATAGCAAACTGTTAGTCATTACCAGAGGGTAGGCGTTGGTCAGTCTCTAGCGAAAAGGTGGAACAACCAAGGATTTTTCTTTATGCGGCATCAACTAGCACACCATCAGGACCATCATGCAACAAAAAACAAAGCAATGTTGCCGAAACAATCTTGAAATTTCACCCAGCAGTATCGGTGTTTTTCCAATGACCTATTTGCGAGTTGTGCAGGTGCAAGTGTTAGTGACCAGGAGAGCTACATCATGCAACCCATTTGCATCGGCATAGCTCAAAAACATGGCTGTGTATATGTGGTTTTGTGTGAAAACAGTGTACCATAGTGTACCCCCAAATCCTTTGGCTATTCCATTGGTTAATCATCAGTTTCCCTATAAAATAGAACATTGAGGGGTATACCGGTATACCCCATTTTTTGTGTTCTGTGGGGTAAACCTTCCCAAGGTTTCGCCGAGGGACAAACGCTCCAACATGAGGCAACCCAAACCAGATCCGGTGCCACCGCCGCAGGCGTTGTACACACAGAATCCCTGCAATCCTTTGACAAAACTGCCAATCCGTGTGGGTGGAAATTGCAATTCTTTAGGCGAACGAGACAAAACATTTGACAAAAATTAATGCAATATGATCAATATGAACTAAACACATATTGAAAACATTAATAGTTGAACATTGGATATCCATCAGTTGAACTAAAAGCAACAAAATGAAGACGAAAATTGTTTTTTCCCCACCTGCCAGGTGAGGGTTGTTAGATTTTATGTCAGTTGCTTCCTCCTCGTCCTCCTCCTCCTCGTCCTCGTCCTCCTCCTTCTCCTCCCTCTTCTCGTCCTCCTTCTCCTCCTCCTCCTCCTCCTCCTCGTCCTCCTCGTCCTCCTCCTGCTCCACTGTGATCCATGTCAGTGTGCCCTGCCGGACCTCAACCACGACCATCCACGTCAGTGTGCCCTGCCGGACCTCAACCACGACCATCCACGCCCAGTGTTCCCTGCCGGACCTCAAACACGACCATCCACGCCCAGTGTTCCCTGCCGGACCTCAACCACGACCATCCACGCCCAGTGTTCCCTGCCGGACCTCAACCACGATCATCCCCGCCCAGTGTTCCTGCCGGACCTCAACCACGACCATCCACGCCCAGTGTTCCCTGCCGGACCTCAACCGCGAGTATCCACGCCAAGTGTTCCCTGCCGGACCTCATGTAGGAAGATATGGGACAAAGAATGTGCAGAAGAAAGTTAGAAAGAATGTCAGAAAGAATGTCAGAAGATATGCCAGAAGATATGCCAGATAGAATGCCAAATAGATTGCCAGATAGAATGCCAGAAAGAATGCCAGAAGATATGTCAGAATATATGCCAGAAGATATGCCAGATAGAATGCCAGATAATATGCCAGAAGATATGCCAGATAGAATGCCAGAAGATTTGCCAGATAGAATGCCAGAAAATGTGCCAGAAGATATGCCAGATAGATATGCCAGATAGAATGCCAGATAGAATGCCAGAAGATTTGCCAGAAGATATGCCAGATAGATATGCCAGAAGATATGCCAGATAGAATGCCAGATAGAATGCCAGAAGATTTGCCAGAAGATATGTCAGAATATATGCCAGAAGATATGTCAGATAGAATGCCAGAAGATATGTCAGAATATATGCCAGAAGATATGTCAGATAGAATGCCAGAAGATATGTCAGAATATATGCCAGAAGATATGCCAGATAGAATGCCAGATTGAATGCCAGAAGATATGTCAGATAGAGTGCCAGAAGATATGCCAGATAGAATGCCAGAAGATTTGCCAGATAGAATGCCAGAAGAAATGCCAGAAGATATGCCAGATCATATGCCAGAAGATATGCCAGATAGAATGCCAAATAGAATGTCAGAAGATATGTCAGATAGAATGCCAGAAGATTTGCCAGTAAGAAAATGTATAAATGTCATGGTGGGGATCACACGAAGTAAAGTAATTGTAGGCGAACAGGAAAAACATATTGAATATTTGGATATATTTGGATGAAGTACAATGTCCCATCACTCCAAGTAACCTGTGCAGTTGTCCGCCAATTTCCGAATCCTGTCTAACACGAGGTCAACAATTTCCTTGCCAATGGTGTAGTGTCCTGGCGTCAAAGGGCAGCTATCAAACGCAATGAAATTTCCTGAGATCTGAAAGGACCAACCCAGCACACCCGGCGAGAAAACGTTCCTGTCATCTCAGGTGCAAAACTGTCCTCGTGCAAAGTTGTTTGCCGCGTCCTCTTTGCCAGAAATCAACTGTTCGGGATGGAAGAGCTGGCGATAGGTGCCAGTGCGAACCTCGTCCACCACCTTCAGCGAGAAAAAAAAGGTCACAGAAACACAAATCCAAATGATATCCGAAGACCGAAGAAACAATTAAAGAAACAAATCGGATGCGAAAAATTTGGTGGACCCAAACGCCGAACCGTCGCATTAGTGTGGAAAATACATGGGGAAAAAATATATATTGTTTCCGCGCTAGGAAAACACCCCTGATTTTCTTGAATCTGGGTGCAATGCGGTTTGAAAAGATGAAAAAAACACTGAGCACATCGAAGGGGCCGTTGGTTCCAGGTCAACCATCACGCATCTCGGCACGTGTTTTCCAGCACCAGTCTCGGAGAAGAACCTTACATGTGAATGTTTCGATCAACAAAGAATGTTTGCCCTTAATCATGTATCGTGGTGGTGTCTCTAGCAGTGGTGCTAGTGATAGTTGTGGTAGATGCGATAAAAATGATAGAAGTAGAAGTAGAATTTGATGCTGAGGAACCATAAGAAGAAAACAGAGTAAAAACGCAGGAGGAGTAGAGTGGTGACGCTTGTGGTGACGGAAGTAGTTCTAGCAGGGCAGCAGCAGCAACAGCAGCAGGAGCAGGAGGAGTCGTCCTAGTAGCAACACCAGGGGCAGTAGTAGTGGTGGTGATGGTGGTGGTGGTAGTAGTAGTTGTTGTTCTTGTTGCTGTACTACTACTACTACTACTACTACTACTACTACTACTACTACTACTAGTAGTAGTAGTAGTAGTAGTAGTAGTAGTGGTAGTAGTAGTAGTAGCAGTAGTAGTAGCAGTAGTAGCAGTAGTAGTAGTAGAAGTAGTAGCAGTAGTAGTAGCAATAGAAGTAGAAGTAGAACTAGAAGTAGAAGTAGAAGTAGAAGAAGTAGTAGTAGTAGTAGTCGTCGTCGTAGTAGTAGTAGTAGTGGTAGTGGTAGTGGTAGTGGTAGTGGTGGAAGCAGTAGTAGAAGTCCTAAAAGTAGTAGTAGCAGAGGAAGTAGAAGTAGAAGTAGCAGTAGCAGTAGTACGAGTAGGAGTAGCAGTAGGAGTAGTAGTAGTAGTAGAAGTAGTAGCAGTAGTAGTAGTAGTAGCAGCAGCAGTAGTAGTAGTAGTGGTAGTACTGGTAGTACTGGTAGTAGGAGTAGTAGTAGTAGTAGTAGGAATAGTAGTAGGAGTAATAGGAGTAGTAGTAGTAGTAGCAGCCGTAGCAGCAGTAGCAGCAGTAGCAGCGGTAGCAGCAGTAGCAGCAGTAGCAGCAGTAGCAGCAGTAGCAGCAGTAGTAGGAGTAGGAGTAGGAGTAGGAGTAAGAGTAGGAGTAGGAGTAGGAGTAGGAGTAGGAGTAGGAGTAGTAGGAGTAGTAGTTGTAGTAGTAGTAGTAGTCGTAGTGGTAGTGGTAGTTGTAGTGGTAGTTGTAGTGGTAGTTGTAGTGGTAGTGGTAGGAGTAGGAGTAGGAGTAGGAGTAGTAGTAGTAGTAGTAGTAGCAGTAGCAGTAGCAGTAGTAATGGAAGTAGAGGTAGAAGTAGTAGTAGTAGAAGTAGTGGTAGCGGTGGAAGCAGTAGTAGCAGTCCTAAAAGTAGTAGTAGCAGAGGAAGTAGAAGTAGAAGTAGCAGTAGCAGTAGTACGAGTAGGAGTAGCAGTAGGAGTAGTAGTAGTAGTAGCAGCAGCAGCAGTAGTAGTAGTGGTAGTAGTGGTAGTAGGAGTAGTAGTAGTAGGAGTAGTAGGAGTAGTAGGAGTAGTAGGAGTAGTAGGAGTAGTAGGAGTAGTAGGACTAGTAGGACTAGTAGTAGTAGTAGTAGTAGTAGTAGTAGGAGTAGTAGTAGGAATAGTAGTAGGAGTAGTAGCAGCCGTAGCAGCCGTAGCAGCCGTAGCAGCCGTAGCAGCCGTAGCAGCCGTAGCAGCAGTAGCAGCAGTAGCAGCAGTAGCAGCAGTAGTAGGAGTAGGAGTAGGAGTAGGAGTAAGAGTAGGAGTAGGAGTAGGAGTAGGAGTAGGAGTAGGAGTTGGAGTAGGAGTAGGAGTAGGAGTAGTAGTAGTAGTAGTAGTAGTAGTTATAGTAGTAGTAGTAGTAGTAGTAGTAGTCGTCGTCGTCGTCGTCGTCGTGGTCGTCGTCGTCGTCGTCGTCGTAGTGGTAGTTGTAGTGGTAGTTGTAGTGGTAGTTGTAGTGGAAGTGGTAGTGGAAGTGGTAGGAGTAGGAGTAGGAGTAGGAGTAGGAGTAGGAGTAGGAGTAGTAGTAGTAGTAGTAGTCGTCGTCGTCGTAGTAGTAGTAGTAGTGGTAGTGGTAGTGGTAGTGGTAGTGGTAGTGGTAGTGGTGGAAGCAGTAGTAGTAGTAGTAGTAGTAGTAGTAGTAGTAGTAGTAATAGTAGTAGTAGTAGTACTGTAGTAGTGGTAGTAGTAGTAGCAGCAGTAGTAGTAGTAGTAGCGGCACGAGGAGGGGTAGGACTATTTCCCGATGTCTTTTATGTGTGCGCATGTGAGGCACAGTTACTCTTGAGGTGACAAGGGTCAGGTAACCATAGTACTGCAACGTGGGCCAAACCCCGCCTTTGAAGCATCGAAGCATCTACTGTCTTCGAGCGATCCCCACCAACTGACATTCTATAGGATGCATATATATATAATATAATATATATATATATAAACATCTCTCTCTCTCTCCTGACGCTCTATCGGCATACTTTCTGGCATTCTGTTTGAAATATATTCTGGCAGTCTATCTGGCATGCTATCTGGCATATATCCTAACATTCTATCTCTATCTGGCATTTATCTTGACATTCTATTTGGCATTCTTTCTGATATTCTATGTGGCGTCTTTTCTGGCATTCTCTGTGGCATCCATCCTGACATCCTATCTGACCTCCTATCTGGCGTGGGCTCGGGTCCGTGTATGTCCAGGCTGATCTGGAGCTCGCGATAGAGTTCGGGATAGAGTGCTCCACTTGCACTGGCACTTGCTGTGACATCCTTGGTGCCTACAGTGACGACAAGCTGGCAGAAGACGAGGGCAGCACAAGAAGGACGGAGGAGGAGGGCGGGAGGAGTGAAGGAAGGAAGGAAGAAAGGAAGGAAAGAAGGAAGGAAGAAAAGAGGGAGGGAGGGAGGGAGTGAGTTGCACCTTTGTTAAAATCTAGAGACCCTCACCTGGCAAGGTGGGGAATAAATTGTATGCATTGCATGGACTGGCAACATGAGGACATAACTTTCACGAGGTGTAGATGACAGGCCATCAGCACCCAAACTCATCTAAAATCCATGCGCCAACCCATAGGACATCGATACAGGTTGACAACTTGGCAGCGACAAAATGCAGTTCTGAATGAGTTGCAAATTCATCTGACCATCTTCTTTTCAGACCTGGAATCTCTCTCTCTCTCCCTCTCTCTCTCTCGCTCTCCCTCTGTCTCCTGCTCTATCATGCTCTATCTCAGGCGAATTTTTCTGGAACATACCCCGTAAATGTTGCAGATTCATCCGTCAGCAACATCAAACCAGGCCACGTGTTGAAGGCATCATCTCCGCCGCCGATCGTCTTGTCCGACGGCATCTGACCATCAGGCTGGATACCATGCTCCAAGCAGAAAAGCTCCCAGCAAGCATTGCCGATCTGCACACCTGGCTAGCGATCGGATGATCGGACCCCAAAATAGCTGGTAAATGGATGTTCATTCCCCTAAAAATGGTATTAATAGGTATTGATCCATACTCATTTTGGAACAGTGGCTGTCTTGATGTTATTCGCCTGCGGGTGTACTCACTGCGGTTTCTGCTATACTGAGCTCTGCAGCAGTGTGTAGGCCATGACCGGACTTTCTTTTCTACTCAGAACGTCTACGGAGTCTACGTTCAAACTCTTGATGCGAGAGCACCTATGGAGGACACACGTCGCTTTACAAAAAAAACTCACCCGTGGGTTTCTTGCTTGCTCTCAAGGCCTCTGAAAAGTATGTTTATGTCTTTTGGAATAGTCATCCCAGTTCTGGTAGTGAAAATGAGACAAACTTAGAGCGAGCAAGCAGTTTACCATCCTATTCTTCACCCTTCCAACATCTCAACCGGACCCAACTAGACCTCCTTGGCCGATGTGAATGCAAATTGCCTCACGCATGGCTTAGAGTTGAAAAGCGCGGAAAGTGACGAAGCACACCGTGTGATGTGGCAGCCTCGGGCACGAATCCTTGAGCCCGAAACGCGATGGCATATCATGTGCTCCATGCCAGGCATTTTTAGTGTAGACCTTGATCACTTCGCATACCAGCTACTAAACACACTACTAACCATAAGTCGCTTTGGCAAAATGGTCCAGTTTCGATCTAGAGATCGAAAAACAATTTGCCGAAACGCAAGAAACAGGTCTACGCTCCAGATGAATTGGATCACCAACAGAGTATCTCCCCAAGATCCCAATTCACTCCAAGAAAGTTGGCGCTTTGAGCCCATCAGAAAAACCCTTTGAGCCCATCTTGGGATCATCTCAGTAAGAAAATGGACCCAACCAGCGATAGTTGAATCCCTTAATGGAATTACAATTACAGTAGCTTACTATGAATTACTATCATTCTTCAGAAAATCCGCCATGTGCCTTCTTGACCGCCAGCATCTTCTGTGCGAAGCGCTCCTTCTTAGAGCCCGAGGGCGCCTCATGCCAAGAGGCGTGCATAAGTTGTGGAGGATGGTAATCAACATCCAAAGCCTGCTTTCAAAAGTATGTACATGAGTACATGAGATGAATATATCATGTTCGAATAATCATATCATATCCGAATATATCCGAATGAGAACGGACAGGACTGGTTTTTGTTGTTGTCACATTCACAGCACGCGGTAACTAACCATCCTCTCTGGTAAACAAGCAGGCTGGCTGGAAGTAAATAAACATACGTATATAAATATGATGCTCGTTTCTAATGATCTGCGTGTTTACCTTCTTTACCACCTGTTTCCAGCCAGCCAGTCATATGAAACTACCAGAAGGTTCACGAACTGAACTAATCAGTTGAATTTTGATACTCATAGTACCCTCTGGTAAATAAACAAAAAGCTATTGAACATGGTGATTTAGTTCGTGGATTTACCCATTCATTGCATGGTGAGTTTCCAGTTCGTTATGTGAGTTTACCAGGCCGGGTATATCATGATCATCCCAGAACCCAAAATTGAGCAATAAAAACAAATGGTTGATCATCCTTTCCCATTGAAAATCATCATCATCATCCATCAAACATGATCATCGTAATAATAATTGTCATCATCAAAACCCATCGATCATCAAAAATCATCAAACATCTCAATCATATAATCCTTAATGAAACATATATATACATATAAATATATATATATATAATAATATATACTATATATATAATATCAAGATGACCACACGATTTTCGGCCCCCTCCGGCATTGAAGAAACACCCAACTTCCGGACCTGTTCCACCGGGCCATCTGCCAAAGCCGCCTCCAAGCCTCACCGGGGCCACAGCACCAGGGATGTGGCGGCGGTGGTTTCTCAAATGGCAGTGTAACCTACACAAAATGTGGAAACTGTGGGACTTTAAGCACCAAACAGATCCAGAAATATGGAAAACATTGGGTTCAACATGTTTTATCATGGTTTAACTGATCAAGATGATGATGTGACAAACTCCAAGAGGCACGAAGGAGGCGCTTTTCCATTCACAAGCGGACTAGAGATGCAGGGCGGTGCTGGAGGATTCAAGGCTACAGTGGAAGGTACATGACAAGATCAGCATCAACAATTGCAGGCATGTTTCAACAGCTCCCCCCACTTTCTGTTGTCATGTACTTCCACAAACAGCTGATATCCCTGGCTTCTGACAGCTTCTGAAGCCTTGCGCGATCGGCCTTTTGCCGAAGGGTTCTCTTTCCTACGTGCCAACTCATCTTCTTCGTCCCAGAGCGCAAACTTGGAGGTTCTCAACAACTCCTCTAGAGCACCGTTGGATCTTCCAAGGTCATCCTTTGTCAATCCATCAGCCACCATTCTAGGATGTGGGCACCAGCAAAGGGCCGAACTGGATCTGCTCATGCCCTCAATGATGATGGCAACTTCTATGGAGGTTCTACGGTCTTGCCTAGAGGTGGGACTCTGTTTCTTTAAGCTATCAAACAGGCTCTTGGCGTCAGTGACTCCACACTGCTCGAGTCTCTCGTGCAGCTTGCAATCTTTCTTCAAGACAGCCAGGAAGGGTGAGATGGATACCTGCCAGTCTGTCCTAGAAACGTCGCCAAAAACCACATCTCTGAACATGATCTGCAACCACTCTACTTCACCAAGTGCTTGAGAGAAAGCGAGGGCCTCTCCTGCTAAGGTGGAAGCGACACGACGTCTCAACTTCGCGGATCGCCAAGAGAGAACGGACGCCTTGACTTTGTGTGACGCCGAAGGCATAGAGGATGTGGCTAAGATGATCCAGGCCCCTTGGACAGTGTCTTCGGTGTTGTCCAGGATGGGCTTTCCGTCAATGCCGCCTGCATCGGAGGCTGCCACGAAGACCATGCTCTTGCTATCGAACTTGTGAAGGACCAAGGGTTGTTGTGCCGTACCTCTCAGGTAGGAGGCCATCTTGTTGAGGCAAGTCAAGTCATGCACCGTGGCTTGGTGCAGACGGGATGCCAAAAGGCTGACTACCCCTGCTGCCTCTGGTCTTGTCTGATGTGCCACCCAGTTCACCTTATAGAGCAGAGATCTATAGCTTTCAAAATCCTCGCCTTGAAGCAGAGCAGCTTTGTCAGACAGCTTTCCCTTCGCCAGCTTCAAAGGGAAAATCTTCTCGAGGATGTATTTTTCCTGGTGCATGGTGACTCGATGACTTTCCACCTTGATGTGTCTTCCAGCAAAGTCTGCCTCATTGAACTCCATCTTGCCAAACACGAAGCGCTCTTCCAGGGCATTCTTGAGAGTTTCCAAATACTCAGGAACGATGCCAAAGTTCAAGTCATCGACTTCAATCAAGACTTGGGCAAGTATTCGGCCATGAGGGTCTCTCTTCACGAGCCAGCATGGTTCTAGCAGGGTCCTCTCGAAGCCCAGGCTAAAGAAGAACTCTAGGAGGGTTTGATGCCAGGCTAGTGGAGCGTCATCCAGGCCATACACCGGAGCCACGATCTCAATGAGAAGATCGGCACTGAGGGGTAGCCCCTCGCAAGGTCTTGCGTAGATCTTTCCACGAGATCTCTTTAGAGCTTTGCTCTGACAAAACGCATTCTTCACATCCAGGAAGCAAGCCAACAGCTGCTCATTCACGCATATCTGGAAGAACATTGTGATCGATTCGGTGCAAGGAGTAGGTGCGAAGACTTCTAGCAAGCCGGTGTCAGGATCTTGGTGTCCATGAATGCACCATCGGCTTTTGTATTTGAAGGCACCAACGCCAGGAGTTGGCTTCTTTCGTCTGACCATTCGGCTTGAGATCACTCGATCAGGACACTGCTTCATGACAGCCTTGGATTCTTCGGAAGAGAGAACTCTTACTGCCTTGAGGTCGACGATGGACTTCCACTCGTTGATGTCTGCTTCTCTGAATCCCTGTCTTTCTTCTGGAGTGGCGTCTCGCATGTTGAACTCGGCGTTCTTGGCTTTAGCTGGCTTAGCGATGAAGGATTCGTGACCAGTATCTCTCGTGGCCTTTAAATAGAAGCATGGAAGGAACTTTGATGACACTTGGAGCAGAAGCTCGTCAGTGACAAGCTCATTTTCCCCTCCTTGTTCAGAGGCTGATTGGGTCTGGTCCGGCGGTGCATCAGAAGATGCTGGAATGGAAGCAAAGGGATTTTCCTCTCTTCTTCTTCTAGCTCTTTCTTCTCGATCCATCTGCCGCATGAATCTCAGAGCATCCCTCTCTAGCTGCTCGGCCTCAAGCTGAGCCACCCGCTTTCTCACCAGCTGTCGAGTGGATTCATTGCCGAGAACTGAGGGGGGGGCTGACACTCTTCTCTGTGACTGTGTCGCTTGAGAGCCGGTACCGTCAGAGCTCTTAGAGGATGGTGCCGGTTCCACCAGGGGCTCTTCGATGGTCCGCGTGGACTCTCTCCTGCCAGCGAGTCTTGGAGTTGGAGGGGCTGGCGATGTCGGAAGAGGCCTCAGATCTCTGAGGATAGATCCTTGAGGAGCGCTTGCTCGCTCGACTTCCTCTTCTTGTCCCAGGTCTTCTTCTAGAATCGCTGGCAAAGGGTTTGGAGGAGCAACGGCTGGTCTTGCGACCGAGTCGCGGCCCACTTGTGTCATATCTGCCTCATCGGGAGGGGGCCCTTCAGATGCGACATCAACAGCTGTAGCTCGCTTGCTCTTGACCATGGAGAGGATGGGCTCGAGCTCCTCGGAATCCATCAGCTCGGCCCCAATGCTCTCAGAGTAGGTTGCCGGCCTGAGTTGATCAGAGGAACATTTCCACAGTCGGGACCGCATGGAAACCCATACGGTATGGCCACTTTGTTGAATCACTAGGCCTGGGCCCATCCATCTGGCTCTAGTCATGTGTCCTCCGCCAGTTCCACTAAACTTCCGCCAGCAGTACACCCATTGTCCAGGCGTCCAAGTTCTTTCCTTGTGAGCGTACTTTCTGATTCCCAGCTGAGCCTTGTCCTTGAGAGTGGACTTCACGCAAAGCTCTCGAGCTCGCTGTCTGATGGCTTGTGACCGAGCGAACTCGGAGGCCGCAGTGTCCATGTTCATGGGATCGCAAGTGAGGTCTTGCAAGGCTGGTAGTTGAAGCTGGTCATCGCTGAGAAGGTCTGCTGGTAACCTGGGAGAAATGCCAAACACCAGCTGGAATGGAGAAAATCCCCCACGGTGGAAATACTTGTTCTTGAACGACACCAACATGTGAGTTAACTCTTCTAGTTCCTTGGAAGAGGTGACTGTCGCTTGACCAGACTGAATCTCATCTTCCAGTCGCTGCTTCACCCAGCTCCCATGTCTCTCACATCTGCCATTCTGCCAAGGACTGGCTCCGTCGCTAGTGACTTGTAGTACGCCGTGTTGCTCCAATCGGCGCTCGAACAACTCCTTGAACTCTGATCCCTGGTCTGAGAGAATCACACTGGGGAGGCCAAATGGTCTGATCCAAAGTTCTTCAAAGAGAGCCCAGGTGGCCCGAGAACTCGGAGATCCACCAGTGTAGTTCGTCAGCATGCCAACTTGCTGAAAGTTGGTCCCTTGGCAGATCACGTTCAAAAAGGCATGGGTCTTGTCCATGAAGGAAATGTAGAAGAAATCAATGCCCAAGTATTGGTTGAAAGAGAACGTGCGAGGAAATGTGACTTGCTTGTGTGGTATTGGTCTCTTCTGTCGGACACATTGCTCGCACTCGAACTGGTCCTGCACGTACTGCAAAATTGACTCTTTGGCCCCGGCGGCCTTGAGTGTCATGAGTAGCTGAGGTCGAGGGAGATGGCCAAGATTGGCATGAAGACGATGGAGTAGCTCTTTCTGATGTTGAGATATCGTGCCATCGGTCTTCTTCAACACAGGGCCGGGAGTCTGAGGGGCTGGCATTCCACTGGAAGGCACCCCGGACTCCTCGATCTCCGCGTCCAAGCCATCTTCAAGGTCAAAATCCGTGGCCAAAGTTTGAGAGCTTAGGGATGTTGGACTCAGCATCCCATTGACAAAGGCCTGAACCAAACCAGGAGGAAACTTTTGAGCTAGCAAAGGGAGCCCTCCTTGCAGAGGTAAATGCTGATGAGAATGGTCGCACTGCAACTTCGCCAGCTCAGCTATGATTCCTCCATGGTTTGAAATGACGCCAGTTCCCGTTCGCGAAAGCAGATTGTCTCTTACTGACAGACCAGCTGCACACTGGTCAAACCTTATAAGAAAAACTCCCGCTTGATCTCGGAGCCATGTCATGGCATGAGTGTTCCAGCTTGATGCTCCGTCTGGCTGTTCTATGTAGAAAAACCTTCCATGAAAGAGTTGGTACTCGGCTACCTCTATGCAAAAGAGCAACATGTCCATCCCTAGATCTTGAAGTTCTTTTGCAGTTTGTGGGTCCATTCGATTCCAGTTGCTGTTCATGATGACACTGAAAGGACGACACAGCGGTGTCATGCCTATGACATCGGGCTTCTGTTCCTTCACTACTTTCCAAAACTCTTGTCTGTGCTGATGATTCTCAAAATGCCATCCAGAGACTCGATCAAAACTGGGCGGCTCGGTCGTAGTGAAGCTGTCAGGAAGCTCTGTCGCCGCAGCGCAGATACGTGGGGGCGAGAAGAGCTCGCACACCTTGATGGGCTTGCGCAGTTCCATGGCGGCTACATGAAAAGAACTATCGCTACAGGGGCTCCTAAGCCCGAGAGGGCTAACAGTGCCTGCAAGAACCTGTGATAGCCTCAAAACTTCTTTTTCTTTACTTCCTACGTGGAGTCCTTGCGTCTCCTCCGCCTGTTCTTGGAGTTCTCGCGTCTCCCCCGCGTTATTTACTTTTTCTTGAGGTCCTTGCGTCCTCCCCGCGCTGTTGTCTTCTGTTTCTTGGGGTCTTGGCGTCCCCTCCGCACTACTTCCAGTTTCTTGGAGTCCTAGCGTCTCCGCCGCGCGCTGTGACAAAATGTCACGCTGTACATGCCTAGAAAAACTCGAATTCAAAAAATCTCCGCCTGCTTGAATGGATTTCTTTTGAGAGCTGGTGAGAAAAAACTCATGATCATCCCTGACATCCGAGTGATTGATGACAAAACAACAATCAGCATTTTTCCAAATAAGATACACCGGATGGTCAGATGATGGATGCCACAGACAGGTGGTACTGTTCTGTACAACCGAATTTCCGCAAAAGGAAGCCTTGAAAGGACACACCAACCAGTGTGCTAATATCGGTGACTCATATCCTACCATGTCACTCAGGTTCTTCACTCCTGTTGCCACTGAGACACATGCTCCCAAGACGCGTTTGGATTCTCCATCGCCTCGTCCTCCATTTCTCCCAAGCCTGGCGCCATTGGCATCTGGTGCGGCTGAGGCTGGTAGCTCATGGCCATGCCCAATTGCTCCTGAAGGCGCAATTGGCCTTGGATCAGTGGCCCCAGGTGCTGTGCCAGGGACGACGTCAGGTCCTGAGTGTGCTGGGAGAGGGCTTGCTCCAGCTCCATGCGGGACATCGGCGTGTCCGCGCTTGAGCCGGCAGTGCTCCGGGCGGTCTGGGCCCGATCTCGAATTTGCTGGGTCGCCGCTGTGGTCATATGGCTGGCTGCTGGCGACTCTTTCTCGAACTTGGTCTGGGGTTGCCCGGCCCGTAGCGGTCGAAGCTCAATTGATTCCCGCATCGCAGGCATTTCTCCCACCTCCCATGCTGGTTTGCCCCCTTCGTACGCTGATCTTCCGGATGTTGACATTCCAAGGGGACCAAGGCTTGGGTATTGAGGTTGATGGAGAAGGTGCCCCGGTGCATCCTCAGCAGCTTGCCCACCAATTGGTACCAGCGAGCTTGTAGTGCTTCTCGATGGGCCTCGCTTCTGATCATGCGTCCAGCCATGAAGGGAGTCACGCTCCTTCGTCGCGATGGCTCCATGGGTCGAGGACAGGAGGGTGATACAGGTTATCAGGCCTCTCAGCATTGGGAAGCTGCGGACGAAGCGTGCGACTCTCTCTCGTCGCTTGCACTTCTCATGTTTGCAGCCTTCAAACCTGTGAGCAGCCTTGAATTCCTTGTCACTGATATGAGAACCTTCACCTATACCTTGCTTCAGCTGATCATGAAAAACTGACATGCATGAGCTAGTGAACTTCTCAGGACTGACATGAACATCGGAATTTACGTAAACAAGCAACGACTCTGAAAATTTGGCATCACGCGTTTCATTGATTACGTGTGACATGCTGCTTCCAATGGACATGATCTCTTTCTGCCGACACTGAAAAAACAAACCCCAGGGCCCTGAACATTCTTGAATTTGTGGAGGTGGTGACTGACTTCCTTCCCAAACAATGCACTTGATGGTGGGTTCTAACAAAATTGCGGGACTGTCGATCCCCTCATCGCACAAGCATGCCGCGAGATCAGCGGACGCAGGTAAGTTGAAAGCATCCTCGCTCAGCCCATACTTGTGAAGGACCTCTGGTGGAGGACAAAAGCTTCTGGCCTGCTGCACAACGTCGACCACTCTGTGGCCGGATTCAAGCCGAGTCATCTGAGACTTAGACGACAAACCCTTGAAGGCAATCTCGTTCGAGTCCGTGTCAATCACGGCCTTGGTGTGCTCCAGCAGCCCGATTGACAACAAGTGAGGAACATCCTCGGCCAGCACGGTGAGCTTGATAATGCCCGGCTTGCCACCCAGGAAGACGGGAGCCAGAGCAGTGAACAATGGCTTCGCATCGCCACCAATGCCAGATGCCGGGGGAGGAGCTTTCCTTAGCACAATGGCCCTCAGGCCCGCGGCAGCCAGGCGCTCTTGAAGTGCTCGAAAGGCCTTCTCCCCGATCAGGTCCTGAGCGGCTCCAGGATCGATGATGGCAAAACCCGGAGGAACCGTGAGGTAGCTGTCCAGGGAGTTGCCATAGTTGGCCAAAAAATGTTGTCTTGGCTCGCCAGAGGTGGGCCCGAGGTACGTGAAGGCGTTCAGTGGCCTCTCGACCTTGGGCTTGTACGGCTGAGTGCATTCGGCCTTCCAATGGCCGCGTTCTCCGCAGTTTGCGCATCTTGTGATCTTCTTGAGCTCGGCAATGTTTCTCTTCCGACGGCCAAGGCCGTCTGCTGTCCTTGCCGGTCTCGAAGAAGGGTCGTCGAAGTGCCTCCGGTCTTTTTTCATGGCATTCTTCAGCTGCTTGTTCTCACTCCAAGATCTCTTCCTCTTCTGCCAATCTCCCAGAAATGTCATGGCTCGGTCCTCGTCCAAGTCCATCTGCTGGATTGCGAAGAAGACATCAGAGACCTCCTCAGCGTTCAGGATGTCCTCATCGTCAAGGACCTCGTCGCCTTCCAGGACATAGCGGTCATCAGGCAGGTCGCGCTCCACGAACTCCTGGAAATAGGAATGGGGCTTGCCCTTGCAGATGGCCTCCTCGTCGATATCCATGATCTTGAGAGCTTTGCGCACCATGTCATAGCTGGAGTCTCCGCCAGTCAAGACGCGCAGACTCTGCAATCCCTGTCGGCTGAGGCCCGACTGCTCTTCCAACATGAAGCCCTTCAGCTCATCAGGAATGCTCAGGTACCTGGAGGCGGTGGAGAACTGGGCCTCACGCCGCAGGCTATATTGAGCCAGGGACTCATCACTTCTCCTTGTGCCTTCATACAGCGCAGCTCTCACACTCCTGCGCATCTCTGTAGACTCTTTTTCACCTGCGAGCACATCCAAGATGCCGAAGATGTGGGTCAAATAGTCTGGTCCTTGAAGCTGATGGTCTGGAACGTGCTCAAAATGAGACTGCAAATCCCAATCCATGCTTTTCAACAACTTCTCACTCCTTCTCCAGTACTTGACATCGGTGGAGGCATCCCACCGCAGAATCGCCTTTTTCCACAGGCGGTAGTGGGACCATCCAGACCAGGAGGGAGGATCACTAAAGTCTCCCCGGGAGCCTGAAGATGCGCCTTTCCACCAGGCATCACTACTCCATTGACTCCAAGGATCATGACGTCCTTCCCATGGGTCTGTTTGCTGTCGCCGAGCTCCTGAGTCTCCCATAGACTGCTGCATCTCGGCTGGAGCGGCCGTGGAGGCCCCAAGTTCGCAACTGGTGGAGTAGACTCCTCTGCTCCCCCAAGCATCATATTGCCAACCCCATCACCAGCTATTCCACTCTTCCCACTCCTCTGGAGTGTACTGCTGCGATCGCTCTCTCGTCTCAAGGTCCTCATCATCCCTTTCACCGCCCTGCTCTCTGACAAACTCATTGAGGTCAAGTGGTTCACCACCTTCCATCTTCAGAGAGCCAGGGCTCCGTCTACCACTGACAAACTCCAAGAGGCACGAAGGAGGCGCTTTTCCATTCACAAGCGGACTAGAGATGCAGGGCGGTGCTGGAGGATTCAAGGCTACAGTGGAAGGTACATGACAAGATCAGCATCAACAATTGCAGGCATGTTTCAACAGATGTTTCTCCAAGACTGGGCTTCAGGATGAATTTCACCCTGCTGAACTGACCATGGTAGTTGATCGGAAGTTTGGAATCATGCTCTTATTTAAGCTACCGCGGATCAGTCATTAACACAGCAACCAAACAATCATTTTTCAACAATACAACCTGATTGTCTTGGTGTTGAAGCTATCATGTGAGTAATTAACTCTTGGGTGATATTGTTGACACCTTTTCACAGTGAGTTCGCAGCGGATGCACAGTGTACCAAACTGAAACTGTGGGCAAAAAGAACGTTCAGTGATTCCAAAAAAATGTGGTAAACCATGGTAGTTACCCAATACAAAAAACCGGATCCCCAATACTGGTGGTCTCTCACCAAAACATCCAAAAGAAGGCACAGAGTTTATGGCAGTTCATTTACCACCATAAATAGTTTCTGCCTTTTGGGAATTTTGGGCCACTTTTTCACCATTCTTCACCATTTATGGTTTTTCAACCATCATTTTTCACCATTTATGGTGGATTTACCAGCATTTTTCAGGTGGATTTACCCGCCACCATGGCTTTTTGTGGGCCACGAGGGCCCTGCCTGTCTCTAGGAGGATGGCGACCTGTCATGGGGAAAACTGGTCATGGCAGGTTGGAGGGATTTTTCACATTCTTAAAGCATCTTTTGCTGGGGAAAAAATGTATTTATATATGATCCATATATCTGTTGGCCCCAAAAAAAACAAAGATTTTTTAGGAGTTTCTAGAGGAATTTTCTGGTAGTTTGCCTGTAGACACTTCAATGAAATCCCTGTTGTCCAAGGGGAAGACCGGTTGGCAGAGATCTGGTGATCCAGCATAAAACACCACTGATCTCATAGGGGATGTCTGCAAACTAGCGAAGACCCAATGATCAAATTATAATTTGACTGATTATTAAACTAGGAATACTAGGAATACACCAATTATCAAATACTTCTCACCTGTATTCCGCGACTGGTGTATCAAATACTTAATGTTCTTACACCCCTAAAATTTTCAATATGGAAGCCAACGAGAGGGAAATATCCATCTTCAGAATCCCATGTGCCAGGTTCTATGTCAAATTGTGTGGGTGTACAACTGGGTTGATGATCTGATAGTACTCGTGGGTTGACAAACTTGATGATAAGACATCACTTCTTCCTAGAAAAAAAGGTAAAGGCAATTGCTTGTGAATCAACCCTGACTATTAATTTGGATGGTTCCCTCTTAAAAAAATGTCAGGCCCCCAGTATGATGAAAAACTGGAGGCCTATTAACCCGCGGTTAAGGTTACCCCTTATCACATTGTTGGTTACCCTCTGGTAAACTAACATAACTATGGAAAATCACCATTTTTAATGGGAAAATCCACTATAAATGGCAATTTTCAATAGCTATGCAATAAATTACCAGAGGGTATATAGAAGATCCCCACCATATCCAAATCATATCGTCATTCATTCGCCATTCGATGATCTTCCCCGGTGCCATTGCAGCTAGCGCCTTAGCGCCTTGTGGCCCGGCGATGAGACTAATTTGATCCCTGCCAGGTTCACGAAATCACGAAATCTGGGGAACTTAACCCATGACGGATCCATTTAAGTGCTGCTATATATATATATATATGGTGTGTCCCATCAAGAAAAAAAACCCTTTGTCAATGTTAGCATTACCAGCACCAGCCGGATCCGTCATGGGTAAGCAACAAGAGGTATCAGTCGATTTTTTTTTAGGCTCTGAAGTCCAGTGCTTCATCTTGAGTGGACCATCGTAGATTGCTTCACCTCAAAACCTAATCGATAGTCATGCGTCCATGATCACTATCAAACCAAGTAATTACTTGGGGATACCAATCAATCACCAGCACTTGGACATACTTGGACTAGCGTTTTTGTGTTATAAGCAGTCGTCACAGGACCAAATACAGAATCCTTGCAAGCTGACTGATCCAAACCTAGAATTGACATCAATGTGTTTGTTGCCATAGTATTCTCCAAAAAACACATACCCCAAACCCTGAAACTGGGATGGGTGAGATTCTCGAGTTGTGACCAGTCTGGCCTGACGCATTCAGAGTTCACGCGTGTCCTTAGATCCAAAGCCATTTTGCGTTGTCAACAAAAATCAATGTTCGTATCGCCATAGGTTTTCTATGGTTCCAAACATTCCAATATGGAGGTTTCCTAAGTCATGGGGGTACCCCTAGTTCTCATCCATTTATAGATGGATTTTCCATTGTAAACTATCCAGCTATGGTTAATTTCCCCATGACTATGGAAACACTCCAATGTGAGAGTTGTGATAGATTGTACCAGTGAGTGAGGACAAATTACAAATTACCCTCTGGTAATTTAACATAGCTATTGAAAATTGCCATAGAAATAGTGGAATTACCCATTAAAAATAGTGATTTTCCATAGCAAACTGTTAGTTTACAAGATACAATGTTTTCTTGCAATGGCTTTCCGAGACCACCGAGAAAGTCATGAAACGACCTAGACGCTGGATTGTAAAAATCAATGGTTTCCTGCCAATGTTGCAAACTCGACGACCGGATTTTAGAATCGCTATACTTCGTTCAATGGTTTAGAACCACCATGTTGTTTCCTGCAGTTTTCTCAGTTTTTCAGAAACATGACCCCAGTGGAAAAACTGCTGCTAAACGTAGGGAATTTTCGGGAATGATCCATATATAATAACTAACTATTCATAATCATCCCAGCAACCCCCAGCAACCCATCCATTCCCTGCCACATCTGCCACCAAAAGTCATAGGAATGGGTCCGCTGGTGGACACCTCCCGACTCGCCGCCTTGGTCGGAAAAAGTCGGATGGCGCCATGGCTGGATGACTGTTGGGTTCAGCTGAGGCGTTTTCGGTTGGATTTGTCCAAAAAGTGAAAACCGTACTATCCGTTTTTGAAAGCTTGTGTGTTTCGTCTGATACACTGTTTTTTTTTAACACTGCGTTTAGTATAAAATAGTATAAATACAAGGGGAAGTTCCTTGAAAACTCCTCTTTGCAAGTGTGGTTTCATGTTGTTTCATGGATCGGAGGTGACGCGACGCCAACCCCGCCTTAGCACCGGCCTCAAAAGCTTGACCAGGGTAAAAAGCCTGGCCAACATCGACCAAATCTTGGATCTCCAAGACTTCGCATCTAAGGTCCACATCAGACATTTAGACGTTCAAAACATCAGACTTGAAAATCAAAGTTCCAAGATACCCTCTGGTAATTTAACAAAAAAATTATACAAAAAGCTATTGAAAATGGTGATTTAGTTCGTGGATTAACGGAGAGCCATGGTGATTTTCCAGCCTGAGGGCTCTCCATCCGGCTGATGTCCTGCGAGTTTCCCAATGGCTTCAGGTGTTGAAACCAGGGATTCTCTCTGATTTTCCCACTGGCTGAGCTTAGGACATGTACAGAACCTTGGACCACAGCCTGGGGCGCTGGTTCATCGCCAAGAAGGCGAAGAAAGGGGCCCTGGGGACTTGGAATCCAGTTTTTAGTGACTGGTTCAGTTGGTGAATTTTTTCGGGATGATTCAATGATATTGAACGTATGAAGTGATGCTTTTCTATCATGCAGTATCTCTCTCAAACCAACAAAAAATGCTCAGAGAACACTGGTACACATTCTGGATATATCATGATATATCTCAACTCAGAAATTTGACTTCAATCGGTATCTCCCACTACACATCAACTTGATCTGCATCGGTGGCCAGGTGACCAAAAGCAGGAAGGTCTCTTTCTTCGCATCGGTGATGGCAGTGTTTTCAGCTACCTGGCAGATTCCCTGCGAATGGGAGGAGTCTAACATGGTGGATTACCTCCGGACGAATTATATGAAGTCAACGTGCCAAGAAGTCCTTCGGCAATCTTTTGACAGCGGCACGCAAACATCAAAGCCAAACCTCTCGGAAAAAATGTTGGGCAACCCGACATATGAGAATTGCAACATCAATATTTGAAACTGCATCCAGATCCAATCATGTCTATAACTACAACAAAGAACATACTATTAGAAATGTCTAGCTGCACCTCCGAGATATGCATCTTCTGAAGGATCGCCGACTGCTGCGAAGCATTGAACCTGGGTTGAGCCAAGAATGGACATAAAAACCGCTCAAATGTCGGCAGGACAAATGCATAGGCAGTCAGCTCTGCAATCAACCCACAAAGAATTCCCTTTGCAAAAATGGGAAGAATCCAACAATCTAAGAATCCATCAAACATCCATTTATCATCATTTATACATCCATTTATACCAATTGAAAAACATCAATCAAACAGATCTAGAATGGCTTCAAGAACCCACAATTCCTCGTCTGAGACCATGGAATTGTCGCCCAGAAACTGCCCACAACTTTGGGAGCTTCTCAATGACTCCAAAATCAGCGACCTGTGCAAAAAACAGCCAGAGCCAAAGTCAGAAAGTCCATGAAAGTCCTCAAAAATGCCTGCAGCTCAAGCAATCTCCCAGGATTTTGGGGATCTGATGCATTTTTTCTTGGAGGAACCGCTGGGTTTTTTTGAACTTTGGCTTTCCATCTTGGCTTTCCATCTTGCGACCAGGGATGCCCCGGATGCCCCAAAGGCCCCTGTTAAGCAAGGACCTTGAGAGGTACACCATGAGGTCGGCGCCAACCACGGATTTCCTCGGGTCGATTGGGCCATGGCGGCCAATCCCAATATCCCAATGGGATATTATTTAATTGGCCAAAATATATCCCATTAGCCATGGCTGCCAATCCCCTATATGATGAAATCCCAATTTAATATCCCAATATATCCTATATGATGAAATCCCAATTTAATATCCCAATATATCCCAATATGATTTAATGATATTTAATCCCAATGCCGCCAATGCCCATGATTCGCAAGAATCCTAATGGGATATTCTGATCTTCTCTCCTTTGGATCATCCGATGCCAAGAGGCAAATTCTCCGCTTCGAGACGCAGCAATTCCGCCTTCGCACAGGGCAAAGGTCAAGATTCTGGCTACGGAAAATGGATCGAACATGGGATGATCTTGACATATCTTGACCTACATCAAGTATCATCAAGTACTATCTTTACTTACTACGGTCTGCCAAAAAAAAACAGCAAAAGATGCGGTCCAGTGGCCGAAACAAAACTATCCCATGCTTCATGTCTTGGAACTATGCAATCTATGCTGCAAGAAGGGTCTCAGTACTTTGCATGACACACCTCCAAATGTCATCAACATCTTTTCCAGGGTCAAACTAGAGACTCCAGCTGCATCATTTGCAAGTGACACCATAGAAATCCATAGAATATCTTCATATACAACATTGCCCGTGTCCAAGAATTAGAGATTTCACTGATTTCACACCAAAAAAAGACAAGATGTCAATCCATTTCAACCGATGCTATCTGGGTCAATTTCCATCAAAGCTTGGTGCCACTCCTCGGTGACCGCTGTGACGGTCGCAGATCTGGGTGCATGGTGCAGCAGCGCCCGCTCACCGAAAAAATCTCCTCGAGGCAGAGGTACCATGGAGCGGGTCAAAAAGGAGAAAATGGATGGGAAACTCTATGATTTCTATTGATTTCTCATATTTCTCCAAGTAAATCTAGATGAAACTATGCTTTCTCCAAGTAAATTAATAGATATAGAATTGATATAGAGATAACAGGGGATAACGGTTTCGTGAGTTGCCTGTGAACTTTCGTAGTGAAGATGGCTTGGTGACTTAGTGCAGATCAACCTCTTCGATCCCTGACATACTCAAGCTGCAAAGAACACTCAGCAGTTTAGTCTTGTTTGGGCTACCCGGCCTGGTAAACATACAAAAAGCTATTGAAAATGGCCCAGTCGAAATAGTGGATTTACCCATTAATAGCATGGTGATTTTCCATAGTTATGTTAGTCTTGTTTGGGCTACATCATTTTGACCTACGGACCGCCCGGGCCAGAGAAGCAATGAGAAACACGGAGGTTTCCCCCTTCGAGGGATGGCCTGGGCCAAGCTGTTTCTTGTTTTCTTCCACCTGTAGCGTACCTGGCGGGGCGAGTCCATAGGTCCCAGGGTAATGATGAGCCAGCCACAATTGATTCATGTTAACCAGCCACCAATGATACTAGGTGAAGAGAAACCACAATGAATTCCTGATTGATTCATGTTAACCCATGTGAATTAACCAAGGTAACTTTGAGAGAAACCATCCTCGTATCATATCCCACTTTTGAGACTTTAGTCAGTTAGTCCCAGCAAGAGTCTCTATTCCATCCAGCTGGAAAATACACCGCCCAAATTTGGGCGCACATCATGTTCGTTGGAAACCACCCACCGATTCATTGATGATATACCCACTATCCACTACAACCCAATTTTCCCCGAAAAATTGGTCATCAAAACCATACAATTTTGAATGTTTTCATGAAGGTTGTTGGCGATTTCACGACTTCTCACCACCACCCCAGCACCGAAATACCAGGATTGTTCAACGGCGCGGCAGTGGCGCCTGTTCGGATGAAGTAGAGAGCTGTTGAAAGCTCACCCTTCTCCACCACCTTCAGAGTTCGCAGAACATCTGCTACCCAACACAAAAGGGGATGTTGAGCAATTGTGAATTGGGGATGGGTCAAAACCCTGGTACCTAGTGAACCCCAAAATAGCTGGTAAATGGATGTTCATCCCACTAAAAATGGTATTAATAGGTATTGATCCATACCCAATTGGCGATTTCTATGGACTCAACCGAACCAGCTAAAAAAGTGGATATACTTTAAGAAATATGCTTTGTACTATATCCTACATGTAAGCGATTAAAAAACGATTTTGCCCTTGAAATCCTCCATAGATTCGGAACATCTTCACCATTGCTATCGCTTGCTTCATCCACTGGGACACTGGTGAACACCAGAATCTCACCGCTTAGAAGCCATCGGACGTTCAAATAACATCCAAAAATCATCACCGACCATTGGATTCCAACATATTCCAACCATTGGATTCCAACCACTATGATTCCATATTACTAATCTATGATTGGAATCCAGGAAAATTCATGATTAATAGATTGCATGAAAAAAATGCAATTACTTCTTATACTTCCATAATATTGGATTGCATCTATGATTCCATATTACTAATTGATACTTCTTGAAGCCTGTGGGATATTTTCAGCTTTGATCCGGCTTGATACGATACTCGTTCACCCCAAAACGCGCGGCCGCGCGGTTCAAATGCGGCCTTCTTCCCAGCCGGTACCTGATTCACCAGCAACAATTTACCCCAAATGGTGGATGTACCTATGGGGACATATCAACTCAATCACCTGCAGCTAATCTGGTCGGTGGTTTATCGCCACCCCTCTGAAAAATATGAGTCAGTTGGGATGATTCTTCCCAATATATGGAAAAGAAAATTCATGGTCCAAACCACCCACCAGTAATGATTGATATATTTACAAGTGTTGATCTAAAGTTAAAGGTGATCCGTAGCATCGACATGATGGGATCAAAACTATACAAGGTGATCCAAAAATATCCAAAATGTAAATCACCTGACTCACGGCCTTTCGGTGGGAAACTGCCAGTCAAAAGCACCATAAAAGATTGATTCCACATTGCGGAAGTTAAGTTTTCTCCTTACTTTTAGCGCCAATTTGGTCTGGTGGGCTCAACGAATCAAACTCATGAAAGTCAATTGGGATCATCATCACCTTTGTTGAGATGGAAAAGCGCATAAATATAATATATATATACATATTATCAATGTATACAGATAATGTTGTATTATGTATTATGCAAAACATAAACCACCAACAAGTAGTGTATACCCATCATTTCCCCCAGTCGGGCACTGTTTGCTCAGCAATGGCTGAACTCAGTAGTTCGATCTGTCTGGGTGGAAGGCCTTTGAACATGGACACGCAATCCTTGGCAGGTGATGCTGGAGAGGTAACCCTCGGGTGTCAAACATGGCTGGGAAATCCCCGAACTAAATGAAGGTTTATGATGGTTTATGACTGGGAAAATCATCTATAAACGGGGAGTTTTCCACATCTATGACTCTGTTAATTTACTGAAGGTTAATCCTCAGATCCAGTGAAGCATCTACACAAGCTCATGGTCGATGACGGCAGGAATCGTTTCTGTTGCAACCTGGGGTATATGCAATGATATGCATGCATGATTCTATAAAAGCTTCAAGTGATACCCTCTGGTACACAAACATAACTATGAAATCACCATGCTATTCATGGGAAAACTCACTATTTCTATGGCCATGATCATATGCCGTCCCCCATCCCACCGATGACCCGCTCAGATCCAATGGATTCCGCAGTCCGAGCTGCCAAGAGTTTCCGGTTTTGGTCGATGCGTTCCTGCGGCCAAAAGATCACAGAACGATCGTATCCAAGAGACAGGTGACAGATACCTACAAAAAGTATATCAGATCTAGATCATGGACACATGAAAGTCTATACATATTTATTTATACCTATAGTATGTATATATATATATAGATACATATATATATAATATATAATTATATATATATTCCTACATAACACATGGTAGTGAAGACGGGAGCTTGGAGATTCCATCATTGCCATCTCCGGCTCGGTCCCGCGTTCGGTCGGTGATCATCTGCTGGATCTTCTGTCCATCTGCGCCCCAGAGACCAGACTTGCTGACGGCAAAGACCGAGGAGGACCTGAGCGCCACAAGCGCCACATCGCCGTTAAGACACGGAGGGAAGTCACTGGGAGATGATCGAAGTTGATATGAAGAAATGCCCAGAAATGCTTAGTGGGTTTGGGAATTTGGAATGGTTTATACGTCACAATGCATAAGAAACTGGGAGATATTGAGACATACCCCAAGTCTTGCAAATCATTAATCCACTAGTAGTCTACCGTGGCAATGGCAATTCTAAATAGATGGTTCTCCTATGCAATCGGGGGGATGTTCCATTGCCGGAGAATTTTTGGATGCCAGTCACTGCCAGTCACCAATCAAAAAATCACTTCCTCCAAGCTGTTTTGAAGTGGGCATCAGCCGTGGCTTTCTACCAAAAAAGCTGTCACCATTTTACCGGGCACGCTGTAACCGGGCCACTGTGGCTGCTTCATGAGGAAGTTCCAGCCGAAAGTACATCCACGGCCCTCAGTGGGTGGTGCCCGACTTAGCCATGTTGGAGTCGCTGAATGTCGGGGTTATGGTAGATCTACCCGGCCTGGTAAACATACAAAAAACGATGGAAAATCACCATTTTCAATGGATAAATCCACGAACTAAATCACCATTTTCAATAGCTATGTTACAGTAAATATTGTTAAATTACCAGAGGGTATCCACAGTCGGGTTTATAAACCAACTTACAACAGGTGGGGTACCACCCGGCATCTAGAGACATCCACTGATGATCATATTTTGAAGCTGTCCCTGCGGAAAACCTCCTTCACCAATTTTGCTTCACATGTCCAAAAATGACTGACTGATGATTCAACGGTGTATATATAAATCATATTAATGCATGGCCGCACACAAAGTCAAAGTCTTAAGCTACTCTGGACTTTTTGTATCTGCGGCTGACTATCGGTGAAGATATATCTGTGTTCTTTTCAGGGCCTAACCGTTCTTTTCTGTTCTTTTCTTACATTGTAAATGAGATATATCCTGTCCTTGTTCTTTTCTGTTGTTGCCTCACCGTTCTGAAATCTAAGAACGTGAAGAGGAAAGGTTTGGAAAATCGCGTCCAAGTGCAGGTAGGTCAACAGCCTACCTGTCGTGCAAACACAAATCGACTACCATAGTCTATTTGGAGATGTTCATTCATCTACTACCTAATATGTGGGAAAGTGTTGATTTGTATTGGTCTCCAAAAAAGATATAGAAACGTGAGTTGCCATCAAAGTACTAGGGAATCACTTAGTCCATCTCCTTGAACAATGGATTGGTTTCAGGGAAAGTCTTAACCAGAAACCATTGTTTTTGCCCCCGCATTTCCCCAAATACTGGGACCCATTCTCCACGCCGACCTTTTTCCGTAGAGGCATCATGGTTTGACAAGGCGCCAAGGTAGCCACAGATGCACCATCAATCCTCACCTCGTAGTGTGGCTGGTATCTCTGGTTATTGATTGGGCATTTTTTTCATGACATGGAAGTTTCTCAAACTTGGGGGCCCACCAAACCAAAGATATCAAAGATGCTCTTTCTGTTGGTTTCTGCTCAATCGGCTAGGATCATCTTGCCTTGATCGACACTGGACCCCTTGTGTTATGCTTTTCTACCCTCTTCGAGGTCTTCTTTCGCGCCTCAAAGCTCCCATTGTCGACCACAAAGATGTAGCCGCTAGCGCCGCCCACACCATCTGAGCGTTGATAGTGGCCCACCCAACTGGAGGATCCCAAGGATGGCTTCGGATATCTTAGGATCTTCAAGTTGCTGAACTTCATGGTGAAATTCATGGAATTCCACCTGTCCTAAACCCAGGGACCCAAGGGACCCAGGAAGGGACCCAGGAAGGGACCCAGGAAGGGACCCAGGAAGGGACCCAGGAAGGGACAGCAAGAGCTTCCTACTCAAAATCTTAAAAATCTGATTTCAGATTGAAATGGATCTGGGTCGAACATAGGGTACCAACTTGGCCCACAAAATAACTCATTGTTAGTATCAAACCCATCCATTTTGAGGGTCAATAATTCTGAATGGTTACTAAGAATGACCTACCTATCCATAACAACCAAGCACTAATTGTTGAGTCATATATCTACCCTCTGGTAAACTAACATAACTATGGAAACATCAACAGTTTTAGTATGCAAATCATCCATAAATGGGGACTTTCAATAGCTCTGTTGGTTTACCGAAGAGTATATCAAAAATGGATCATTCAATTCAATGGCTGCTTGAAGCGTCAGTTGATCTACATCCAGGACACCTTCATCGTCGGAGCCATCTGAACCATCCTTGGTAAGCAGGATTTCTGGGCACACTTTATCCACAGAGAACCTTCTATCTCAATATTGTTACTAAGTTACTGTAAAGCAATACAAAACCACCCATATCTTTAAGGTTAATACTACCCATAGAAACAGTAACTTGATGTAAATTTGGGAACACTACGATGAATGTCGCTTAGTTTTGGGTCATTTCTCCTTGTTCATCGAACCACAGATGCTGAGGAAAAAACCAGAACCGTAGCGCCATAGCTGCGATTTACCATAAAATTTACCCAGCTCAGCCAGGCATCAAATTCGTAGTACTCCATCATGCTCACAATCCTGAAATGGCGCCAGGCATCACACATCAGCCGTGCTTTCGGTATTTATATACCGGTGGTTTATACCGGTGGTTTCACCCAGCGAAATTCGATGGAGTGTTCACCTGATGAATTTGTGTACTTTATAGTTTTGACAGATTCTGACAGATAGGGGGAACAGTTCACTTTGTTTGTTCCTTTCTGAGCATTTGGAGATGCCAAAGTGTCCCATGTTGCCAGGCATGCAGCTCCTTTTCTGGCCCTCAAACCTCCACAAAAGCATGGCCAAGTGCTTGCTGTGGATCAAGATAGCTGGTGGATGTCAACCCAACTGATTTACATATAATAAGCTATCAATCAACTGACATATGATCATAATCATTCATAATCCCCATTTACCAGATTCATTGGGGAGGACCTGCTATATTTCCATCTATTTACCATACAGTGGATGGAAGAAATCCTGCACCAGTTGGTGGTTTATACCACTATATTTATAGGGTTTCAACCATCCAAGGTGGTGCAGGATTTCGCAACCATCCACAGTAGCTTTTGAACAATCCCAAGATAGCTTTTGAATACTTTTGAATTCATTTACCAGAGGTTTTGAACCTATTTACCCTCTGGTAATTTGTTACATAGCTATTGAAAATGACCATTTATAGTGGATTTTCCCATTGAAAATGGTGATTTCCCATAGCTATTGTTAGTTTATCAGAGGGTACCATAGCTTTTGAACCCACCAACTTTGTCCAAGGTTCTGTTGCAGATCCGCCTCATTGAGCTGCGCTTGGCCGCTCCCCGGATCTCTGCTCCTGCGAAAAATCCCCGGTGAAGTCCCAGTGGGTGGCAACGGAAGAATCAAAAAAAATAGAAAAAACCTATAGAAATAATGGTAGATTCTGGTAGATTGTAGTAGATTATGCTATAGATTAGATATAGTAGATTGTATCAGATTGTGGTAGATTGCTCAGTACTTCCCTGTTTTTTTTTTGGTTAGAAATGGCAACTCCAGTCTGACATCAAAACCCACCGCAGATCCAACATGCCAAGCGACAAGGACTCCACCAGGAATTTCTCCACCTCCGGCGTCTTGTTGCCTGACAGTTCAGTGACCAGGGCCCGGAGCGTTGGACGGAAAATGATGGAAAATGATGGAAAATCATGGAAAATGATGGAAAATGATGGAAATACCTGACCAAAAAGTAGAAAATGTGTAATGTGGGTAAAACATGGTAAAACATGGTAAAAAATCATAAACCACCCATTTAGGATTGGTTTATACCACCTATCTATGGTGATTTGGGTGATGGTTTATCATTGTTTTACCCAGATTGATATGTCCAGGTTCATATGTGGATTGACTGATTCCGTTGGCAAACAGTGCATATCAGAAATCCGTTGCACCATTTCAGATGTATTGCTGAGATCACCCCTGGCGCAGCGCCTATCTTTCTTCTGGTTTGAAGTCGCCTGGAACCTGCTCGGGCCATGGCTGCGATCTCACAACACAAAGGTTTGTCATGGCCGAAGAATGTTCCATGCGCTTGAACATGCTGGGTTCATATTGAGTTTAATCACCATGACCATGGTATCTATGAATGGTAGTCAGCATCAGAAACTGAATGGTGATATTGTAAATGATGAGCTCATATTCAGTTTAATCACCATGCATGACCCATATCCACGGCGTGAATTCCCAGTTCTCAAACATCATTTACATTCCGCCCCTTCCAACTAATACAGTTCCTCCCAAATAGGCGGTTGGAAGACAATTATTTCCTCTAAAAAGTAATGATTATCAGGGTCAGACTCTTTGTTGGGAACATATATATATATATATATCCAATTGACCCAATGAAAATTTGTCAGATTCATTATTGCTAAACCATCATTGCTAAACATTTTTGTTCATCAACCAATATGACCATCATTGAAAACTCATCATTCCAAACATGATTTTCTCATGGATACCATCTGGTAAACTAACATAACTATGGAAAATCACCATTTTAATTGGGTAAATCAACTATAAATGGCCATTTTCAATAGCTATGTAACAAATTACCAGAGGGTAAACCCATCATTTCCACCATGTTTTCACCACCCGCGAGGCCAACCATCAACCATCAACCATCGGCCTTGAGGAGTGGACTGCGGCCGCAAACTCATGGTTGGCATGAGCTGGTTGTGGCGCCCTGCCGAAAAAGGGGGAGGGTCAGTATCAGTAACCAAAATTGGATGTTGAAAACAAAACATGGATACAAAAAAATAGGAGGTTGAAGTTTGACTCGTGTGCCCCATGAAAATATAACTTAAATGATACATATGTATATATATATATATTATTATATATATATGTGACGTTGAAGTTTGACCAATTTCGATCAATGAAAACTATGGACCTACCTGATCTTAACCATGGAAAAAGCATGAGACTTGAAGGCACTAAAATGACAGTCAAACATACTCAAACCACGCGGCTTTGCCTGGTAATTTCAGGATGAGACTATCACAACTTTTTTAGGGGTCAGCGCTCCAACAATACGTAGTAAAATCCTGAATGATAGTTACACAATGTTCCATAGTTCCATACTATATATATATATATACATCTAATTTTTGTTCTCAAATAATCTCAAATTCGTCTCCCAAATGTCAGAATGTTACTAGATTTACTAGTCAACAACAAGAATATTGAGCAAGTAATTGGATGTACAGTACTCAAGAATGAGGAACCCCCAGGTAAAAAAACAGCAGTCTCCACCTGGCAGATCTAACCACGAGCATAAAACAGTCTCCAAACAACTTTGGCATTCCCCCAACGATATGAAACTGAATTGAGGGGGAAAATCCAGAACAGCTAAATCAGACTTCTGAGTTTCTTCGAAATAAAATCACACCAGGAACGCCAATTCTCTTGGGATGTCCACACCGAAGTTCAAATTGATCTATATTGGGTTTGTCCAAAAACCGTTTTTATGCCAAACCCTCATGGTTGATCATCTCCCAATATAAAAATGCGGTAAATTATATATGGGTACCCTCTGGTAATTTGTTACATAGCTATTGAAAATCACCATAGAAATAGTGGATTTTCCCATTAATAGCATGGTGATTTCCCATAGTTTTTTGTAAACGTTTACCAGAGGGTATACAGCAAAGGATAGCAAAGGATAGCAGTCCATGGAGTTAACAAGTCCATGTGATAATCATCGAGAAAATGGTGGTATACCTACCCCCCTGAAGAATCTGAAAGTCAAATTGGATCATCCCAACTATTGGGGAAATTGGGGAACATAACATTCATGTTCCAGTCACCACCAACCAGTCATGTACTTGAGCCATGTGATAATCATGTACCCTCTGCTAAACGTTTACATAGCGAACTGGAAAATCACCATGCTATTAATGGGAAAATCAACTATTTCGACTGGGCCATGTTCAATAGCAAACTGTTTGTTTACCAGGCCGGGTACTTGAGCCATTGGAGTACCCAGTCGTCATCAGTCCCTTGGCCCGCACCTTGTTCCTTCGGTTTCTCAGACTTCTCTTCACCCTGGCGGAACTCCCAAGGCTGGTGGCACCCAGACATCCCTTTATCAACATCGTTCAAAAACCATCAGTTTTCAATATTACACAATATTACACATCAAATCCACAGACATTTTAAATGTTTTGTTGTATTAGTTCATTGCATCAAATCCATACCCTCTGGTAATTTCTTACATAGCTATTGATAGCATGGTGATTTAGAAATTTACTTCGTGGATTTACCCATTGATAGCATGATGGATCTTTCCATAGTTATGTAAACGTTTATCAAATCCATAACCATATTTTCACATAACTGTTGATAATATGTTTTCAATAATCCATCAGTTCATTGCATCAAATCAAAAAAAAACATGTTTTTTTCACATCTTTTCCATACGCGGCCTTTAATACCTTGAATGATGCGCCCAGAAACCAACCGCGCCTGACCGGGGGTCCCGGATTCACCTGAAACTCAGAGCGCAGCAGTTAGGGCCACGAGTCATCCCTTGAGGGATTTTGCCAGCGATGAATGGGAGAAAACACGATTTTATGAGCAATGATATGATATTATATGGGATTTTATGGGATATTTATGGTGATTATCCTTTATGATGGTAATGGACTTAGTATACTTAGTGACTTAGTCACTTTTTGTTGTGCTTATATGATATTATGAAATACTTAGGGACATTAGTGATATGGATATTTCATAATGGTGGTTATAATGACGTCATGAACATATTCATACCAGCAAAACCACCCAGCAATTTCTGATGTGGCTGCCGGCTGCCTTGACATGTGAAAAACAGCTGCCCGCCTGTGCGGATGGTTGAAGTCATAGTAGCACACCTCAACCGCGAGAAATGCAGGAGGGAAGATCAAAATAAAGATCCAGGGGGTTAGCCATGTACAAAATGCTTGCCTATGATATGTCTTAAACTGAACATAGTGGCCATTTATTGGAATGATTCCCCATTTGGGCGTCATTCTTGGCAGTTAACCCCGCAGTTTTCATGTTAAAACCTCATTCTTCATGTTTTTTTACACAACCAAAACCCCATATCTCATCATTTGTGTATAGTTAAATAATGTTTTCGATATAGATAAATCATGTTGGCCCCCAATTTTTCATGAGATCATGCGGTCCATGTCCATGGCTTTGCACCTCTGTGGAGGTGGACCTGGCATTGCAGCTCCACGAGCTACGGGAGCTTGCATACCTGGGACGCTTCTGGGGAAACCTGAGGTATGCTACTGAACTGAGGTAAAATGGAGGATTTAAACAAATCCGAAGCATGTTTTTTTGACCTTAAAATGTAGAAAAACTGAGAGAACATAGAAGAACTGATGGATTGTTTTCGGGTTTTTCCATGTTGTTTTGCATCAGTTGCCGTGGTTTTCTAAAAATAATGTCGCCCTCAACCAGATGTGGGAAGGAATCCAAGAATACAGTTGCAGAGAGACATGATGTTTTCTTATAAGATCACAAATCACAAAGTACTCATAATACAAATGTCTGTGAAGTTTCTACCTGTTTGTCTACCATGTTTTTTGAGAGTGTTTTTGATCATCCGAACTCTCCGTTTCATTCTCGCCAAGAATCATCAAGGATTTGATGATATGTCACTCTTGAACCATCCTGCAAATTGAAAAATTGAATCGTTATTGGAAAAACATGAATGATTGAATGATCCTCAAAAAATATAACGATCATTAACATTAATTGGAACTATCCTGACTTGGAATAGTTCCTCAAAAAATGATCGTTCTGTAACTGGAACATATTGTGGAACTATCCTATCTATCCTGAATTTCGCAGTGCAGAACTATGCAGAACTGCCGATATCGGACGATCCAATCCCCACGTAGGATTGACAGGATGAACTAACCTAATCTATCCAATGCCAGCAAAAAATAAAAGCGGCCAATTTGGAAATTCATGTTCTATACAACAAGCCTATTTGGGCCAATGTGTTTTGTCCTCAAAATTGCCACATATTTGTTGGATTGAATCCTTGTTGGATACCACATATTTGTTGGTTTCTGAAATCACTAACTGATATCGAAAATATCCTAAGATTGGCTATGTAAAAATATCTACCATCAACCATCATCAACCACTGCTAGCTTAAGTCTAATTGATATATCTCCCATGTTCAGAGATTGCCCTTTATTCAACATCAACAAAACAACAATCAATCAGTATATCATCATGAATAAAACCATATTATATATATATAAAGACTCAAAGGGCCGCACTTTTTATACTGCTCTGCAAGACCGAGTTTGTCAAATTAGAAAATTGAAAACTTGAAAATTGTAGGAAAAACTGTCCCCCCCCATGGAGCATTTTTGCGGGCACCCATGCCCAATACCCCCAAGGCAACCCGGCCAAACCCTAGGTTCACCTTGGCCAAGGTATTTAGGGTCACCCCAGTGCCCGGCCAAACCCAAAGGCAACTGGGGACCTTCACCCTGTTTCAGCACTTTCCTGTGCTTTCTTATGCTCCTTTTTTGTCTTTTCCAACGTCCCCTTTTCTGCGAAGAAATCTTCGTAAGCTCAAGCTTTGGTGGAGAGGGCCAAATACGCTTGAGACTTGTCCTCAAATCTGATCCAAAGAATCATGTGGTTTTAGAAAAGATCTAACTAGGACATGACGCTTAGACGGAATATGTGGCTTCGCCACGTTCGCAAGCAATAATGTGAACATTTCAGGTTCATGGTTTTGTCTCCTCTGTTGGGATTGTTGCCCTACCTTAAGGCCAACGTGCATCCTTTAGAAGATTGGCTTTCCTTGTAATGACAGCCCAGACGCAAAGGCCCATAAACGTGGGACACCAATATTTTGTGAGACCGCACACGGTTCCCTGCAAAGAGGGTAATATTGTAAATCGGCCATATGAATAGGAGATGGCGTCACCAACCCTTCCCGCAGATATTGGTTTCGGCCGTGCAACAAAAACTTTATTGAAGCGATTAGCATTAAAAGTTTTCACCTTTAGCCGTCAAATTGCTGAAAAAAAATCTGATCTAGCTTTGGCAGAAAAATCCCTGCTGCGGCTGGCGGATCACTTGCCTCCGTGCCAGCCCGTGAATAGAAAGTAACTAAACTTGCTTCTCAGAACTTTCCCACTTATTTTGTGAGCGTCACTGACAGTCTGAGCTCCTGCGACATGTTGCACGTAACAAATATGGATCTGCTAAGCAGATGCAACGGCCACCAGGCTTCACACTAACAAGACACTCACAATGGCATGCTCCAATGCCAGGACAACAGCCATGTAGCAATCATGCAGTTCTGGCTGGCGTAACGCATCTTACAAAGGGGAAGCGTACGTTTCACGCGTGCTCCCATCTGCCTCAGTACGATGCCAGCGCGCCGCCTGAGGGCTTCCAAAACAGCTCAGGAAAACACTTCCAAGCAACACTTGATGTGACAAGCATGTCTCCAGTTGGAGACCTATCAGTCGTCACACCGATAAAGTGATAAAACAAATGCTACAAAAACATTGCTCCACATGCATATAAAGCCTGCAAGTGGACGCCATAAACGCCACGCGTAGAAATTCTCCGAACTTTTTCCGGCCTTCACCGTCCTCTGGGACTATCATGCTCTACCCGTGACTCAAGCCTTGCAACTACAAGGGGCATAAGCGACAGCCATGTTGCACTGATGCAAGCCCTGCAGATGTATTTTTAAAACGGGAGACTTCCGCTTCGCGTCCTCTCCCAAATGACAAAGCCCATAATGCCCAGACATGTTGCGATGATTCACCCCTGGCTGGATTAGTGTATCATGGAAGCGGGAGATTTCCGTTTCACGTCTTCTCCCAGATGAGCTTCCGCCATAAAGTCACAATTATCATAAAGAACAGCCGTGTCGCGATGATGCAAGCCCTGGCTGGTTTTAAAAATCTGAGAAGTGTGTAAAATCCAGTGTCACGCACTCTCTCACATCACAAAGGCCATAGCATGCCATAGCCAACGGCCATGCTGCAATGATGCAGCATGGCTGGGTTGATGTAACTTAAAAACGGGAGATTTCTGTTTCTCGTCAGCCCCCGGATCAAAAAAGACACAACTAACAGCCATCTTGCAATGATGCCAGCCCTGGATGGCTTGATGTATCTTACAAAACGAGAGTTTACCGTTTCACGTCAGCTCCCACATCACAAAAGACATAACCAACAGCCATGTTGCAATGATGCAAGCCCTGGCTGGTTTGATGTATCTTAAAAACGGGAGATTATCGTTTCACGTCAGCTCCCAAATCACAAAAGACATAACCAACAGCCATGTTGCCATGATGCAAGCTCTGGCTGGTTTTGCTGATCACAAAGGCCGTAATCAACAGCCATGTTGCGATGATGCCAGCCCTGTTTGGGCTGATGTATCTTAAAAACAGGAGATGATCGTTTCACGTCAGCTCCCAAATCACAAAAGATATAACCAACAGCCATGTTGCAATAATGCAAGCTCTGGCTGGTTTTGCGGATCACAAAGGCCGCAATCAACAGCCATGTTGCGATGATGCAAGCCCTGTTTGGGCTGATGTATCTTAAAAACGGGAGATTATCGTTTCACGTCAGCTCCCAAATCACAAAAGACATAACCAACAGCCATGTTGCAATGATGCAAGCTCTGGCTGGTTTTGCGGATCACAAAGGCAATAATCAACAGCCAGGTTGCGATGGTGCAAGCCCTGGTTGGGTTATGTATCTTAAAAACGGGAGATGATCGTTTCACGTCAGCTCCCAAATCACAAAAGACATAACCAACAGCCATGTTGCAATGATGCAAGCTCTGGCTGGTTTTGCGGATCACAAAGGCCGTAATCAACAGCCATGTTGCGATGATGCAAGCCCTGTTTGGGCTGATGTATCTTAAAAACGGGAGATGATCGTTTCACGTCAGCTCCCAAATCACAAAAGACATAACCAACAGCCATGTTGCAATGATGCAAGCTCTGGCTGTTTTTGCGGATCACAAAGGCCGTAATCAACAGCCAGGTTGCGATGATGCAAGCCCTGTTTGGGCTGATGTATCTTAAAAACGGGAGATGATCGTTTCACGTCAGCTCCCAGATCACAAAAACATAACCAACAGCCATCTTGCAATGATGCAAGCCCTGGTTGGTTTGCTGTATCTTAAAAAAAGGGGGTGGAAATTACCGATTCACGCCCACTCCCAAATCGCAACAGATATAGCCAACAGCCATGTTGCACTGATGCAAGCCCTGGCTGGTTTGATTTTTAAAACCGAGAGGTTTCTGTTTCACGTCGGCTCCCAGGCCACAAAAGACATAACCGACAGCCATGTTGCAAAGATGCAAGCCCTGGCTGGGTTGATGTAAATCAAAAACGGGAGATTTCTGTTTCACGTCAGCTCCCAGAGCACTAAAGACATACCCAACAGCCATGTGGCAAAGACGCAGGCCCTGGCTGGGTTGATGTCTATCAAGAACAGAGAAATTAGTTTCACGTCTTCTCCTGCTAAGTTGAGGCCGCAGGCTACACCTTCTCAACTACGCACACCGCAGTATTCTACAGCCCTATATACATATGGGGATGCTATTGTATACTGGTGAAACAAGCAGTGGTCATTTCCAAGGCCAGAACCAGAATCCCTGTAGAGCATGTGTAACCATGTTGCAGCGATGGCCACCTGGGCTGATGAGCGCATCTTGGAACGGGAGAAGAACGTTTCACACCTTCTCCCCGCGCTAGTAGGTTACAAGGACTCCACGCGGCGTTAGAAGCCATGTTGGAAATTCACGCTGCACTGATGATGCAAACAGTGGCAATCACCGAGCTCATAGCCAAAAGCTACGTTGCAGTGATGCGAGCACTAGCCGATTCTTACCAACAGGATATTTACACGCCACGCCTTCTCCTGAAGAAATTGATCCCCATCAAGACAAAGCAAAGCCTTACAAACATTTTCAACTACGAACGCTCCAGCCTGGAGCCCCCTATTTTACTGCTATGCTACACAGATACGACAAGCACGAGCGATTGCCAAGGCAAACCAACATTCTTGTTCCAGTGATTCCAGCCTTGGTTGACTAGCGCTCTTGGAAGCGGGAGATGAACGCCGCACGCCTTCTCGCAAGAACAATGCTCCATACACAGACAAAGGCTGCAGTTATACAATTGGCTGTAGTGGAGGCTCGCTTAAACAAACGCGGCTCTAGAATCCCATTTGCCTGCCATGCTGCATTGGAGATGCAAGCATTGACAGCCACAAAGGCTAAAAACCACAGCAACGTTGCAATATTGCAAGCCGTGGCTGGGGAAATGTTAAAATCGAGAGATATACGACTCCTTGTCTTCTCGTGAAGGAAATAGAGCACATCCGGCGAAATCTGCCGCCAAGAGGTCGCAACAAACACCAACCAAAACCACCAGCTGAGGTCCCCGTACTGCAAGCCCAGGCTGTGCAAACGTTTCCCTTAAAAAAGGAAATTAAACAAAAACATATTAGCAAGCATCATACGCCTACCGTCTTCTCCCAAAGAAATAGCTCCAGATACAGTCAACATCTGCTGCGAAGTTGTCACGAATGCCCCCACACTATACAAGACAAAAAGGGGGAACCTATACCAAGCACACTGCAACTTCAACAGCCCTGTTGGCCCGCGAAGCTACATTGGTGATTTAAAAGTAATGTCCACACTGCAAAGATACCAGCTTCCGCTTGCCGAATGTACCTGACAGATGGCTAAGCAAAAATCTACATACTACCTCACGCGCATACTCCCAAAGGCATTGGCCTCTACACAATATCGCCGCCAAAGCCCATTGCTGCGTTGATGCAACAGTCCGCCGGCTAAACAGTGCAGCTTCTAAAGCCTTTTCCGACTCATCTGCTGCACTTGTGATACAAGCACTAGTGGTCACCCAGGCTGTCATGAGAAGCAGCATTTTTGTTGGAGTGATACAAGCTGCAGCGGGCTAAACGAGAATTAAACATTTCACAGCCACGTCTTTGCCCAAAGACAGTGGCCGATGTAGGTATGAATTCTGCTGCTAAGTTGGCCTAGCAGCCATCAGACTACACGACTACATAATCCGGAGTTACTATGCTAATTGCGCTGCAACTCCCCCACTGCACGGGTAATGCCATGAATCATGACCACCAGACAAGTTTCAGTGCTGCAAACCCTGGCTGGCTAAACGTGTCTTACAAACAGGAGATATGCGTTTCACGTCTTAACCGCGAAAAAGTTGTCTAAACAAACAAATGCTGCTGCTAAGTCGGTGCAACAGCCAGTAGACAAAACCCTCCGCACCTTCGACACAAACCACAGGGTAATTTCCATTTTACGCTCCCTTCTTGTGGAGGAAGCGCAGGAGCCACATTCTCCCAACGGATCAACTGTGCTGTTAGTACTCTCACCTTTCGTCCTGAAAAAACATGCCCCCACGAGGGAGCCGCAGTGGTGCTTTTCCATGAGCTAACACGCTCGAGGTCATCCAAAAAATCCTGAATGACCAAGCTTTGATACTCAGAAGCTTTTACCGGTCCCTCCAATCCATCACCATTGAGAGATTTAAGGGACCAACTAAAACACCGCAAAACCCTTTTAATCCGGGATGATTTGTTGGGGAAAAGGCAGGCTATGCAGCAGGAGGACGGGGGCAGAGGAGAAAGTCTGCCCGTGGTCAAGGCCTTGCAAGAGCGTCAAAAAAGAAAATATCGTCCAACCTGCTTCCAAGCCAGATTAAAATATTCCCGTCAAACTTGATCAACCCCTGAATCCACTTCGTTTTCCTGGCTCTCAACTCGGCCCATGCCTGAGTGTTCTGCCGCGGTGTCTTCCGACCTATCCAAGCCTTCTGTACAAACGGATCCCTTCGACTCAGTGGCAGCTGAATCGCCGCATTGGAAAATTCAGAGTCAAGCAACGTCTATCTCAGTACACCTTGTCGCCGTCTTCTTCCCGCCTGCTTCCTTTCCATAACCGCCGTTTTCCTTGGATAATCTCCTCTATCTGAAACCTCTGGCTGCCTCTGGATATCTCTTCCTTCTTCTTTTCTCGACCTCTCTGACCCCCTGGGGCCCTCATATTGGTCAACCTCTTTGCCGTCCATCTTCTGTGCTCCTCCGCTCAGGAGCTCTTCTTGTTGTCTGCCTCTTTTGCCTTTCCTCCAGTCACTCTCCTCCGCCAAGGATTGCCCTGCTTTGTACTGTGCTGCTGTCTCCTCCTCTGAAGCTGCTCTCCCAACTCCTTGTCGTGAAAGTCAGCTGCGTGAAAGTCAGCTGAGGGGCGTCTCCTCACGCTCGCAGCACTTCTACTTAGGGCCTTTTCACAGGCAGCCGGTGGGATCATCCACGTCTCTTAGCCTCTCTTTCTGCCTTCCTGGCAGGATCTAGTCCAAATTGTAAGATGTCTGCTTGCCTCTCTCTTCGGACCACGCCCTTTGACTTTGAACCTCCAGGGGGCACCCAACCAGGAGGAGGACCTTGAGGTTCAGGCGGTCGGAAACCTCTTGGGGGATGGCGAGGCTCAGCTGGCCTTGCGTGTAAACTCCAACAGCCAGGTGGGGGCTCCTCAGGTCCCGGCCTAGCGTCTTCCAGCAGCTCTTTCCTTTGCTCTATCAGCCTCAACCTACTAGACCTGCTTGGAGTGGCTGGTCGGGGATGACGACCTTCTTTGCTATCTCGGCCTTCGGGAGCAGCTACTCCTTCAACCACGCTGGTGGCTTTGCTCCGCTCCTCTTTGACTGATGTAGCACCTTTCTCAGACGAAGAACGAACTGTCCTCTGATGACTCTGTGGGGACACCTGGTGGTCAACTGGGCGAGCTCCTGTAGAGACGACTGGGCTCTGTGGGGATTTGTGTCTACGGCGACGGCGACTCCTTGACTCTTCTCTTCTCCTCTCCTTGTCTGTCTTCTTGGCTGGCCTTGCCTCTTCTGATTCTCCCTCGCGGCTCCTCTTTCTACGTTCTCTTCTCTCTCTGTCTCCTCCTCTGGAACTCCCTCTTACGGGAGCAAGGTCTTGATTGTGCTTATCCTCAGCTCCTTGCTGGCTGCCCCCTGCCAAAGGCTGCCACAAGGAAAGGCGATGCGCCTCGCGGTAGTCCACAAGCTCTTCAAAGGCTGCGCGCAGCAACCCAAGGGCTTTGGCCTGGAAGGACACGCTCTCGTGCCCCAGATGCACTTCTTCGCCCAGCCGCCTCCAAGTCAGGCAGAGCTGACAGGGGCAAGTGAGCCGGGATCCGAGTGGTCCTGGCCCACTCATCAAACGCTAAGCCAAAGCTGCGGCATAAAACGCATTGACCCTTTTCATCTTTAACAACGGGGGCGTTTACCCATATACAAAAGCAGTATATATACATACATATCCCCATATAATATGGTATATGCATTGCCAATCTTAGATACCCTGCAAAAAATTGAAAATTCTTTGCTGGTGAACGTAGATATTCCCATTAATACCAAAAGACGAGTTAGGATTATTTGGTATCCATGTAAGATTGACCTAGTATGCCTATGATTTCCCATTAGTTGCTTTGAAGCCTCCATTGTTTGGGCTCGTTGCTGGATGGGCTCTGCAGCTTCGTTGGGCTCAGGTGTTTGGGTGACGCCTTCGCTGTCGTCGGCGCCTGGCTGGAAAGTCCCCGAGTCCCCGAGTCCGAACTACGGAGGTTTCATGCGGTTTATGGATTGGTTTTCACGGGAAAATCTACAGAAAACCATGGTTTTTACCATCAAATTGATCTGGGTTTCCGGTTAAAATTGTCCCATCATCCAATTCTATGAGGTTTATAACTGGGAAAATCATCTATAAATATGTTGATTTACATCTATAACTGGGAAAATCTTTGAACTAAATGGAGGGTTTTCCACATCTGTGTTGATTTACAGAATGGGGGTTGGTCACGTCTCCCCGTAATATACATTCACATACATGTTACATATATATATATTACATTCCTAACCAGTTCAACTGGTTTATCTCATGGCCAGTATAATAGCACAGATTTCTGCAACAACAATGGCTCCAAGGATTCTGATTTGTTGCGCAAATGGTAGTCAGCTGACACTACCCACAGGCGGCTATATCTCCAATCACGTAAGTAAGAGATGTCTTCCAGTTCCTTAATTATTTGCCAGCCATGGCTGGAATGGTTGGTCAAGCAAACCTACATTACATGCCCTTCCCGAGTCCCAACCCATCATTCTCCTATTTTGTTCGAACGATATCCTAGTATTGGACATGGTGGTAACCAAGGACCAAATGATTCGCAGCTTGAAAACATCATGAAACCTTGTGGTTGGCATGGAACAACTTTGATAGTGTACTAACTACCACAAAAATGTCAGAATTTGAGCTGGGTTAGTAGCTAATAATAACCATATCTCTCGATCTATGGCCATATGGCGCTAAAACTACATACAAACAAGTATATAAAGCATATAAAACTTTTATAAAACCATATAAAACCATTCAACTTCCCAACTCACAAGTTTCATTACCCTTTTCAAACAGGCTTCCGTCCCGACCCAGGCGACCCCACCTGCACCCCCGGCGCGGCCGTCACTTGCACCACGGGCCGCACCGGTGGGGCATAGGCGGAACGCCCGGGAGCGGCCGCCTGACGCCTCCGAGATGGTAGAAAGCCCAAGAAAATGATGGGATGTTGATGGGATGTTTAGCACCCTTTTCAACTGGAGGATTTCAAAAAACCATGCCAACATACCATACTCTCTGGTCATCTAAGCTATGGCCCATGAGAAGTGAATATAACATAATATAATCCATATAAGCCAACATACCAAGCTGTTGATCTGATAGTTTTCTAGCAGTACCTGTACAAATTTGATGTTGGGATTTGATGCAATGAGAAATACCGACAATAGTGATTTTCGATAACTATCTGAACAATTTGCCTCATGGGTTTCGAGGTTTGCACCCAAGTATAGTGAAGATTAGTGAAGTGTAAACTCTGGCAATCCAACCCGGCAACTGAAATTCGATATCCGTTTAAGATGACTATTTATAGTTTTCTCTAGATTTACCCTCTGGTAAACTAACATAGCTATTGAAAATGACCATTTATAGTGGATTTTCCCATTAAAAATGATGATTTTCCATAGTTTTTTGTATGTTTACCAGAGGGTATCTATCCTGAATGCGGATTTCCCAGCCAGGTTCGATTTCCAGATGGTAGTTCTCAACTGGGGGATCTTTATCATCTTGCATTTTGAGTGCCAAGATGACAACATATCAGTAATGTTATAAAACATAATAATAATAATAATTATTATAACATACCAGTAATGTTATAAAACATTATAACTCTATACATCTCTCATGTTTGCCGTACTCTTTACCAGTAATTTCGTGTTGCGTCTTTTTAAAAAATCGGTTGGACCGAGGGACGTCGCGACCATGGGCTTCTGGATTGGGCTGCCAACACCTCGGACGTCATGGGGGTACCCCAATAGCTGGATGGTTTATAACAGACAATCCCAATCTAAAATGGATGATTGATGATTTAGGGGTACCGGGGTACCCAAATTTTAGGGAACCTCGAAATATCCCATTCATTAGCAACTGGAGCGAAGTCACTAAGCATTTACTAGCTAGCTTCGGTTGAACTATATCCCAGCCAGAGCCAATGACCTGTGTACAGTAGGTGCCATCTTTACGTCTCCTACCTAGCTAGCGCGGCATCTCCCATGAAGTGAGAGTCCTTTCGAGGGCTTCACAACTGTAACCCGAAGCAGCCCTTTGCTCAAAAAATTCCGGGGAAAAACGTGTAAAAAACATGGAAAAAAAAAAGCATCCACATCATCCACCAGTTCAGCAACTGGTCCCATCATAAAAGTCATCAATTTCCCCATCCAAAACAGTGATCATCCAGGCTCTCAAACCCCGCTCTCAAACCCTGCCTTGTCGGCTGGGTGAGGGGGGTGAGGTGGGCGATGGCTGTGGCCTGAGCTGATGTCAATGGGATGATGTCATATGTTTTGATAGGAAAATATCCCATTAATACATATAAATTTGCTGATTAGTATATACATATTTATATATTTTGATACGTATATGTTATATTATGTTATATATGTACAACCTAGATAGGAAAATACTAATTTCTAATATATATATATATATATGTAACTACAATACCTAATGAGTCAAGGATATCAACTAAGGAACTGTCATATTCAGTATGTTCAATACGCTAAATTCGTTTAACCAACGCTTCGATTTTCTCTGGATTTTGATGTTCAACCAGGAGATCATCTGATGAAATCGGAACCATATCTGGTTGGTGGTTGAGCCACTCCTCTGAAGAAATATGAGTCAGTTGGGATATGTTGGGATTATGCTTCCCAACTGAATGGAAAAATCAAAATCAATCAAAATCATGTTCCACACCACTAAGCAGATATTATGATATCATATCCAAGTTGAACTACCTGCCTCATGTGCAATTGATGTTTGTTGCCAAATCAACATATATAGTTCGAAAACCTCAACACTTAAGGTCATCATTGGCAAATTGTCAGATAATGTTCAGTAAACAAATGCAAAACATGCTGATGAAAATATTTTGGCTGAAGTAATCATGAAATTCAGTTGTTCATGTTCTTCATTGTAAATCTTAAGTCTACATTGCTTCCATCAATGCAGCCCATTATATATGACCACAAGCAGGGCACCTATGACCTATGACCTGTGGCTGGGCTGCCCTACGCCACCAGTACGTGCCGATGGCCCGGGCTCATCACCCCTGGTATGGATGGGTTTTTCCGGGGAAATCTACAGGAAACCAGGCTTTTACCAGTCAAGATATATTGGCTTTTCCATAAAATTGTCCCTTTCACCAATCCAATGATTACCCCGGTTAGATATTGATATGGGTTGTAAGATGTTATAAGTATCTAGAAGTAGCAAGTACAGTAGCAAACATTTAACATTTGATGCACATCACAGCACCTGCTTTTGCTTAAAGCGCTGGGGAAAAAAGATGGAACCTGCAGTAGGCATTTGTACTGATTCGGCGTGTTTGATGTTCCGACCTGACCCCCGTGATCTAATGTGATCTATCGTCTGATTCTTCATGGTTCTTCAATGATATTTATATATCTTAGATATCTTAGATGAGCAGCCTGATACCTTGGTGCCTTTTCAACGTGAAGATTGGTTTCCTGTTTTCCACCCAGGCTGGAACAAATTCAAGGACGGAGAATATGAACCGCCCGAGATACCACCTGGAGTCTGCACAACACTCAGGGAAATGAACATCAGATTCAACAAATCTAAGAATATGGATCCAACTTTTTAAAGGCACCAATTTAATGAGCCTCTATGCCAAAACTCATCACACTTGACTTGAAAACTCCCAATGTTTGAAATCTCCTTGATATCCATTTCAGCTGTGTTCAAGTTGATTCACACAAAGTCTCAAGGGAGGACAGTTGCGAGAAATTCCAAGGGTTCCTGCAACAGAATTCTTCATGGGAGATAACGAGCTATAGTCTGAATGAACTCAAAATCATTCACCAATCCATGAAGTTAAATGTTCACGATAGTCTTTGAGAATTTCCATGAATTTCCACTGACAAGTTCATCTATGTTGACGCGGTGGTGAAGCAGAGATTTTGGTGGGCCCCCGGATCAAATCATCCAAAAAAAAAGATCGAAATGTCAGTTAAAATCCCCAAAATAATGCAGATATTCTATCAAATAAAATAGTCCAAATAATGAAAATAACTATTCTATTAAAATATAGTCGTTCAGTAAATCCACATCAGTGAAAAATGCGTATAATTATCCCAGATTATATATTCCATATTATCCCAAATATTATCCCACTATCATGAATCAACCATCACCATTCCCAAAGGCCGCCTGCCCTGGGGGGCGAGACGCGACCATCTGGCCTGGTAGATGGTCAAAGAAGGATTGGTGAAGGGAAGGACAGTGATGGAGAACCGAGGTATTTTCTCATGGGATAATACGGTTGCTACATTTTTGTGGGATAATATATATGATTATATATGGGATAATAATGCATAATATGGGATAGTCAATCCTCAAATTGCTTGATAACTATAAGGTTTCAACTATAATTATCATGTAATATATGTTGATATATATAAATATATGTCGATCTTCAAATTGGTTGGGGGGTTCTACATAGGGTGAGCCATCCAAAATAGACCACAGCCAAGCAGTTGAGATTTAAATGTGAAGCAAAACGAAACTCCAGTTGAGCTGGCATCGCAAAACCCGAAAGGAACCAGCAAAACGATGTTTGACAAAATATCAACCAAGAAACAAATCCAGCTAGGTGTTTGCAATTAACCCTAATATTATCCCATTTTATCCCAGATTTTCCCACTAATAATGAATCAACCAGCATTTAACCGTTCCTTCACCAAGCTTCTGGCCCCCCGCACCCATTGGAAGCGTCTGAGACTAGGACGATGCCACGTGCCGGGGATGCTGCGGGCTGCCAGGACCTGTTGGACCTGGCTGTTGGGCCTGGAAATCTCCCTGGAAATCTTAAGGAATCCATGGCCAGTTCAGGAACCCCAAAAAAAAATTAGGAGGTACCTACAATGTGAGGCCCCCAAGATAGCTAAGTTGGTGAACATAAGTCCACTAACTATGGTTTATGGTACGCAAATAACTATAGCTACTGGGGCGAATCTAAAGCAACTTACAACTGGGGGGCCTCACATTGTACCATATCTACCCTCTGGTAAACATACAAAAAGCTATTGAACATGGCCCTAATCGAAATCGTTGATTTACCGAACTTAAAAATGGTAATTTTCCATATGTAAACGTTTACCAGAGGGTAAGGCCTATATAAATCAGGCCTAAATTTCAGGGAATATCACCACAAAATATTAGAACTGTCAGTGAATAATGATTGGTACAGGAAAACTTTGGATATTTCCAGTGAACTGGTACATTAGAATATCACTGGAAATATGATAATAATTAATGTTCCAATATGTTCCAATCATTATTGAATTATAACTGTCAGTGAACTCAATAATCATTGGGAAACCAAGAATATGCACCAACAATTACTCACTATAGCTGAATATCAAATATTCAATAACTTGTTGGAATATACCCTAATGACGGAAATCAACATCTGATCTTTCACAACAGAAATTTACACATTGGTTGATTTCTGTCACTAGGGGATATTTCAACCAGTTGTTGAGATATTGGGGGATTCTATCAATTTCAGGTTGTTACAAGTGATACTCAAGGGGTGTATATACCCCCCCAAAAAAATTGGGGCATGACCCATCACCAAATATCACCAAATCCCATTGGCCCTTGACCTATGGGCCCTGGTGATGCAAAGAAAATGAATCCTGGGACCTCAGACTTGTCCTATGAGTTTTCTGGCCGCCATTGAGTAAAAATAAAGGACACGACTTGAACCGAAGCGGCCTACTGGCCTACTGTTGGCATCAAGAATTACAGTATCTCCAGTAGAATCACCTACTTGGTGGCTGTTGAAAAACAGCTTGACCCCGGCAAGAGTCACCACAGCCTATGACACATCCATTCCCAAAACAAAGCACTCATGGAGAAGCATGGCCTTTGAGTTTCCAACCCTGGCTAAAGCCTTTCCCCGGAAGGAAATATAACTGGATATATATAATTGGAGTCCACCCCAATCCCTGCCTGAAGCCTTTGCCGTCGGCCTCGGTCTAAGCATGTGGCAAACCCGGTAAAACAAAAACCTAAGTGCATACAGTAGCTACCACAGCCATGATGCATCCAGAACCCAGATGTAGTAATTATCCTAATGTGTTTCTTGATCAATTTGGAAAAATCATGAACTATTATCGCACAAGTTACAAAACATCATCATCTACAGGAATCATCAGGAATCTATGTGTATACTTTCTAGTTCTCCGCCTGTTGGCCATACATCATCTCTCAACATGTCATGGCCCACCGCCACGACCAGCCACGACCATCACCACCACGTTTCGCCCGAGTGTCGAGGTGGCACCGGGTGTCGGCTTCAGGCTCACCGAGACCCGCATCGGCGCCGGCGCCAGCTTCCCGCCGCTGAACATCTCGGCCGGACGCAGAAAAAAAAGCGGAGGCCGGAGCTAGAGATGGGAAGGGCCTGGCTGTTTTTTGGTGCTGGCGATCTATATGATCTATGTGTTTTGTTGTGGTTTGTTGGGGGTGATCTGTTTTTGTTGGGGGTCGTAAGCAAAAGGAGTGATGGACTCTGAGATGCATCTCCTTGATGAAATGTATGTATTTTATAGATATGTCCAACGAAATCTCAGAGAGGGTGCCATTTCATGGTGAAACTTGGAAGGTGCTTTAGCGGGATTTCTTGAGAACTGCTGCCTTGGTGGTGTTTGCTTCGGCAATTTTGTTGCCACTGGCGATGACCTACTCGTGAGGAACAATGCTCACCTGAGAGCCCAAAAGGTGCGCAAAGGAATGCGAAGCTGTAGCAGTTTATCTGTAAAGACTGAGGATCCATACAGACTCTGGTTTCAGAAGTGAACCAAATCCCTACATTGTACAGTTTTTCTGATCATCATGAAATATCATGAAGGACTTTGGAATTGGACTTGCAACGCTCATAACAAACATCGTCACCATGTTGCAGCCATCAGGCCCCAGTAACTTGTTGCCTTTGCATCGTGGACTTCGATGGACTCTGTGGTTTCCATTTCAGCCCTTGATCAAATGTTGCTTCAAGTATCTTCAAGTCCTTTTTGTTGGTTGAAACTGCCAATGAGGGAAACATCCATATATGTTCTTGTTGCTTAAAATATGTTAAAATCATCCCCATAGATACGCATTGTTGTTAGATAGTTTTGCCAATTTTGGACAGAAAGAGACAACCCGCGCATCTGTCCCCAACCCAGGCAGCAATCCCACCCCCCCCTTGCTATGTGACCTGCAACGGCTTCCTCCTGCACCGGATCCAGAAGTGGCGCGTCATTTTCAGGAGCTGAAGACATGAAAATGAAATGAACATGTTGTCATGTTGGGCCATATCCCCATGTTTAGTCATGTTATTGAGCAAGACTCTGCTTCCATGAATCTTCACTTTCCATCACTCCAAATCATAAATTCCACCAGGAGGGGAGGAAAGAAACATCACTTTTCCTTCATTGATGTCCACGTGTTGCTTGGTTGTCTGTTTCTGATGGTTCTATGCCCGTGTTGCTGTATGACGCTATATGTCTATATTATAACTATACACACATACACACACACTTGCTGAGAATTGCTTATCGAATTATGAAGTTGGAATGCATCTTACGTGCAAAGCACAGCAACAGTAAACCTGGCAGGAAACAAGGCAGACAAGAAGTCAAATTCCATCGTTGACGATTCCATTGTACACACAATAAAATAATGTACATCTATTGAGATCTTACACACACACACACATACACACACCTTTTTGGACCCACCAAATATCACCAAGTTCTCGACCATCCCCAAGCGCTCCTCCTCCTGCAAGCGCCGCGCAAAGGCCTCGTCGGACTGCCAGAAGCGACGCAGCCTCATGGCCCAGGCCCAGCGGCAGCGTCGCGGAAGTGCGGTCCATCGCGCAGAAACCGCACGCGGTTTGGAGGAGTTGGGAACCTGGAGTCAAGCTGAATAAATGGTGCAATAAATGGTTGTTTCCAAACGAAAAGTAGACCAAAAGTTCAGATGGATTTGGATTCTCATCACAATCAGGCTTGTCTGATTTTTGAAAAAAAAATAATATAGAAGCTAATGGTTGAGAAAAATGTACTAATCCATTCTTGGACAAACCGTTTACTTCGCATGTTTAGGTGGCAAAAACAAAAACATTAAAAACAATAATTATTTTGTTCTACCGTTTGTTTGGGTTGGGTTTTATTAGTTACAAGATGTTATTGTAAGGTTGTCATTGGGTTGAGAATTATATCCTAGATAAAAAAAAATCCCTGATGGAAGGACAATTGGGTGAATGGTGAATGAGCGTGTTCAATCCTGCAGCTGGTGGTAAACCCTGCTGCTGCTGCTGCGGCTGCTGCGGCTGCTGCGGCTGCTGCTGCTGCTATCTATATATAATTATAAATTATATACATATAACTTGTGTAATCACCAATAAGATTAAACCACCATGCCCAAGCATGTGGACGTGTCCGCTCTGATACGGTTTCATTACATTGCTTCGCACAAATTGATCCTGTTGCGGGCTCTAGTGCTCGAATGTGCTCGAAATGTTTTGCCCAAAGAATTGGATGTTTGAAGACAAGGGATGGCGAACTTGGTGACACCATTGGTTTTAAAAAAGTGATCTGCTTCTGCCATCTTTTGCCCTTGAAGGTAAGAACGCTGACGGCAAGCGCTTGAACATAACTCCAAATGTGGCAGAACATGTCGTGGGCATTGTCTACAGCTTGGCCCAAATTGACAGAACAGAAGGAGATGGTTGACAAGTTGAGGTGACGAGGTGACTAGATCTCAACTGATTGATGCAATGCATGGGGTAAAATGTGCTGACTGGGGCCCGGCTCTGGTTTCTACCTGCCGAGGCCAAGAAATCCAAGAATCGCGGGCTTTCCAGGTCCAATCTTAGCTACTCATCTCAAAATTCATGGCCAGAGAATACACCACTGAACATTAAACATCACCAGTTGGTTTACCAGGGGTCACCCATTTCCCAACGCTTTGCCGGGGAAACTTTTGATCAATTTCGATCAAATCCGAAGTCTTCGCCAAAGCCTTCGGAGTGCAGTGACTTCTGCACCGCTCAGCCGATCACAAAACGCTACGTTTGAACGTTGATCATTGGCATCCTGAACACAGAAAACCCAAATCTCAGCTGTTGAGATCTAGGAGCCCAAATTGACCCTTACGCATCCCCTGACTTTCTGGTTTCAATCCATAAAAATGGCAGGTATCAAATTTGAGTTTTCCTGCGGTCCATCTGCGGAGCTCTCCTTGATGCCCAGCGGTCAGAGATGCGCGATGTTCTTTTCTCAAGTCACATCATCTGAGGCGATCCTTTGCGAACCAATTGGACCTAAAACATCTTACAGTAAACCAATTTTCAAATTGATGAATATGTTTGAACAAAGAATCCAATCAAAAATCAAACCAAAGGTTTTTGAACAAGCCAAGCAACTGAGTCTTTAAACGGCTCAAATGAAGGTATTGTCAACATATGCATATTCGGCACAAAAGAATGTGCCCGTTTAAATGTATGTGTTTGCTAGTAAGGTTTTTGTCGACCCTCTCACATCATGGTAGGTTTGGCATCTTCTCACTGCGGCAGCCGGAAGAGATCAATCGGAAGCACCTTCTCTGCAACAGATCTGGCAGAAAGTCCAGAGCCCGCTGAGCCCACAGCTCTGTTGCAAAGCTGCTCGTTCTCTGTACAACCAAAGCCCGATCTTTGGAACTCTGGTACAGCCTAAAAAACTCTTGCCATGCCAGTTGTCGAGCCATTTGCAAGACAAGTAAGAAACCTTATTTAAGTTTAGTTTAGACCCAGTAAAAAATGTGTCATGTATCCAGTTCCTATTACCAGGTAGTGGGGCTCTGGGGTCGCCCCAAATATCAACGTTTTCATGTCGCACTCATCATGTCAGAATGAAAATAATGAAAAGAATCGTTCAAACATCTCCCCAAGTGTTGAGCATATCATCACCAGCAATCCAATGGTGATGTTTTACCCTCTGGTAAACTAACATAACTATGGAAAATCACCATTTTTAATGGGAAAATCCACTATAAATGGTCATGTTCAATAGCTATGTTAAATTACCAGAGGGTAATCCAATGGTGATGTTTAAGACCCCCAGAAAAACAGTACATTTGCCAATGCCTCACACCTGGCGGGCCAAGGCGCCAAGGCCAACCGCCTCGTCGTCCATCACCGTCGCCTTGCCAGACGTCTGCAGTGCTCCGCTGCCGGCGTCAGATTGGGCTGGTGCAACGTGTGCAACGCCACCGGAGGTCGCTGCGAAGCAGGTAAGCTGGAGCTGCGCTGCGTCCTGGCTCGCTGGGACGTTTCAGCAACGGAAAATCAGCATCTCTGATGAACTACAAATGATGTTACATTGCTATGGTTATTTGATTCAGGCTATTACATTACTATCATGTTACTATACCCTCTGGTTATTTAACATAGCCATGGAAAATGGCCCATTTATAGATGGTGTACCTTTTAAAAATGGTGATTTTCCATGGCTATGTTGAATAACCAGATGGTAATATGGCTGTCCTGCACGATTTTCAAACATACGTCGTGATCATTCATTTGCCACCCAAAAATGAGCCATGGGTCACCTATCCCAGCCAGATGGCTTCCGGCTAAAAAAAACACCAACTCTCAGCGGTACTTCAAAGCACATGTGCCAAACAGGATTCCTCATAAACACGGCATGTAAGGCCATATATGCCCATATATGGGCAAATTATAATAATTCACTAACCTGAATTAAGGCCATTTGGGGATGATTTCCCTTATTAATCATGATTCCAGTGAGGTCGCAGTGAGGTCGTTATAATTTACCCAGATATATGGGATGTCTTTATCATCCCATCTCACCGGAGTTTCTCTGAAAACGTTGGTACCAGCGGATCCTGTTCTGCGGAGGAGCACTGGACGGCACCTCAATGGGACCCATGACGTGCGCACCCTTTGGGATTTATGACGTGCGCATCCAAAATGGGGTGACACCTGAAGAAAATCAACATGAAACTCTTAAAATGGCCCCATACACAGAGAAAATATGAGAAAATCATATTTCCCAGGTGCAAAACCTCATGCTACATGGTTTTCTTATTCCCGTCATCCCATCATATCATGTGGCAGGTATCGGTCCCCAAAATATGAGTTGTGGGATAGTCTTCTGGGATACAGTACTAAAAAAATGACCTGAACTCTCTCTTGAGGGTGTTTCGTGTTCCCATGTGGATGGTGATTTGTCGCATTTCCGCCGTCTCAGAGGTTCAAACTTCGTCGAAACCATTCTTTTCTGGCATATATGGGATTTAATGGGATTTAATGGTGATTTAATGGGATATAATGGGATTTCATGTGGTTTCAAAACCAGGTTTTGAAAAGAAAAGAAACCTCAGCTTCTCCAAAGAAATCCTATGCTTTTCCAGCAACAATCCGACCGCAGCTTCTCCACACCCTGGCACACTGGAGACTGAGGGAGGACGTGCCGCTGGAGCCGTTGGCACCCCCACTGGAACCGCCACAGGGAGGTCAGGAGTGTCACCCTCGAAGGGCCCCTGACGTCTAAGCGGGCTTAGGAAAGATCAGCAACGAAATCGAACAGTCATATCATATAGTGTAAGTCTAATAATATCTATAATAATAGGCTAATCAATGCTCACCAATTCTAATCATGATACATCATGATATATCATGATCTTCCGAACATACGTCGTTTCATCAACATCATTCAACAAATCAAAAATGCTGCTGAAAAACACCCGGCTGTGCACCTTGAACCCGGGATACCCCGCGGTGGCGGAACCCAGTGCCCGCCGTCGTCGGGGTGGCGGCCCAGAGCGACCCAGGTGCTGCAGCATGTCCTGAGGTGATGGAAACCTTAAGCCCAAAAATCCTGACTTAAAACATATAGAAAAGTCTGCATCCCCTGATAGGTACCCTCTGGTTATTTAACATAGCTATGGAAAATTCTAAGATATCTATGATTTAATCTAGTTGGGGATACTATAAAATTTGTGTTCTTTCCTATGGTTTCTTCAGGATAAATCTAAGGTAGCAATCCCCAAGAAACCATAGAAGTATATAGAAAAGAACAGCAATTCATCACGATTTTCGCTGTTTTGGTTGGATGTGACATGTCTATTCTTTTTGAGGGAAGTTGTGCTAGAATGGAATTTAATAGAAATGTGGATTTTGGCAAGAAGAGTGGAGATTTGACCAAGAAAAATGGGATTTCACTACCAAGAATAGAGTTTGAACCACAAAAATTGGTACTAAATCAAGAAAAGAATCGAATTCAAAGTCCTGGGTTTTGACCAATGCGGGCTATAAATGCCAGTTAAGCTATTAAGCAATGATTATTTTTCATAACCACAATGGGTTTGTCTAAAAAGGGGCTACCCCAAACTTCTGATGCTTTCCACATTCTTCGTACTGAAATAACACACTTTTGAGAAATATCATCCATTCTCAGACATTAGTTGTGTTGGTTGTTCCCATATCATACCCTCATTATGGTTGCTACCCCTTGATGTTTGGTTAAATCAATGCATTGCTTGAAAGGAAATTCTTAACCGGAAACCGTCGATTTTCCCATGAAGATCATGGGGCTTAAGCCAGTAAATTTTCCCGAACAAAAACAATCCATTGACTATCAAGTTTCCATTAAATCCCATTAAATCACCATAAAATCCAGTTAAATCCCATTAAATCACCATAAAATCTCATTAAATCACCATAAAATCCAATTAAATCACCATAAAATCCCATGAAGTCCCATTAAATCCCATTAATAATCATCATAAAATCCCATAAAGTCCCATAAAATCCCATTAAATCACCAGAAAATCCCACTGAATCACGATAAAATCTCATTTTATCACGATAAAATTCCATTTTATCACCATAGAATTCTCAATTTCCATTGATGTTAGTTCATGGTTAAACTATCCCTCGCCTCGGCACTGGCCGCGCTGCCACGGCTGCTGCCTGCGCTGGTGGGGCCACTGGCAGCGCGCTCGTCGCGGTCGCAGCTGGCGAGGGCCGGAAGCGCCGGAAGCGTCGTCCAGGGCCTAGCCGTGGGGCCTAGGACCCAGCCAAATCATAGGGATTTCAGCATGAAAAATAGGGATTCTAGCACAAAAATGGATTTGTCTGAAAATAGTGTATCTCATATTCCAATGGATTATCACCATGTTCCCCATGAAAATTGCGCTATTTGTGGGTATCCCCCATTTTCAGACAAACCCAAATGGGGACAACAATTGGGGGGGATGATATATGATAATATGATAGGGTTTAATTAATGGGAAACGAACACATAAATAATGGTATATCTTTTGGGGATAATTAGTGCTACGAGTAATGTGGGACAAAGGCTGTTTAGTCCACAAGACTGGCATTGAATGTGTGGGTGATGTTGCAACACAAGAATGTATAAGGATGTATAAGGTGTTGTTCTAAGATGTTATAAGCATGAACATGAATTAAGCATGCATGGGATTCATATCAGTGATTCATTACGATTCATCCAATGATCGACTATTATTACCCAAGTTATCAACCACGGTTGTATAAATCATTTCAACTCCATATATGACTAAATGATCAACATTTGTTAAGATGTTCCCATAAATACCAATCTGGTTGGTGGTTGAGCCACCCCTCTGAAAAATATGAGTCAGTTGGGATGATTATTCTATTCTCAACTGAATGGAAAGTCATAATCCATTCATGTTCCAAACCACCAACCAGTAGTGATTGATATAAAATCCTATAAAATTCCTATAAACATCCTATAAATCCTATAAAATCACATAAATACCTATAAAATCCTATAAGAATGTTATAATATCTGTGGATTTCCTCATCAGCTTAGATCACAGGGTCCCCTGACAACTCTCGCAGGGGCGGTCGCGTGCCACCGCCGCGGAGCAAAGGAATCGGAGCGTCTTTCAGGCGCCACCTGAGCGAAACATTAATGTGGGTTAATGATGGTTAATCTACCATAATAAAGGTTCATGATGGTTGATAATGGGCATAATCATGGGATAATAATGGTTTATATCATGGTTAATGATGGGATAATGTTGGTAAAACAATGCCATAAATAAAGCACCCATGACCATACCACCGATGTTTTTTTTGGTGATCTGGGGGATGGTTTATGACATTGTTTTACCCACATTACATACTTTGTCCGCTTAAACTATGAGATTTTCCAGGAAGAACATGTCTAGTCAGAGTCCAGTTCTTGGAAAACATGTCTAGTTCTTGGAAAATCCCCTAACAAACGTCGACTGTAGTACAACAAGCCATTTGTTTTTGATGCTTTTGAATCTAGACTATTCCCCAGGGCGCACATCCAAGTAGTCCCAGCAACCATCATGTCACATAGCCATGGGTCAAGTCAGTGGGACTGCCAAAACAGGATGACTTCAATGATGACAAACTTCCGACCAAAATGATATCTACTACCGACCCAGACCAAAATAGTGACAAAGGTCTGATAGATCATATCATGTACAATCAATGGTCTGCGGCCTCTTCTGTATGTTGAAATACAACAAATGACTTCTGGGGGTTCAGAATAGAGGAGATATGAAGAGACAGGCCCCCAAAAAAAGGCTGTGTTTTGACTCCAATCAACCAGCATCTCCCCTGAAAATCCCCTGAAAATGAACCAAGTTTATCAGAATCTTTTTATCCAAACATGTCTCAGAAAGACGTGCCAGGAACAGCAGATCCTCCACTTGGATAACCATCCCCGCCGGAAAGTGATAACGAAGCTGTGCGAATCCACATCTAGGGGGGCATTGGATATCATTGGATCAGATTGGAGTGATTCATCACGGTACCCTCTGGTAAACGTTTACATAACTATATAGTAAATCACCATTTTTAAGTTCGGGAAATCAACAATAAATGGATATAAATGGCAATCTTCTAATAGCCATGTTACATGACCCAAAAGGTAAGTCAGATGGTCATCCCATTCCCAGGCGCTGCATCAAGGTGTGATCTCCACCTCCAAGGGTCACCAGGACGTTGCCTCGTTGGTCCAGCTGGAACCACAATTGGTTAACTCAAGTCTGGGCTCCAAGTCTGGACCGGCGGTTTTTTCGTCAAAAACATAGGCTGTGAGTGTCAATTTCCTGTTGAAAGAGTTCTAATTTCGCGGTGTGTGAATTTTCAGGACAGAAATCATCTCAATTTATACGACATGATACCTCGAAATGGACATATCACTGTATTTAATACCGGGTTGATATATGAAATCACGATCATCTCAATTTTCAGGACCAGAAACTCACTGGTTTCACTTCAGTGATTTAGTGATCTCTCTAACCGGGCGACCTGAGTTGAACTGGACGTTGGTGACCTCAAAAGCATGGCGTGCCATGAGGACCCTTTTTGCATGGCTCACCACGGCCTGGCGTTTGAGATTATCAACCCACCAACATAAATATGCTTTGATCATCTAAAAACAGTACTAGGTGGGTTAAGAATGGTTAATAAATGTTAATAATATAGCCCTAAAACAGAAATGGTACGAGGGTGTTTTTTGGTGGTGCATATTCTGTTCAAACGGTCCATTGATACATTGATAGATACCTGAATTCTGATCCAAACATACCATGACAAGTTCTGCTAATAGATCAACGAAGCCAACGAATATAATTCATCTACAACAGGGGATCTGTGAAAAAATGAATCAAAAAAAATAAACATATCCGTAATATTCCGTAATCATTATAGAAACATCTCATTGTTTGTGTTGACATTGTCAGCTTTGGTTACCGGAGGCTAAATGGCTGACTTCAGGACCGCAACAGCGGGGAAAAAATCTTCACCACTTGGGCTGCGCGCGTGCGAAGCATGGCCGCTGTACCTCAGTGATGACCATCCCGGCTAAGGTTATACCATGTTATACCACGTTTTGAGTCAGTGGTACCCATTGATCATGCACATTCATGAACATTCATGAAGCACATGAACTGGATTGTCCTACAGTCCTGCAAGGCTTCTCTACACTGATCATTTTTGGTGATGAAGGACTTGAGCGGGATGGACATGTGTAGACTCTCACCCAACAATACCCAACAATTTTGAATAAGCCAAGTTCAGGTCAAACAAACCGTAAGATATGTATTCATCCAGGATTTATTGGTTGAAACAGGGACCTCTTGCCGTTTGAAAAAACTTTGATTGATGACTGCAGCTATCTCAAGTTGAAAAACAATGGAACTTGACCAACAATCCCCCAGTTTACTTCGGAATCCACCAATGGACCGGTCATCCAACCATGTGGCACCCCCACCTTTGTGGCATCCCCATGTTTGTCGCTTCAAATCCCAACTCGCTGTGGCCAAAAACCTAAGAAACACCACATTTTATGGGATCAAAAAAACCCAGGTACATTGGTGAACCTCATAGCTTCAAATGGATGTTCATCTGATTTATCTCCTAAATATCGGGCCCTTATTAGGGCCCATAGGCTTTAACCCATGTGTGTCTGAGCCCTCGGACTCTCTCCCCTTGGCACGAGAGACGGGCGCTGGGAAGCCTGGCGGAAAGCATCAATCCCTGTGGGAAACTCAAATCGTAGCTTCTTGGCTCCTCATTTCATAGACAATATCAATACCCATAGCTCCGAACCCTCCAACCACTGTTTGTGTCCATGTACATGTCACGCACTTTTTTCCTTTTTTCCACCTCTTCTCACTTCAACATATGCAACTACAAAATGCAAATGAGGATTTGAAAGGAATCAACTACAAAATGAATGCAAATACTAAAAGGTGGGGTCCTTGGATCTGTGCATCATAATGAGTTGTGGTTCCTCCCGCTAGTGACGATGCTTCCCCTATCCCCTATCCGATGGCAAATCGGCGAATCCACTCCCGGCTTCCGGCCGGTTGTCATGCCAGCAGCACGATAGAGGTTCACCATGCCATCATCATCCCCAACCGCCACAACGTTGCCAGATGCTTCACCTGGCTCTAGCGGAGTGCACCCGGCTGGACAGGCCATGGGTTAAGCCATCAAGGTCAGCATGATGAACCCTGCATGTTTTGAGAGTCGTTTGTTACCCTTCTAACACCACGATTCAAAGGTTCCTGATTAAAACAGTCGCCTCCTAAAAACTGACGGTTGGAACCCCGACAACTGACATGTTGGAAGATGATTTACCTGTTGGAAATGGCAATCCTTATGGAGTTCATAGATGCAGATCTGTTCAGCACCTCAGATTTACCCCGAGTCATGCAAAGAGTCCGCCTGATGTAGAGAAGCTTTGGCAAACCGCATTGATGTCAGACTGGGCATAGCTATCTTTCCAGATCTCAGTCGGGGAGCTGGTTCCACATACCCGAACGCAGTAAACAAAATCCCCTGTCAATCATATTACAACAATGACAGCGTTTCGGTGATTTAGTCATATTTCAAAGGTTTGCTGCAGTTCTTGGTTTAGTCTTGATTCACCCGGATCCACTATTTAAAAAAAGAAACTGTTCACACCATTTACACCATAAAATATTACATATCATATATATATATATATACATATTATACTGTACATATTGTTTTTCCAGAAAACCCCCAAGGCAACCCCCAACCGTCCCGACGCACTTGATGCCATGGCACGCCCGCCACGGGCCATCCCAGCACATTCCGCCAGGGGCCCAGCCGCGGCATATCCCGAACCGCCGAGATGGTCGACAGGCGCTCACCGGTGCCCGTGCGCCACACGATGATGGACATATCCGTGGAATTGGACACCTGGAGGCAGTGACTGGGAAGAAGCAAAAAAAAAAACGAAAAATACAAGAAAGATGTGCATGTAGAAATATTTTTGTGGATCCATTTAAGGAACAAAGGACAAGTAGTGCAAGTTGATCTATGATCATGGATCATGTTAAAAGGAAGAAAATGACGCATAGAGAAGTGGTTTGCGATTCTCTTAAGCTGGATGTCTGCCTACAGGTCCCTGAACCCAGATGCCACTGAAAATCTATGCGTCAATCAGGGCCTGCTAGGGTGGACTTTCAATGGTTTCTCGACCCAAAATGGTTAGTATAATCAGTGTCATGTCAAGTAGGACTTATAAACTCTAGCCATTCAAAACTGGTCCAGAAAAATGTCACGACTTGAGCCCTGAAAAACGCCTCCAATCCTGCCCCATCTTGAAACCATCAATCAGCAAGATCATTGGCCATCCATCCCCTCAATCCCCAGCATCCATTACCGAGCAGCCAGGAACTGTGCATCAGCCGTGAACATCACGTGCGTCGGTGAGGACGAATTTCCCGTGAGCGCACCGCGGTAGTGAATCTCCTGAAAGTGCGGAGCTGCAAGTATGCATCCTCACCAAAAGATAGGACAAGTAAATCAGATAGCACCTCAAATTCCTGAAATCCATATATAATATATTATTATAATATGATATACATATAAATTATCAGTTAAGAAGGTATCCAGTAAGAAACATGCTTTCCAACCCGTTTCCATATCTTTTCATGTGCCTATTCAAGATCCAACCAGTATGGCCCACTTCCAGTGCCGAGCCACGCGGTGGCGTTCGCTTTCCTTGTGCTTATGGCCATGACGTGTCTTCCAAATCAGGCGAAAGAGGTAAATATTCTGATCCCAGCCTCGATCGCACCGGATCTCGCGATGATAAGGCTTCATTCAAGCCATCACCAAATGTGGTCATGACTTGAAGGGTTAAACAATAATTTCAGGTTGGGTTTGGAAAATCAAAATCAATATATATATATAGGGATAAAAGAATCATTTCAAGTATCATTTAAAATGACATTGAAACACACCATCAGCAGCCATGGCCAAAGTCAAGGATGAGGTCTACTGGCCCCTTGTGAGTCGAGCTGCACGCGCACGCGAGATACCGAGACTTGTCACCTTGGGTGAAGAGGACAACCCATTGGGTTGCAATGGATGAGATTCTCAATAACTATAGCAATCCCCAAGAAGATAGAAAAGTAAATCCCCATTAAAACAGTGAAGATTCACTGTTCCAATCTTTTCTATCATGAATTGGGGGTTACTATTGACTGTCAGTTTTGGATGATGGTGGTTGAGCAAAAAATAATGAGATGCAAGCTTAACAGGCCTCCATGAATCATGGCTGATAGCCTGATAGCATCTGATAGCTGTATCTCACTCCCTTGTTGTTCTCATAATCTCTGGAACTACCAACGACTTCCTATTTTCTTTGCGCAAATAGCGCAAAAGATTTGAGAAATCAAAAAAAACTGAACAAACCTGAATATATAAATTGCAATATTTTCACAAATCAGAAGCATATAAGCCTCTGTCCAAGCATATCCAAGCCATCTTTTGGATGATTTCCCCTTATTTTCGCCATCACTTGTGGCGCAATCGCCCAGATCCAAGACCCAGGCTATCCGCGTAGTTGGAAAACACGATCCAACTAATAACCTCTCCTTCCTGGTGCGACTGAAACCTCTGAAAGCTCTGGGGTGGATAGGATCGGATAGGGGGTCAACTTTTTCCCGCCAACAGCCACTGTCTATGTTCCAATCTTGTTCGCCTGGTTGGTTTTGTCTTCGCATTGAAATGCACCCCCACAAGCAATCACAACAGGACAACCGATTGCAGAAGCTGTCCTGACCACGGAAATCCTTCACAAAGGATACACGGCGACGCAGCAAACCTTAGGACACCCGGACTCACATTCACTGCAACATTGGGGTGGACATTGGGGTTGGTCGGCCAAAACAAAATCAAGTGAAATAGTCAGCAATGAATTATTTCACTATGAGAAAAGATCAGAAAACCTATGGTAAACCATCAAATTCTTATGAGAAAAGATAGGAAAACCTATGGTTAACCATCAAATTCATTGGGGTTGGGGGGTTGGGGGATGACCTGCTATATCTGTGAGAGGACCTGAGGATTGGCTTGGCTTGTGCCGGGCAGCTTCGAAGGGACGGGAATTCCAAGAGGGTCACCAGGCCCATTTGGCCCAGCACCAGGATATCACCTGCAATGCGGTTGACCCAACAGTTGCGTGGTGGTAAAAGGCGGGGTTGAACACATCAAAAAAAAAAGATTCGACCTACCAACTAGGGGGAAATTGCAATCACCAACAGAAAACAGTTCGTTTATTAGCAAACAGTAACAAGGAAATTTAACAGTTCGTGGGCAATGTCTCAAATCCAAGAAATACCAAGAATGGCAATGTGAAAAAACGTTTGGCTGTTGCCCAGCAGAGGACTCGCACTTCAACCGAAGAGTGGCCTTCGGGGGAAAACTCCAGGCGATGCACGGTCTGATCCGAGCGATAGGTCTTGTTGAACAATGGCTTTTTCGCCTCCAAATCCCAGAAATGGACCACCTGAGTGGAAGGCAATGGCGTTGCAGCTCTGAAACGGATCCCTGGGATTTTGAAGGTAAACCTAAATGGTCTTGTAGTAGGCTAACGAACCTCACTGGTTGATTTGGGAGTGCTTCCTAGCGTGGATCAGGATAATTGCTCTGCACAAGATTGTAGGATCCTATTACATAGTATTTTTCGAGGGTTTTTTTCGCCGGCGGCAAAATGGATCAACATGCCTATCAGGTCATCAGCCAGATCTTCGTGGTTCCCCAGATTTGGATCATTGAATCCCCAGATTTTCCGTCAGACCCCAGCCAACCACCAGCCCAGCCAGCCCTGCAGCCATGGCAACTCCTCGCTCATCACCACTGACGCAGAGTCCAGGAATGGTGGGATGATGTGCCAAGGCCCAGGACTCGACCTTGTGCGCCACCTGATGTCGTCTGAGGTCGTCTGAGGTCGTCTCTTTCTGATGTTTTGGCCACGAAGTTCTGTAGGGAAATGAATATCAAGACATAAGCAAGACTATCAACAATGATCAACAATTATCAACAATTATCAACAATTATCAACAATTAATGTCATATAGATATTCATAGATACTTTTGTTGGATGTGTTTTAAAAGAGCCTCCGACAGGAACTGGTGAAGCTTTCCAGGCTTTTCCCCAAGTTTCAGTGGGGATGCCATCAGATTTTTTTTAAAAAAATGGTACTCCCAACTTGATGCGTATCATCATGTGATGTTCTCAGTAAAGTTGCTATATTTTCGGGATTTTTGGGTATGCCTCCTTTTCAAACACATTTTGACCATAGGTGCGCCTGCACCACCCGCAACAAGCGCCTCTTGCCACCTGCCAATGGGGCGGATGGGTATGCAGTGAAGACAATTGATGATGTGACCCACAAATGGAATCAAATGGATAGGTCCAAACATTGTTTTTTTTGGGGAATATCCACAGGAAACCAATATGGTTTTCACCCTCAAATACAGAGGTGTCCTGCAATTTTCACATTCTCAACATCAATCAATTCTGGTCCATCCGTTCAAAGGTCAAAAAGTGCTGAATCCTGGCTGCGCACCTTGAAGTCCCAGGTCAAAAACCACCAAAATGTGAAGGGATGCAGCTAGGATCTGCCCCTTCTCCTTAGAGTTTGGAGGGTTAAACTGGGGCAAAAAACAGAGGATCCTCATTTAAAACCATGTTTGGTGCAAGAAAAAGACAGAAGTACAATGTGAATAATATTGGAATCTAATGTTTAATAATATTTATGGTGTATATATGTGAATCAATCATTTTACTGGTTGGTGGTATACGTACCCCTCTGAAAAATATGAAAGTCAATTGGGATGATTATTCCAAACCACCAATAATTTTAGAATATCTTAGACATAACAAACATTCTCAGCAACAACATGCCCCAACAAGTGCCGCAGATCTGTTCTCACCCTGGCCTTCCCTCCTTCGACACCACCGCACCCCATGGAAACCTTTGTCCAGGACGCATTCGCCTGTAGACTCTTCCATCTGGGCTGTAATCCCTTGGGAAATTCCTGGCAGGAAACGGACGAAACGGATCCAGCAAGTCCATCTGATCCAACATCGGGTATTCCAGATTGAACTTCGCACATGGCCAAAATCTATGCCAACATACTCTTGGACAGATTCACTAACTTAGCCAGGTATGCAAAGTGAGTTCCTGGTTTGGCTTTGGTCTTGATTCTATGGTGAACTTGTCAAAATAGGCTGTACCCATGAAGCTTGGCTTGCATTTGCATTTCATTACTGAGTTTATTAGTCAGATCTCCGTCCCTGTTAGTGGTGTACCCTCACAGTTGTTGGTTATATACTCATATTATCGTGTTTGCTAGTTATGTGTCCCCAATCCAGGGGTTTGCGGGCTAAGTTCTTCTCGTGTGTCCTCATCATTGATTCCTCATATCCTCATCTGAGTTGGCTGGGGCTGGGTTTCGATTTGTCCCTTTTGAGTATATTCAACTGATTAGACTTATCCTGGTTGGTGGTATACCTACCCCTCTCAAAAATATGAGTCAGTTGGGATGATGACATTCCCAATATATGGAAAAATAAAAGCCATGTTCCAAACCACCAACCAGTATCAAATTTATACGAAACTTCTGGAGACATTTGATTTTCAGATACCCAGTGACTTGACCCAAACCCACATCCCCGGTCCTGGCCACTCTCTGCCGGCAGATCCTCAAGTGTGAAGCGCTCAATCACCTGAGGCCTAGCGCTTCGGTGAGCATCCCAACATCCCGACGCCAAGGTCCCCATTTTTCGCAACGATTAGATGAACCCAAGTGGTCATCATTGGAAAAACCCATCATCTCAATGACCCCCAGCAGAAAGTAGCAATTCTTCAGCTGGGTATCATAGAATCTGCTTCCATTTCCATTCAAATGGCAGAACTAAGCCATGAACACCCATCATTCTCCACCAAATCCCAGACCTGTGATTCTAGGACGAGTTGTTCCATGTTTTTCCCCATTGTTGGGGATGATCTCCAACAATGGACTACTGGACTCATCATTTTTCATAAGGTCACCTCGTGGTGTACAAAACATCCCCAGGGATCTCACCACTTCGCCTGATCCCCAGGGGTCGGCTCTGCCGCGGCATGGGCACCGGATCCTCCTCAAAACGGCCCAAGAGAAAGGTGCCACTGCTGTCGCAGGCGAGGAAGTCGAAGTTTGACCCTGCAGACGCTCGGTTGGTGGATTTTTTCCGGGTAAAATGTACCCGAAACCCGCGGTGTTAAAGGACTTTTCAGCAAATGTAAAGTTCAATTGAACTGATCGGTTTCACGAAAAAATTAGAGGAAACCGATGGGTTTTCATCCTCAATTGTGCTGGCATTTCCTCTTGAATTTTCCAGAATTTCAGAACTGTGGCCCACTGTGGCCTTCAAAAATTGGGTTGCAGAGGGCCAACCGTACTTGACCATTCTGTACACAAATCGGGATTAGCAATATCTGATGGCTCGATGGGTATGGGACAATTTTGTTTGTTCTCCACACAAGGCAGATTATTGGTCACAAAAAAATCCAACATCCAGGTCGATTTCAAGCTTCTTGGATCACAAAATCATGGCCAGCCATGTAACACATGCCAGTTTCACAAGACTAGGCGTCTATCAAAAGGATGTGAACCAGAGCGTATCGCTGGGCAACATTAGCAACGATCATCCCATAAAGTAAAAATGCCTCTGGATTCTGGATTTGACCAAATCATCACAAAATGGGAGACCTTCTGCTTCCACAAATCAGCATATCTTAGGTCATTCGAAGGCCCAAAAGGTTCAACTCCCACAACTTTTTCCGGCCTTGCTTCTGCAGAGACACTGCAGAACACAACTGCTGTGCCAGGCATGCATTGTGGTGCACGTGAGAGCCATGAACCTTGGGGGTGCCCAGAAGAGCAATGCCCCGACTTGTGGAAGATGTGGGTATGCCTCAAACATCATGTTGAGCCAATTGTAGTTGACTGCATAGTCAGTCACAATCACGATCATGTATACACTTATAGCAATTCAATAATTACAAAAATGAATAATTAATGATGACAATAACATACAATATGAACAAATAACTTAATAACCCCACTTCCTGACAGATTCAGACATCCTCAGCCACTCTTGATGAGGCGCATCGTAGAGCTGGCCCTCCTTGCCACACATCAGCAGGTGCCCGGCTTCCGTGGCGTACCCCACGTGCATCAGGTGTTGCTGCGGAGCCCTTGGTGGCTTCAACTGGGATCATTCCAGGAACTTTGGATGGAAAAATGGATGGATTTGGATCATTGCCATCCAAATAAAGATGGTCCAACCAGCCATTTCGTCTGATTCTTCCAATATCTTCTAAGAGGGTCAGGCCCAAACTGAAAGAATTGCGGAAGTCTGGAGGAGCAACCAAGAGAATCTGATGCAGCAAGCAGCAAGTATCGAATTGTGTTTTTGCCTTTCATGGTTTCCCTCCTGACTGAGAAAATCTCACAGGATTTGTTCTTGAGCACTCTGCAATGTTGTTTTTGTCTATCAATGGATTGGCTTCAGGGAAAATCTTCAGGAAACCATGATTTTCCCCACCAAATATAGGGTTTTCCTGTGAATTTTCCCTTAAAGGAACCCAGTTTGATTCTCCTCTGCACCAGTCGTCACAACAGCGGCCCAACGTCGAAGCGGCTTCCCAAAGATCACAGCACGATGCGCCAACTCCTTTCGTACTTCGCAGTACCTCGGTGGTGGCGAGGGAAGATCCTGGTGGCGTTGCGTTGCGGTGGCTTTTTATCGAAGATTCACACTGTGGATTTGCGCGAAAATTGCATGTGAAACTATGGGATGTTGAATCTAAATACAAGCAAGGTTTTCTGTCGGAATTCATTGAAACTACATAGGAAGACATGTTCAAGCAGCTGTTGCAGCATCTTTTCTTGAACTCACCAACTTTCCCACTTGCAGCTGGATGGGAATCACTCTCATGGATGAACTCCTCCACGCTAATCACTAGTTGTAGCTTCTAGGCAGGGGTTAAACCTAAGGTTTGAGCCAATAATTTGATATAGCCGGTTATTTCAATTCTCAAACATTTCACAACATTATAGATGTCAACATATGTAATGTGGGTAAAACAACAATGAACCATCCCCCAGTCATCACCATGTTTATAGGTGGTATACCCTCTGGTAAACTAACATAACTATGGAAAATCACCATTTTTAATGGGTAAATCCACTATAAATGTCCATTTTCAATAGCTTTTTGTATGTTTACCAGAGGATAATAATGGTCACCATTCCCCGTCATGGCTGGTATGTCACCGTCCCACCATCCGCCATGTCACTCCCAGAGCTTGACCGCTGTCTTGCTCAGCGTGGCGAAACGGAAACGCTCCTCTGAGTCGAAGGGGTTGGTGATGGCCATCTCCTGACACCCGTCGACGTCTGTAGTGATGATGTTGGATGAAGATGTTGATGTCTGGTGAATGTTTAGTAGTGAAGCCCAATGAAAATATGGTTTGGGACATGTTCATCCAATATATATATATAGCTATGGACATCTATGGACTAGTTTGACCATCTTGTGTTTCGACCATATCATGAGGCCCATCTAATGATGTTTCCATAGTCATGGGGGTGGGATCGACGTAATTAGACCAACATAAGGTCGATTATACTGATAATAAGGTCGATTATAAAGATGGGGGTTGGTAAGGTTGCAAATCACCAACATAATTAGGTCTAATTAATTCTGATTATATGTTTATATATGTTTCGTATTGGGAGACCCCAATTTGTGACCCTTTTATAATTGGAACATTATGATGAACCCAGGGGAATTTTTTGAGGTATTCGCATTTTGAGACAAAATCATTTTGATCTCTGAAGTCACTTCCACGTCATTCTGATCTACTGTAATTATATATTTCTGGGTAAATTATAATAATTCACTAATCTGAAATAAGGCAATTTTGGGATGATTCCTCTTACTAACCATGATTCCAGTGAGGTCGCAGTGAGGTCGTTATAATTTACCCAGATATTTGGGTGGTCACTGCATGCTGTTTTTTTTCAATAGGCAAACGAGGAAAACTGTGTGTTTTGGCCAGACGCCAGCAGCTCTGCATTCATTTTGGGAGCCAAGCATCTGTAATGTTGCCACTGCCCCTCATCAGCATCTCTGGAATGCGCACGACGTAGGTTTGCGTCGGTTCCGCCGTCACTGGCTTTGACTTAGCTTCGTGGCTGTGGTTGACCATGGATTACACAACAAAGAGTGACTGTTGAAACTTGATCTGGTTGCTGGTGCAATAACCATCTTGAAAAATATGAAAGTCAATGGGAAGGATTATCCCATATATTATGGAAAAACAAATGTTCCAAACCACCAGTGATAAATGTGTTTCAAGTCTGCTTCCCCACAGTCCAATCATGTCCTGGGAAATTTCACCACCAGGATGAAAGCAACCACCTCTCAATGATTCTTCGCTGAGTGGCACAGAAGGTCGGAAGCCGAAAGAGTGCGATGCCTCTGCGCTAGCCACAAAACACTCACAGAATCATCAACCATCAATTGTTTCAAATATATCATCAAATATCGCGGTTTTTGGTTTTTTGTTGTCCGCCAAAAGCTCGAAATCTGACCCTTTTCACAAAAAAACAAAACTTCCAAAAATTCCCATCAGCTTGACAAAAATCTGGTTTTGATCAACTGCTAGAAATACCATCAAATCATCAAAAATTCCCCTGGTGTCTCCACTTTTTGCTCCAGCTCCCATCCAGTTTTTCTCGCCGAGAGTCTGCGTTGCTCATCCATGGCCATCATCACCGCAAAGCGGCCCGAGGCTGCGTGACAGCGCGGCTAGCACGTTGAAAGATGGAATCAATACCCTGGTCATGTGGTAAAAACATGTAAAAACCCATGATTAATGGGAATTATCCATTATCCATATTAATATTAATATAAATAATGGCATAATTACATATCCACTATCCATATTATCTATCATCCACTATCCATATTACCCTCTGGTAAATTAACATAGACCCTGGCAGATAGGGGTTGGAAGACTAGTTTCCATTAAAACATGGTGATTTTCAGGGTCTATGTTTATTTACCAGAGGGTAATATAAATAATGGTATAATTAGCATAATACCTTAAATTTCATTAAAGGTCCATGGATAATTACCATGATTAATAGAGCCAATAATATCCATGGAAATCTCCATGAGACAGCTGTAAGATCTATCTTTCTCGATGTTGCTACATGACCCATGTACCATCGCCACCTGCCTGAAATCGCCACCGCCGAGATACCGCGGAGTTGGGCCTGTCGCTGAGGAACCCGCTTGATATGTTTTCGTTGGTGTGTGATATTTAATGTTTTTGTATTAAGAGATGTTGGTCTTTAGAAATGTTGGTTTTTAGAAATGGTGATTTCTATTAAAAACCAATTAATAATTTGTATGTTTCATATTAGTATGTCTTAGAAATGGTAGAAATGGTGTTTGTTTTGAGAAAGATTCTAGAACATGTTTGGCTTCAGGCACAAGACAGATGATCATGATATATCATGATCATAATGAAGTGATATCACTTGCATGAATTTGAAACTTCGTGTGGCTTATCTGAACATTCATGCCTTTAGCTGGAGCTTTGGCTCATCTGATCATTATTTGGATGAATCATTGGTCCTTCATCGTGAATCCCAAACCAAAGATTGGTTGTTCGCCATTGGAAAAAAAACTGGCTGGATACCCGTGATCTTCATGATTGTAGCCATGGCCATGGCAATCCTCAAGAAAGCATTTTCTCGACGGCATCAATGCTCAATCTGCACATCTACTGTGCATGTATCAGAGCAATAATAGATGAACTGCTTCCTTAATCTGAATTGCGGTTCGCTTTGGCTGGTCGTTTTTTCGTGTTTGTTGCTTGTGCTATTCCTGTGCGATGAGCTCCGTTGAGGCTTCTTTCACTTGCCTAATGTCACACCTGCAACTCACGCATTGTTGAACTCAACTTCACTCAAAATCCTGGTCATGGTGATTGATACTCAATCCCAAAGCTGATTTAAAGATATTTCACGGCCAATTTTGGTTGATGGATCCGCCGGGACTTTCCATGCAGCAGTTGGCTATTCGGTCGCCATCGAAGACGGCCCCAGCATTGTCCCCAGAGCCACGTGCCTCTGTGACGGTCGTTGGATCCACCCTGGACACAGGACCAGGATCTATCTTCAGCGGAACAGTAGTTGATTGTTATTGAAAGCAAACATCCACCATCTGCTCTTGCGAACATCCACTGTACGAATGTGAGACACAGAATCAAAAACTTCGCAGGCGTTCAAATAGAATCTGAAGGTTGTCTTCGTTTTTGGTCGGCCCTAGTTGAGAATGGCACCAACATTGTTCTTCCATGCTCTGCTCTTTGCCCATTTCCCTACATATTCCGAGTCATCGTAAGGTCCGCACCAGTGGGGAAAATCCACCTCCCCCTCCTTGCGATCGCGGTGACGTGGCACTTCACCACCTGCAATCCGCTCATGATAACAACTCCGCCCTCAACTCTCCACTGCTCCACTGTCAAGTGGTCAAAGGGTCAAAATTGATCTAGGGTGGAACCAAGGGTGAACTGATGATTTTCATATACTCTTCTTATGATGGCAACTTCTTCTTTTTTCCGATATTTTCCTAAACTTTACAAAACCCAGAAGTTTTACGGTGTCCAACGGCCCATCCCAACATCTTCTCTGATGACCTGCCTTTGCAAGGCTCTGAACGATCGATATAGCAATGCAACCTCGGCCCCGAATGGACTAGAACGGATAGAAAAGGAGGCCTAGCATGTGGGGAGTCAAGGTTACACCTTCAACATCTTGTATTGGGGATTCATGCCAGGCAAATTTGGTGATCAACCCAAAATAGATGGGGATCAATCACTGTAGCCCTAGCTTTTCAAACCATGATAGTTGGTGTATATAGTATTCTATAGTATTAGTATGTTCATCCCCCAACCGATGGTGATTTAGGTGGCAAGACCCATCCCACTTGACCCATGGTGCATCGAGTTGCTTGCAGAGGGCGCGAGAAGGATAGCTTGGACACCAGACCTGCAGCGATCGACGACACCCGACCTCCGACGATGGGGCCTTTTGCGGCGCAAATTGAGAACTCCGTTCACGTGTGAATTTTTAGACTGTCACACAGAAACACAACTAGTTTGGGTTGTAGCAACCCTCAAAAAAATAGAGAAGTGAAATCCTACTATAGTATCTATATGTATCTATAGTCTATAGTCTATAGTCTATATAGAGTAATGATAAATTGGTCTATTTTTTTAAGGGAGTAGTATACATAAAAACAATCAAACAATATAAACAATCAAACTAAGCTGACACTGTCCGCACCCACGCTCCTTTTTTGTTCCCCCCGACAATCCCAGGCAGCGGTTCTGTTGGGCAATACCAACATTTCACCACCGCGCGGTTTGCAAGCTCAGAATTCGTCTCCATAGCCTTCCTGGGATTTGTGATTGAAATCATGTCACGTAATACACCAATTTAAAAAAATAAAATAAAATAATGTGCAATCATATGTTATAGATAGATAGATAGATAGATAGATCGATCGATCGATGGATGGATAGATGGATAGATGGATAGATATATAGATAGATAGATAGATAGATAGATCAATAGATAGATAGATAGATAGATAGGTAGATAGATAGATAGATAGATAGACAGACAATTGATCGATAGATCGATTGATAGATCGATAGAGCGATAGATGGATAGAGCGATAGATCGATCGATAGATCGATAGAGCGATAGATGGATAGAGCGATAGGTCGATCGATAGATACATAGATAACCATCACAAAATATCAACAAATAATAAAAACATATGATTGGCATGTAAAAATGGTGAAGTTTGGGATGACATGAGGTGGATGAGGCTCATCCACGAACTTACCAACATCTGCGATTTGAGCAATCATATTTCTGAGCCAATGGCAGGATCCTTCGCATAAGTTCGTTAAATAAATTGACAAACAACGGCTGAAACAAACCCAAGTATCCTCCTCTCCTTCACCTTCGGCAGTTTCGATGCCGACCTAATTTCGAACAGAAGCAGATCGAGAACATGACCATTCACGAACTTCACATAGTGCCACTGCGAGCAAACCAAACACGGTAATTTCCAAACATTGTGACCGCCAGGCTCGAAAAGCTTGGTGATGTCGCTGAGAGAAAGAGAGAGAGAGAGAGAGAAAAAAAAAAAAGAGAAAGAAAGAGATAAAGAAAGAAAAGAAAAGAAAAGAAAAGAAAGAAAGAAAGAGAGAGAGAGAGAGAACGCGGGCAAGGAGGTGGTTTAAGGAAGGCAGTGTGAAAAGAAGATTTGGCAGATTTGGCAAGTAGACGGTCGACGAGGCAACCCAGAGAAGAGCTGGCACCTAGGACAAGCAGCTGCAAACGGTAGTGGCTCAAGCCGGGGGGAAGGCAGAGTTCAAAGAAGTCATGAGCTCGCGCAGGGAGTGTGTGGAAGAATGTTAGGGAAGAGAAAGCTCAAAGAAGCGATAGCTGAAAAAAAAACATGCAGCTTGCACAACCCAGTAATTAGTTGAAGAAAGAACAGGTAGAATAAACTAAGAGGTATATAGCTGAGGAGAGCGAGACAGAGAGATACACAGAGATGAATAAATGTATATATATACATAGGAAGGGACAGAGAGAGAGAGAGAAAAAAAAAAATAGAAAGAGAGAAAGAGAGAAAGAAAGGAAGAGAGAAAGAGAGGAAGAGAGAAAGGGAGAAAGCGAGGCTGAGAGAAAGAGACAAAGAGAGAAAGAGACAAAGAGACAAAGACACAAAGACACAAAGAGACAAAGAGAGTCAAAGAGACAAAGAGAGAAAGAGACAAAGAGACAAAGAGACAAAGACAAAAAGACACAAAGAGACAAAGAGACAAAGACACAAAGACACAAAGACACAAAGAGACAAAGAGAGAGAGGGAGAAAAAAAAGAGAAAAAGAGAGAAAAGGAGAGAAAAAGAGAGAAAAAGAGACAAAAGGAGAGAAAAAGAGAGAAAAAGAGACAAAAGGAAAGAAAAAGAGAGAAAAAGAGACAGAGATGGAAAGAGGGCATGGGCCATTCGGTCACGCCTACATTCAATCATTCGAATCATTCGGTCCGCCACCCATGCTCATCATGTCATCATGTCTGTCAACCACTTTTCCTTTGTGTTCTTCTTGTCCTACTCGCTTGGAAACCACTAATTAACCGGCCAACGGTTGAGCTTCTACAGACAATCAGCCAAGCCATTGAGATATCCAATGCGCGCACCTCTTCGTAGTCCTTCTCCAAGGCAGCAAGATCTTCACGAGCTTCCGAGAACTCGCCCTCCTCCATACCCTCACCCACATAGTGGTGGACAAAGGCACGCTTTGAATACCTCAAACGTTCAAGTAGTTGATCGTCGCACCACTGCATTGGTCAGCCGCTCTAGATTTTCTAGGCCAAGAAATGCTACAGTAACAGGTTCAAAGAGTCATGGGCGATACAGGACAACAATGTTTTGTATCACACCTCCACAAATGGTGTGCCGCACGCAGGCGAAACTTTGCACCACCTAATCATAGTTTATTGTATTATATCTGCACCGCTGAAACATCAAATCAACCTGTTTCGGAGTGTGCACATGTCTGCGCCCTCTCCAAGCGTACCCTCAAGGCTTTCATCATGGGAAACTGATCGAGCATGCTTTGAAAGAAAGGAATTTATTGCATCCATCCCAAACATTTTTTGGTATTTAAAGCTCCGCACAGGAGGCGAAGAAAACTTCGGCTCCCCTGAGTTGTGCAGGACCCTGGACATAACTAATATGCACTAGCTTGCGCCACCTACACCCTACTTCACAGCCTACATATCAAGAAATCTGCTAACCAATGTCTGTGTGACACATGTCAGCACATGCACTCAACAAATCTGAACAGACATTCGTGAGTCCATGCGTGCATCAATGCATATGCCTGTTCTATCTCAAGCGACCTGTCTGTTAAACTCAGTAAACATGCCAATCTACAGGCCTGTCAGATGTCAGCAACTTTATCAAAGCACGTTCATTTGACAGGTCAGCTGGCGCACTAACACAAATGGCAGCCCACCTGCCTGCAAGTATGCTAAGGTTTTCAAGACATAAGGCAGCACACACCCGAGCAAATATGTAAATCCATCTCTGTTTCGCACCCTATATGCAAAGTCAAAGTAGCATGACAGGCGTTGTCAATATCAATGTCGTTCCATGCCCGCATATGTCAATCTGTATTACGGAACATGTGTCAGCACGCATGCATCTCAGAGCACACGTCAAGCAATGAAGACGTCAGTCAGCACGTCGGGTGCATCTGCGCATGAGGTTCAAATCTTTCTCCAAACATATGTCAAAGATTTCACGGGTTTCTTGGGTCCACCCGAAAGCCGAAGCACATCAAGTCGAATTTGTGGTCAATGCGGGAGAAGACCTCTGCGATGGCTGTTGAGTTAGAGATCATACAGCAGGCACGCATGACCTTGGCCAGATCTCCTCCAGGAACCACCTTGGAATCAGCAATTACTGTGCTAGCCACCGACTGAAAAGTATTTGTTATCCCATAGAATTACCCTCTGGTAATTTAACATAGCTATTGAAAATGGCCATTTACAGTGGATATATCAATTCACAATGGTGGTTTTCCATAGCTATGTTAGTTTACCAGAGGGTATTCCATTCTTTTGGGCGCCCCTTTGAAAACCAAAAGGTAACCTTTCGCAGACAAGCAACTGTGGGCGGTTGATAGTTGATACCGCACTTGAAACCAGTGGGGCACCAGTCCACGAACTGAATCGTACGCTTCGTCTTGATGGTGGCCACGGCTGCGTTCACATCCTTTGGCACCACATCTCCTTGCATACAGGTTTGCAAAAAGACACTGGGATTCATTCCTTTACTTCGAGGTATCCCCACTATTCCCCACTCTCCAAATGTGCCGGCATTGAGCCGTCAAACTTATTGATCTTAATACATCCCTGGACATTTTTACCGGTAAATCTATTGGCATCCTTCGCACATACAACCTGGAATCTTCTGTGACACTCTACCATACTCTATCTGATTTTTACCCGGCATGCACTGCAGCACCTTTATCTGCGATTTCTTCCGGCATCTTAGAGGGTTTCACATTGGGATAAGTTGTGATGACATACTCTCGGTGATATTAGTACAAAAACGTCTCAAACTTTATCTTGCATATCTTCTGACATTTTGTCTGAGGTACAGTCTCACACCTTGTTCAGCATGCACGATGACAAAGTAACTACAGGGCTATCTCTCTGACACGTGAACTGCGGTTTGTTCTTCCAGACGCTTTGTCTGACTTTGACCATCTTCTGGCACAATCTGTGACATCTTGCACCTCTGCATTTGGCATGGCATCTAGTCTGCCATTCTGTCTGGTTTCTATTGTCCGACATATGTCTGACATGTTTGCTGGGATGTGTTCTGACATTTCGTTTTGCATACATGCTGACATATCACTCAAGAGGAAATCTGACAGATAAACTTGCGATGTATTCTGACATTTTATCCGGGGCGCATTCTGACAAATGATCTGCATTAATTATCTTCCAGTCTCATCACAGATTATTACCTGCGATATCTTCTGATGATAGAACATGATATCTAACGGACAGAGCTTTGAGAGTGGGCTGAAGTCCAGGCGGGGTCAAACTATACAGGAGGCCACAAACAAACTCTGCCCAGCCCCCATTTCCAGCCAAGCATCCGCGATACATCATGCAGCAGGCCATGTATTTGCCATGACGAGGGTCGCACTTCACCATCATGGAAGCTGGCTCAAAGACAGACATGGTGATCTCTGCCACTGACAACTGCTCATGGTATGCCTTCTCCGCAGAGATGACTGGAGCATAGGAAGTGAGCATGAAGTGAATCCTGGGGTATGGCACAAGATTTGTCTGGAATTCGGTGATGTCCACGTTGAGCGCACCGTCAAAGCGCAGCGAAGCTGTCCTCACTGGTTAACATGACATGGCTGGTTGGCTTCCATGATTTTTTTGCAAAGTGCAGCGAGAAGAAACAAACAGAATCTGCATCGTGCGAAAATTAATCACGAAGCAAGGGTCAACGAGGAAATGATCTGGGCGATCAACCTGTTCAGGTTGGTGTAAGTTGGACGTTCAATGTCCAAGTTCCTGCGGCAAATATCGTAAAGCGCCTCATTGTCCTCAGCTTTTCCATGGTCAAACACGCCACCAGTGTGTAAACTTTTGCTATCAAACTGCCTGGGAGACAGCTATGTAGACTCCGATGATCAACATGGCATCGAGAACACCTATGGTACACCCCCGAACCATGTTGCAAAATCTCTTGGAAGATCTTGGAAGTGGAATCAAATGAATGTTGGACTACAGGGCAGTCCCAACAACACGGTGATTCCGCAACCCCACCCTGGTACTGCAAAGGACGCGGAGGACCCATCGCCAAAGCAGATCAACTATATGCTCAGCGAGCGGCATACATGATGGTCACGTCTGTGTGCTCTAGCAAAGAATGCACGCACCTCATGCTTTGCATTCCAGGACCCAATCAGGTAAACCTATGAAGAACCTTGAATCGATGGGGGAATAAAATGTTCATCATGAATCACAAATACAAGTCCCCATTCGAAGACTGCAAATTAAATTGAACCTGCAAAGCGAAAACAATTACTGCATCAGTCGTGAAACAGGACGGTGTTGTAGGGTTCCACCACCGCGGTAGCCACCTGTGGGCAGCACCACACGGTGAAAGAGATCTTGCTCTTCTTGCCGTAGTCCACAGACCTCTGACAGTTGTTCTTTTCACTGATATCTGACAACAATTTGCAAGGCGTCGGTCAGTATCTACCTAGCAAAAAAAAGGAACATGTTTCCATGACATTCCATAAACACCTGGAGACTGATACCAACCGATACCAACTGTTGCCGTCTTTCTTTTGATGGCAGCATCATGCAACTGGCAAGGGTTTTTCAATTGGCGGTCGCCACACCATGCAACCCGTGCGCCTTAAGATCAACTAACTCATGAATACGCATGTTGTTTTCAAGTAAAACCTTGAGGAGCTTTCGCCAGAAAAAATGTTCCTAGGCAAATCCGAGGGACAAACGTTCCAACATGAGGCAACCCAGGCCAGATCCAGTGCCACCGCCGCAGGCGTTGTACACACAGAATCCCTGCAAACCTTGGATCAACTGTGACTGGTTGGTGGTTGAGCCACCCCTCTGAAAAATATTAATCAATGGGAAGGATTATCCCATATACTATGGAAAATAAAAAATGTTCCAAACCACCAACCCGGTGAATATTACAAGAGCTTGGAGCAATGGAAGCGACCAAAAATATGTCCAAGCAACCTGTGCAGTTGTCGGCCAGCTTTCGAATCCTGTCTAACACAAGGTCAACAATCTCCTTGCCAATGGTGTAATGTCCTGGAGCAAGATTATTGTAGCGATGGGTTGACGGCGTGAACGGGCACATTCCACGTGCAATCAAGTTCATACCTGAGACCTGAAGGGACCAACCTGGCAGAAAAGCGCATTCCTATGTGAACAAGTCCTCGAGCGAAGTTATTTGCCGCATCTTCTTTTCCCGAGATCAACTGCTCAGGATGGAAGAGCTGGCGATAGGTGCCAGTGCGAACCTCGTCCACCACCTGGCGAGGAAAGAGTCAGCGGTGGGAATGAAGGCAAGCAACTGCGACAGCATCATTGGAAAATAGTTTGCAGGCTATGGCAGTGCAGTTTTGTTAGGTATAACTCACAGTGCCACAGCATCATCTCCAGTTGCAACATTGACACGCCAGGAAGATTTCAAAAGCCAATGCAAAGGGTTACGTGTGCTTAGTGCATGGTTTTGAAGTAGAAAAACAACTGAGCACATGCAAGATTCAGTTGGCTCCAGGTCGACCATCACGCATCTCGGCACGTGTTTGCCCGCCCCAGTCTCGGAGAAGAACCTTTCAGGCACCAAAGACGGGATGTTTGTTGCATGAGTCCACATGTGAATGAAAAACGAAAACAACGACAAAGTTCACTTGCGACATGGAATTGCGCTTATTGATGTTTCAGATCTGGAGCTCCACATGCACCATCTGTGAGGATGTTTGCTATGGACATCTCTGGATCTGTGTTCGACAGTGACATCAACATCCAGGCCAGCAACGTGTTGAACGCGTCATCTCCACCACCGATCGTCTTGTCAGACGGCATCTGACCATCAGGTTGAATACCATGCTCCAAGCAGAAGAGTTCCCAGCAGGCGTTGCCGATCTGCACACCTGGCGCGGAACTTGACACGGGGTTGTGTGAGTGTGGCCCGAGGGCTGTACTAAAATTACAACAAGGTCGTCTGCTAAACTAACAGTTATATAAGTTATATATAGTCCACACATCAGCCGGGCGATGAATCGCTGGGCTGGCACCGAGTCACGCGGCACTTGGACCTATACTGAATCTACTATAGACTCGGCGGAACCGATCATTCACGCGCTGAGTCATTCATCAATTCTGCCAATTCACCAATGCACTTGTGACTTTATAGGGCACCTACAAGCGCAGCATTCTTCAGCAAACGTCCCTGCTCCACTTACTTTTCAGATACTTTTGCCACCTTCATGTCACAGCAAATCAAACGCGCACTATGGAAAAAGCGGGGCCACTTTGACCGGGACACCAATCCACAGTGACAGAACGGTCTAGGGCGTGGGGTTCATCTGCACGCAATTTCGGCTGCCACATGCGCATTGCAAACCACGCGGGCCGGCCGCCTGCTGAAACAAACTTTCACATGCACCTGTACACCAACACTTTTTTGGCATGTCTGTGGTTCACATGGGGGAATGAAGCAATCTTCCGACAAGATGTACACACCAGCGATCCTCCTCGGCCGCATGCACATGCGAGCCAAAATCCGTGCGTCCGAGCGAAACTGACCAGTAGCCGGCAGCGTTCTCAACTTCGTTGGCCCTTTTGGCGCCATTCCCCAGTCAAACACATGAACATTACATATTTACACGACATACGGCTCACATTTGGGTCTTGAAAAAATTTGAAGACCTTGTCTCTGCGCGATTCAGCTGACACCACCATAATTGCAATCACAAAACCACACCTGGGACCTGATTGTATTCCTTGCTGCCAGGCACTGTTTCTAGTTTTGGCCAAACTACCACTACTGCTTTTCAGCATCCAAAATGCTCCAAGGATACGTTTTGCCAAAATATCCACATGACATATTTCGCAAACATATCCGACACAATATTTTTCCAGACATCCAACAATATATTTTGCCAACATATTTCGAATGCTTTGAGGATGTTGGGAAATATTTATCCGCACACACACATTGTTGGATAGTTTGGAAAAATATTGTGTCGGATATGTTTACGAAATATGTCATGTGGATACTTTGGCAAAACTATCCTTGGAGCATTTTGGATGCTGAAAAGCAGTAGTGGTAGTTTGGCCAAAGCTAGAAACAATGCCTGGCAGCAAGGAATACAATCAGGTCCCAGGTGTGGTTTTGGATTGCAATTATGGTGGTGTCAGCTGAATCGCGCAGAGACAAGGTCTTCAAATTTTTTCAAGACCCAGATGTGAGCCGTATGTCGTGTAAATATGTAATGTTCATGTGTTTGACTGGGGGACGGCATCGGCGGGAGGGCTAGCGGCGGGTTGGGGGGCCGGGGCAAGGCGATACGCCTGCGCCGGCAGGGTGCCGGCGCCAGTCAATGAAGACAGCCACTGGAAACGAATTTTGAACATTGAAGGCTCAGAAACGAGAAGACTGCATCAGTATGATTGCCTGGGGTTGTGCCGAAGCCTCTGTCAGCAAAAGAGAATGTCAGAATGAGCTGAAATGCCTAGCTGTTGACTGGCAAGCTGCTCCGCAATCTCGACAAATTGACCGGAAAAAATCAGTTGACCCGGGGCCTTCTTGACTGATGCTCCGTTAGGTGCCAAAACCTATTGCCACGGGCTTAGCTGGCTTGTTTCTCACGGGCATCAAGTCACATGAAACAACGCAAACGCATTCCTATCACTATCGCTCCTCCGGTGTGGGTGTGAATGTGCCACAAATGCTAACATCAGAGGGGTTATGATGAGTGTTGAACCTGAATGTAACGCAACATGCGACGAAATTGACTTGTGCATTATTAAGCATAGCCGCAGGGGTCGCAGGGTCCGCAGGAGTCAAAAGACCGCTTTCAATACCATAAAATCAAATAAAATCAGAACCTGATTTGCTTGCATGCACAAGACAAGGAGCACTGTTTTCACCGGGCCATTGCCAACCCTTCCAACATCTCAACCGGACCCAACTAGACCTCCTTGGCCAATGTGAATGCAAATTGCCTCACGCATGGCTTCGAGTAGGAAAGCTTGAAAAGCGCGGAAAGTGTCCGAACCCACCGTGTGATGTGGCAGCCTCGATCACAACTCCTGTGAGCCCAAAACGAATGGCGCGTGCAACAGGTGGCTTGTCACGCCTTGTCACTGCTGATCTTCAAGCCACAATCCCAGGAAGTTGGACACCAAGTGGGGAGTCAAATATGTCAAATGAGCTTGTTGTCCCGCCCCTTCATCTGGAAAAGCTCGTCATGTGCTGTACTGAAAACTGGTCTACCTTGACATGAGCTTTTGAAGATTCTGCGACCATTACACAGTAATATGCTCAGGTTGTGAATGCCTACCATGCTACCACGAACTGGTCAATGACCGCAATTTGCAGTAGGTCATGTACGATAATGATAAGCGCGATTGCCTCCAAAACACCACACATCGAAACTGCTCTGTCTGAGGAGTGAACACAGGCATAGGAACTGCCAACTCCAGGTGGTTCCTGGTGAGACAGACAAACTGTGAGACGCTGACACGATGTCATGCTTGGGCGATGTGTAGTTATCATCTATCATGCCCTAGTTCAAAAGTGCAGATGGGTGCAGCACCTATCCTGGGCCCCCTGGACTAGTTGCGGACATAGCATCTAAACTCAATATTTAGTGTGTTTGCTGTGTGCACATGTCATGTCAAAATTACGTGCTGATCCAGTATGTCATTACGTCGGTCAAATCGGTCAAGTTTGTGGATCTACCTAGGCATGTTAGAGTTTATCACGTTCTATCCCTGCTGATAAACAACAAATATGATCGAAGGAAGTTTACTTCCGACAATATGGACAGATGAAAAGCAGAGATGGGAAGAGTCAGAGAAGAGAAGAGAAGAAGAAAGAAGCTCAAAAAGAGAAAGTCTCAGAAGAAAGAAGATCCAGGCGCGCGAAAAGGTAGGAAAGTCGCGAAACACTGTGTTTTTCCAATGATTTGTGGCTCCGGAGGGTCGCAAAGTAGGCTCGCTAAAGCGGCGGGTGCGGAGCCAGCTGGCCAAGTGAGAGATGAAAAATTGCACGCCGTTGTGGCGCGAAGCACATTTGCAAGTGAAAAAGCTAAAAAACACGTCACGTTCGGAGCACTTTTGGGAATTGAGATGTCGAAAATGTGCACGCCATTGTGGCGCGAAGCACATTTCCAAGTCAGAATGCACAAAACACCTCAGCTGAGATGTCGAAAAAGTGCACGCCGTTGTGGCGCGAAGCACATTTCGAAGTCAAAAGCGCAAAAAACTGAGGGGTTTGGAGCACTTTTGGACGTTCAGATGTCGTTCTGCGTGGCAGGCACAAGGGATTGTGCACCTTGTCAAAAGTGAGAAAAACGTGAAGGTTTTGTAGCAGTTTCCAAAACGATGGCAGGCGTGGGACATTTGAAGATGCATTGTCCGTGGCGGGCGCAGTACAAGAGACATGTTCATCAGAGCTGTTAGGAGGTCCGGGCGCTGATTTGCTGAGACGGGTTGCATTTTAGCATCAGATCTTCAGGTTTGCTGAGATGATTTTGCGTGACAGGTGCAGCACTTCGTATGACCTGGCATCACTTTTTCGTGGCAGGCGTAATACTTTAGACAGGTGGAGTGGAAAAATCGCAAAACGCATTGGCACGAGGCCGTCAGCTCTGCACTCAACTATCCATTTTCGAAGGAAGTCTCGCAGAATTGCTTCGTTTTTGATGCTGTCAAGCTCAAAATATGGGGAAGTCTCGCAGAATAGCTTCGTTTTCAAGCTTGCAGATAGACAGATAGATAGAGAGACAACTACAACTACAGGTACCACTACACTACTACTACTACTACTACTACTACTACTAGTACTACTACTACTACTACTACTACTACTACTACTACTACTACGACTACCACTACTACTACTACTACTACCACTACTACTATTACTACTACTACTGCTACAACTACTACTACAACTACTACTACTACTACTACTACTACTACTACGACTACGACTACGACTACGACTACGACTACGACTACGACTACGACTACTACTACGACTACTACTACGACTCCTACTACGACTCCTACTACGACTCCTACTACGACTCCTACTACGACTCCTACTCCTACTCCTACTCCTACTCCTACTCCTACTCCTACTCCTACTACTACTACTACTACTACTACTACTACTACTACGACTACTACTACGACTACTACTACTACTACTACGACGACGACGACGACGACGACGACAAGTACAAACTATGCTACATTACACAACACTAATTACACTACGCGACACTAATTACATCTAATAACACTACTCTACACAAATTGCACTACAACTACTACAACTACTACAACAGCAACAACAACAACAACAACTACTACTACTACCACCACCACAACCACCACCACAGCTACAACTACAATTACAGCTATTACACTACAATACGCTAATTAAACTGCAATACATTACGGCTACAAATAGAACTACAACTACACTACATTACACAACACTACACTACACTAATTACATTACATTACATTACATCACACTACAACTGCAACTACCACTACATTGCACTACGCGACACTACACTACAACTACAACTACAACTACACTACTTTACACTACAATACGCTAGACTACACTACACTATCACTACACTAATTACACCACACCACAGCTACAACTGCAACTGCAACTACACTACACTAATTACACTGCATTACAACTACCACTTAAAACTACAACCCCACTACACTACAACTACAACTACAACTACACCTACAACTACAACTACAACTGCACTACACCACACTACGTCCAGCAGTTGTGGTGAGGTGACCACTGCAACCAGTGCAACCACTCCAGAAAACACAACTCCAACCACCTTTCGGTCCATCAGTGGATTCGCTCTGCCATCCGTGATTCACAACAACCAACCTCTCCTATAGGTTTCCTATTTTTGAAATTCCGCCACCGCCTTGTGCGGTACTACTGGTAATATATGGCAATGGAACATTGCCTATACCATGCAAAACGAAAGATCGTTCTCACTAAAAATATAGAACAATGTTGATTTACATATGATGTGTTCACATTTTTCCAGCGCTAACTCAGATCCCTAGCTGCATGGCATCGCTTACCCCCACCTGCTGCCCGCTGATGGCCAAATCCAGCTTGGGCGCCACGTTCAGGCAGGAGACGTCAGCATTGTGACCCTGTTACGGTTGACTTTTCACCGAGGCCCAGAAATGATGGGTCCCTACTGTGGATGGTTGCGAAGTCCTGCACCACCTTGGATGGTTAAAACCCTATAAATAATGGGATAAACCATCCACAGTTCAGTAGTAGACCTAGAGCTGAGTAATGTATACCCACCATGTATGCTGGGTTAGCCCCAGCCCAAAAAAAATCCGGACGAAACACAGAAAATGACCACATGCGGGCGCATCCAGCACCTCGAAATATCTCTGCTGGGGCTTTAGCAAGTCCTGCAGCGCCAAGTCCAGCACCTTAAATCTGCCCTTGGTATTCATAGTCTAGTTCCACGATCATCCTTACTAGCCAGCTGGCAGACCCGGAATGAGATTTCTCATCCCAAAGTATGTAGGAGACGATATCGATATGACTATATAGATTGTGTATGAATGTACATCACCATTCTTAATAGGTAAGTAAGTCATCTATCAATGGGCGATGTTCCATAGCTATGTTAAATAACCAGTCAGGAACATCATGATCTTGGGAACTCAGGAAGTGCCATTGGCAGCTGCACAGCATGTCCAACTGACCTCAATGACGCAGAGCTTGGCAGCGATGTAAACCTCGAAGCGCTGAGGACTTCAAAATCTCCTGGATCTTTCACGATTTTTGTAAGGCCTTGGGACTAAAATGTGACCCTGCCATACACTATGCCACATTTGGATGTACTAGTATCTGAAAATAGGATAAAATAGGATCAAAGGATGCTAAAACGTCACCATTCAGAAATTCATCCAGACTTTTTCCAACAAAATTGCCATAATCTTGGGGGCATAGCGGCACCACCCTAGGCATCACCCTATCTTTGGACAAAGCTATTTGACCAAGTCAGCTCCAGGCTCCCCCGCGCACTGACTGCCACCTGCCACGAGGTGGACCGATCCCGGTTTCGAGCCGTCGATGCCATAGACGTGCTCGCGCACCAACTCTTGCTCTGGCTCCTGGACTTGGCTCTGGATGTGCATGGCTGGTAAAATTGGGAAAATGTAAGCCATGTTTTACTGGGATGCCACCTGGGCACTGGGTCAAGAATGCAGGCTTGTCCAAAGTATTGGTTGCCCTGAGCAGGTTTATTCTCCTAAACAATTCGGAATACACCATTTCCGAACAAACCCCCGAGTTCAACCATCCAAGTATGGGGGTCGTCCCCAGCCCAGCCCAGCCTTGGCACAGTTCTTGTCTGCCTTCCAAGTAGAAGGAGCATAGACCATGAGCCGATGCCTTCCAGGCTGATGTTGTTCTTCAGCTGGAAAATCATCCCAGTCAAATGATCCCGAAGTCCTTGATTCCGGTGGCCATTCAAGTTATCAAAAAAAAACTTCAAAATGTTTAGATTCTTTAGATGACATCACTACAACTATAAGTTCATATGTTTAAAATCTACTTTTTAATACTTGTTCAGTTCACATTGGGATGAACCCCAGGCACCAACGTTGGATGTTCACCAACGTTGGATCCGATCAGCCCAGGCTGCAGGCAAGGCCTGCCGAAGTCGGTAAGCTGTCCGGCATCTTGATCCGGCCTCATTTTGGCGAAGAATGGGGGTTGATGGGATGATTGTGAAAATAATAATGCTCTGGGCAAATTATAATCAATAATTAAATTCACTAACCTGAAATTGTTCGGCCATGTTGGAAGATTCTCCGTATTAACCATGATTCCAGTGAGAACGCAGTGAGGTCGTCATAATTTGCCCAGAATTATGGATCCTTCCCCCACTAAGCATCAGTAAGTTGATGTTGGAATTCTCAAAGAAGTGAGTGAGATGGGCTAAGATGGGTGAAAAAAGTCTGTAACTGGGGCAATTGGGAGATTGATGGTAACTTTCATCTTGCAAACTCCCAGTCCGACTCTGAATTTGCAGAATTCAGAATGGTACAGGATGTTCATATGGAAGGATTTCATATGGGAAAGATTTCAATACAAATTTCACATTTGTTTTGTCCGAGATCTACATCAATGCAACAGGAAGGTAGCCCTTGTCACTGGCACACTCTCCTTCTCCCTTCTCATCTCAGCTGCCCTGGAGGAAGGCTCCGCGCACGTCCCATGATTCTTTCACTTTGGCATTGTGGCAATGTCTGAGCGTCAAATTTGAAATTTAGTCAAACATTTGATATCACTTTAAATGACATTTAGTCATGATATGTCATGATATATCATTTGCCTCAATCGTTTTCTGGCTGTTTGCGAGATTGTCGTGCCGAGCTCTTCTGTTAAATGGTGCAGAAAGGAGTCCAAACACATTGCTACAGTGGGGTTTCAAAGCTCCTGTTCCACTTGTGGAGTATCATCTTTGGGCCAACTCTGCAGGAGCAAGGCGGTGGTCCAGAAAAAGCCTCAAGACATCGTCTTTTAGGGACTTAAAAAAGCTGACAAGTTGTAGACTTCAATGGGTCTGGAGTTGCTTGCGATGAAACCCTCTCAAGCAGGGTTGGGCATTTGCCATGAGATTGTCTTACTATCCAATCTGCTGTGAAGTATGTGGGACACACAACGCCGCATTCGGTCACGCGGCTCACTTTTATCTTAAATCTGCGTTGTTCAAGAAGCCACTTGAACGTCGCCTGGCGAGTTGCGAAAACATAATCATTTCGGAACTATTTCAAGATCTTCACAACTTGACAGAGCTTGCTTCATGTGTTCTCCCAGTTCCAGTAGCAGCTGTGGATGATTCATCGATTCATCTTCCCCAGCCTTTGACAAAAACTGGTAGCCCAACTGGCGAATCGTGCGGCGGATTTTTTGGGTGAAACCTCGCAGGTCTGTGAGGCTTCGTCCAATGGTAGGGGAAACCCTGGCAAATTCTATGGGGCAAATGATGTTGAACCAGCAAATGTTGAGGGTTTTCCCTAAAAATGTGGGCTTCATTTCATACTTGTCACAGCGAAGAATCGCCAGGATAGTGATATCATGTCTTGAAATCTTGGGACGGTTTTTTCACAATTCCAAGATATCATGTCTTGAAATCTTGGGACGGTTTTTTCACAATTCCAAGTTTTGGGGTTTCTTCAACTAAGTCCACTATCCATATGGCTATGAGTCAAAACCCTAGGGCCCTAGGTACTGTAGGTACCCTAAAATGGCTGTTTAATGGATAGTAACCATCCATTAACAGCCATTTTGGGGTACCTACGGATGATTATTTCTCCAACTATGGCAATAGGAGACCCATCCCCATATGGCTGGCTGGTACCCGGGCACCTGGATCTTCATTTACGGACGAGGAGACGCCTCCGAAGCCAGTTTCGGATCTCATTTGTCGTTGACCCTGCATTGTTGGTTGCAAATAGATTCTTGACATTGCTGCCTTATCCAATTCTTCAAACCCCACAAAAAAAGAGTAAGGTCATATATTTTCTGGATTTTTTTTGGATGTTACATATACACATTATATACACATTTAGTATATGTCTTCAACCACATAGCAATGTCCGCTGTTGGTTTAGCCGGCCTCGTCTGAGCAACTCATCCACCCATGGCCTCGCAGGTCATGTGTCTGACGAAAAGGTGGCAATTTACATACCTTTTGATATAATTGCCAATGATTATCCAAATGATTATCCAAATGATTATCCAAATGATTACCATGGTATTTATGTATGATTATGTATGATTATGTTATTTGATAAGGTCTGGATAGCAAAATGTAGCACCAGATGACATGATAATCATGATAATCATGCCAAGAATTGCCATAATTTTCGCTATACCTTGGAGATCTTGGCCATCAGCTTCTCGTCGCTCCAGTACCTGGGCTTGCCAGTCAAGGACTAAGTCTGTGGGATGTGAAGCAGAAAAAAAAATGAAACAGTGCATTTGTTCACCAGCAAAAGTGGAGAGGTTCTTGCTAAAAAAAAACTGCTTCAAAAAGTTATGTATCCATCTTTTGCTGAGTGAAATAAATAATAAAAAAAACGTTGCTGGTTTAAAAGTCATTTTTGCGTACCTGGTTCTAATTGGGATTTTGCGCGACTGCTCCACGTCCCCAACATCTGTCAACAGCAAACAAGCCCAAGGTGCTTCTCCAGGGCGCCCATGCCATTCTTCTTGATATCCTGTGGCCGATACGAAGGAACTGCTGGCTGCATGGTTGAGATGGTTGATCCGCAACCTATCCTGGACCACCTGGACTTAGTGAAAGAGTCAAAGAACGCTTGATGAAATTTGATAAATTCGATATGTCTATGTATATATGTATATATATATACCCTCTGGTTCTTTAACAGTTTGCCATGGAAAATGGCCCATAGAAATAGATGGTTTACCTATTAAAAATGGTGATTTTCCATGGCGATGTTAAACAACCAGATGGTATATATTGCAATAAAAGTAAACCTAAAATCATCTGGCGATATTTGCAATATTTGCAATATTTGGCCTTCAGACATCACACGCAGTCCGACGCAGTGCCCCCGAAAAGTGCAGGGCTGGCAGCAGCTCAATTTTCATCGTTCTTGGCTCAGCGTCTCGGCCAAAACCACCTTGTTCCAAAAGATCTCCTGCAGTCAAGGCCTAGACTCCATGTGCTTCCCAGTGGCCGGTAAGTAAGCTATATAAATAACTATAAATAGCGTATGTATGCATGTAACTGGACATATACAGTTTCAGTTTCAATGAAAATTACTAACATTTACTAACCACCTAGTAGCATCTATATAGTAACATCTAGCAACATCTAGTAACATCTAGTAACTGGGATGCATTTCCAAGTACCCAGTTGAAGTCCCCTTCAGTCCTGAGCCTCCTGGTAAAGATGTTGACATGGCACCTCAGATCAGAGCCAATGGCGTAGAACTTCATAGCTGGTTGATTGATGAGCCGTTTCACTGACAAAGATGTGTCACTCATAGTCACTTGGGGATCACTATCATCATCATCATCGTCGTCGTCGTCATCATCATCATCATCATCATCATCCCAAGACAGGATTGAAAAAACGCCACAAGTCTTGTTCTATGTCTGCGCCTTGTAGTAGTGACAACCAGGATGGTGCTTGATGAAGTCGCCATCCTCAACCAGCAATACCGCCATTGTCCATGGGTGGTAAGGCTTGATTTAGAGGACTTCCCAGTGTAGCTGGGTTACGAATGCCAAGGTTTATCTGAACAGTTTCAAATGTCGCGACCAAATGGCAAACTAACCTATAAATGGCATCAATACACAGACTATCACAGATTTATGTACGAACACCCAAAACTGAATGGTTAAAAAAAATCAGTGGCTCCTTCGCAAGGCCACAATGTCAACTCAACCCAAATAATCCGTTCCGTATATTTTTGGTTGTTTTTGAGGTGGTGTTCAGTACTGAGGGGATGTGATTGGTCAGCACATCTTGACCCAGGGCAGGCCTGCCATGCCCTGGACAGAGCGCTCTGTGCTGTGGCAGCATGGAAGGATTGCCTGCAGCCATGGCGGGATGGGGAACAAAGACCCAAAACCAAATTTCATTTGGAGTCGATTGGATTAGATATTCATATCTCTATAATATCTATATCTATACCTCTACGCAATACAATTATATATACATAATTATATCATATATATATATAAATTATAATGAACCCAGCTTTTGCAACCCAACAGCAGGTTCCAAGGATCCAGGGTTCCAGCGGCGCGGTTCTGTTCCGCTTCTGCTCTGCAAAAAACGAAGAGCGCCATTCCCAGAGAGATTGAAACATAACAGTCAGTGCTGTTGGGAATAAAACTGTGTGTTTGGGGAAAATACAACAAGTATCAACAAGTGGTCTATTTGGGGATGTTTCATGATGTTTCCAAACCCGGGTTGGATTGGTTTTGCCTCGTACCATCTCATACCCGCACGACCTACAGTCTGTACGCCATGATCCAAGACCTTCAAACCCAGCTGCAAATGCTCTTGTCGCGCCACACGTACTTCCAGAGGATAAATCGGCAACTGCGGCCGAGACTGTTGGGTGAAGTGGAGGATATCCAGAGATTCCAGAGAATCCACCCACCAACCAGGGTAGACTGTCAGGAGCCGAGGTCCTTTTGGAAGCATCAAAAAATACAGCAGTCGGGGGGACAAGATGATCTCAACTTGTCTGAAATCTGCAACCTGGCAGCATCCAGAATCATCAGAATCATCATCCAAGTCTGTGGATGAACATCCACACTGCAAAATAGATCAAAATAGCAATCCAGACACACCCTGGAAGCCTCGTAGGAATCCCAAGTCTTGTCGAACTGCATGGCTCGATCGTACAGCAGCGTATGAAGCATGGTCGACTGGTCGCTGCAGTTGTGTTCCTGTCGTGGGGGCACATAAAAAGCACCAAACACTAGTCGTCACTTAAATATAGAAAAAGAAACAAAAGGAAACAAACATATAGAAAATGGATCCACTATAGATATTATGGGATAATATGGGATGAAACAAACATAAAACCATCTTTCACGTAGGCAATCATAGGCATGGATCCACTCCTTTGTCGTAAACGAGGTCACAGTGGCTTCCTCTGGCTTCCCGCCTTGCCGGGTCCCTGCAGAATGTCTGATCGCCACCAGCGCTCCAAGAAGCGATGGGACCAGTCAGTGTTTTTCAGGAGCCACACGCCATTGTTGATGCCTCAGCTTCTGAATCCTTGGACCAAAGTAGCTGGACTGGATCTTCATCCCTCCCAAATATGTTATGAGATAGCTGTTGAATGCTTTTGATCATTTTTGATCCATCCCCACTTAAGAAAACATGCTTGCCAATTGTGGGGATCCTGAACGCGTGAGATGCTTCAGACAGCGGAGGACACCAAACATGAAGACCTTTACTCACCAAGCAGGACCCTTGCATTTGGAACTGGGTCCACTTGAACTGTGGATACCCAGAACCATTCCCAATTCACATGGAAAGTCATAGGTGACTTTCCAAACTCACCAGACAGATCCAGATAGTAGGTTTTGTGTCAAAACACTCTGAGTTGCTTTACCCTTCACCAGAAATGACACCCAGTTGGTGAATTCATACCCGTTCCCTGTAAGACATCTCTCTGTCTCGGCCGCGGGACCTGTTGAATCAACTGCAAAAATCAGTGACACTTCCCCAGTGGATGCTGCACGCAAAGCTGCATGTTCTGGATCCTGACTCAGCTCCTGGGGGCCGCAGATTTATACCACCTATAGCCTAGAACTATAACATCCAATGACCATCTCTAGTGTGGGAAGGGTTGGCTTTTTTTCATGTTTTTCTACCATGGCCATGGCCATGGGTATTCACAACTATCAAGCATCCCCAGGTTGCATAGAAAATCTCTTGCACCCCTCTAGGATAAGGTGATGGATCTACTTGCGATCGGATGAGCACAAAATAGCACAAATGTCTTCCTCTGGAGGCAAGCGGGAGGCAACGGTGAGATTTTGACCTCAGACCGCTATGCCGTCGACTCAAGTCACTTGGTGATGTCCGTGATGTCCGTGATGTCCGAAAGTGAGCACTCCGGTCGAATCAACAAGTTCAAGATTATTTCTTTGACGAGTAGCAAACTAGCAAACCCATATATATATATATATCCATATATTACGATTATTGTGGCAGTTCTCACACTGAGGTGAAGCGTTGATCAAGGGAATATAGCACCAATCAATGAATCCCCCATCAGCCCGGGGCTTGCCAATCTTGCCACGGGTGGATTCCATCAAGAAACTATACATGGCAATCACCGAGTCAATGGTACGTTGCGGATCCATGAAGAAGGCATCGCAGTCCATCCTGGCCAATGTTCAAGGAGGGAAATGGGGAATCGACGGAATGCAAATGTGGAACTCTTGTAACCCAAAACTCCAAAACATGTACAGTATAACAAACGGCAAATTAGGTGCAGGGGATGCAAGCTCAAGACTTGGAAAACTAAAGTCGCAAAAACTTTTTGAAAAAAATAAAACATGGGAATCTACCAAAATTGGTCGCACCGCGTCAGAATGAGGAATAATAGAAAGCAAATAGACTTTGGAAGATATCAAAAGGGAAGAAAAATGCTGGTGCTTGGTACAAGTGTCCATAGGACCCAATCATAGTTTCCAGTATCCAAGACATTCTTCACAGCATTCACTTTCCAAAAGAACGGCTTGTGCACGCCATCATTCACCTCAGCGAGCTTCCCTACATGGGAATATAATGGAATACATGGGAGAACATCTGTTTGGTGGCTGAAATCCGATGAAATCCGTTTACTTGTTTGATCGGGGTTCCAGTCTGCTATCAGCCCTTGAAGCCATCATCAATCACGGCTTCCCTGTGCATGAAGTCATTTCAGGGAAACGTGTCCAGTGTTCCAAGTGCTGTATGATACAATTTCTCGGAATCTGACAAAAATTGGCAATGTCCCAAAAATTACGACTTGCAGACTGTTTTGATTGTTTTGTGCGCATTTGGCAATTTCCGGGATTTCCAGTTTTGGGACACATCCAATACCGTTCTTTTCTGTGTCTGTACGATTCGGATGGACCGTTTTCACTATGGCACTGGCATGGTGCACCTGCTAAGCAAGTCGCATCCATCTGCGAATCGACGTTGATGTCGATCTGCGATGCATTCGTGAAGAAATGCACGTCATATCCATGAAGCAGCTTATACCTTGGCTTCAAATTGTTTCAAGCATCTTCAAGCAGTTTGATTACTGCTGGTAGGTTGAGTTAGTGTTGGCATTCCTGACAAGCAATCTTCACTGCGGTTTATCATGTTTATCCCAAGGATTCCAAAGCCCAAACCCAAACCCAAACCCAAACCAATTCTTAATCATTGTCTGATTGTTAGCTTGTCAAACAAGTTTGGCTCATGGAATCACAGGCTGACCACACCTTGCAGCTCCTGCAGAACACAGATGTGAACCAACAAACTTGGGACTTGAAACTGCAACGAGAAACCAGCAATCGTGTTCTAATCACCAACATGGCTATATATCATAAAGCCCAAAGTTCATGGCTGCTTAGCATCTTTTGCTACCAACACCTCCGATGATTTCTAGCTCCGGCCAGCAACCCGCCCAAGCTCTCTGCTCGAGTCCGAGATGCAGCTGTCGATTTTGATGACAAAGGATTCGAACCGGTGCATCCTAGCAGGGCCGAGCACGGCTGACCAACTAAGGGGCTGAATATTCTTCGAGCTATAGAGGTGAGCCACACTTCTCTTGGTGACTTGTGTTCGTCACTTTCTTGGCAGCGAAAACATGTTTTGAGATTCTGATTTGCGGTATTAGTTAATTAGCACTTTATCGGCATGTTTAAGCATAAAGAGTGTGACTACTGTTGGATTCCAAGTCAATTTTCTGTCTCATTCAGGGTTCATCCATGTTCATACGCCCCCTATTCCTTTGCAAGTACTCAGTATCTTACTAAAATGCCCTTGGAGTCTCTTCCAAGCATAATGCCTAGGTATTTCACATCCATCTCTGTTGGGAGATCATTGATGTTCTCTTCTCCTCAGCATATGCGCAGATGGTCACCACCGCCACGCGCAGATTCAATCGGAGGCTTGGCGGAACCGTGGTCTCCACAGATTCATCGTCCAGCTGGCGAACGACTTCCGTCAGACCTTGCCCGGCCAACATCACCTTGGGCATGGCAAACTGCCAAGCCATTGGAGATGTCATGGCTTTTCGGCCAGAAATCGACAAATCTGGGCTTAGTGTTTCTAGAAAAGTGGATACTGTCAGTGCTTCTCTTCTTGCAATAAATAATAACTAATGTATCAAATGTCTGTTGCAAATCGTGGATTTTCAAGTGTCGGACTGAGATTCAGTATGCGGCATGCATGTCTACAGCCCACTACTGTATGTCTAAATGTACTGTATAACTTGTATAGACAGTGAATAGACAGTGAAAATCCTTGAGTTCGTCAGGAGACTGTAGATTACCGCCCTGATAAAGATCCCTGAGCTCCTCTCCCCATCATTTCCCTCTGTCGAGCCACATCCCAGCCCTGTGCTGGCCAGGTCGAACATTCGCTAAAGCCCTTGTCGCGAACAAAGATAAAGCCTGCCAGTGCGGAGGCAGAATCTCCCATCTTATCATCTTCCCAGGTGCAGTGGATAATCCTGTTTCACTTCACAGATCGATCAAGTGAGATCAATTGAGGTCTAGCCAGTCCGATAACCTCCCAACAATCATACCCTTCACCAGCCATGTGTTAGCCAAGTGAAGCAAATCGATCCATGGCTCATACTTCGAGCCCCAGCCATAGTTTGTCGGCATATACATCGTTCCCATTGTGGGAGGTTCGAATATGTTCGAATCCCCTCTGTTTACAGGTTGAATTCCCATTTTATCCCCATTTTTCCACATGTTTTCCCCATTTTTTCCCCATTTTTTCCACATGTTGGCACCTTTAAAGCCCCCTACAGTAGAGCTGAAAAATCCTGGCCAAGTGGCCCAGGTGGATCATGGCCAAAGCCCTTCTGAGGCGTCTCTCCATGACCAGCACCCGCGCCAAGCTGAAGAAAGTACTCACCACGGCAGCAGGACAGGCAAAGGCCTGTCCGATGATGGGATGGACCTGGGATGTACCCTCTGGTTATGTCAAAATAGCTATTGAAAATGGCCATAGAAATAGTGGTTTTTCCCATTAATAGCATGGTGATTTTCCAGTTCGCTATGTAAACGTTTACCAGAGGGTTGTTTTTTTTCCCACATCTGTGATTTCAACCCACCAGAATTGCTGGCTTGAAATCAGCGAACATCTGAAAAAAATCCTCAACCCAAAATCATCCCGATTTCGGGATTCTGACTTCAACAACCACCAAGAAATATCGATTTCACCGCAACAGCGGGATTCTACCAACAATGTAGTGAACAAATGCCAATTGGCATTTAAAAAAATGTCACAAAATTATCTAATTGAACTATATTTAACATGGCATTTTATTTTTGTTTGACATCTAATCAGTTAATGTCACAAAATGCTAAATGTCTAATTTTCTTCCCAAAAAAAATCGCCTCCCAAAAGGGCGTCGTCGCTTCCCGCAGCAGCTGCTGCAAGGACGTCCCCGCCGCCGCTTTTCCCTCGCTGAAGAGTTCGCCACGGGCGTCCCAGAGACGAGTGGAGTACCTGGAATCCGGAAACGGCCCAGGGGAGGTTGGAAAAACTCCCATTGAGCCACTTGAGCCAGGTAGAAGATGAGGGCCAACATCTCAAAGTGTGGATTTATGATATTTATGGGAATTCGAAGCTGGCAAAAAATGGAATTGTTGGCTGTAAAACTCAAGGTAGGAAAGTTGCACCAGTAGAAACAAGGCCAAAAAAGGAATTTGGCCAACAGAAAGGAGGTTGGCTGCACCAATCATCCAATCGCAGGCCAAGAAACTGCAGCCAGAAAGACGAAGGGCATTCCTGCAGTAACAACAGCACTCATTTCACCCAGAGATACCAGTAAAACCATACTAAACCAAACATAGGAACCTTCAACTACTCATCAAACCATCCAAAATCCATCATTTGGAACCCTTCCTCAATCAATATTCATTCATCATCTTCATCATCATCATCATCATCACCATCACCATCACCATCACCATCATTCTTCCATCACCATCAACTTACTGGTGCTTAGTAGGGAATGGATAGGTTGCTGGGGGTTGCTGGGGGTTGCTGGGGGTTGCTGGGGGTTGCTGGGGGTTGCTGGGATGATTATTACTAGTGATGAAATGGATCATTCCCGAAAATTCCCTGCGAACTAAGCACCAGTAAGTCAAGTCAACAGCACCCATGAATTTTCCCTCTGGTAATTTGTTACATAGCTATTGAAAATGGCCATAGAAATAGTGAGTTTTCCCATTAATAGCATGGTGATTTTACAGTTCGCTATTTTGACATAACCAGAGGGTATACCACCTATAAACATGGTGATGACTGGGGGATGGTTCATTGTTGCTTTACCTATTCAAAATGATGGATCTTTCCATAGTTATGTTAGTTTACCAGAGGGTATACCACCTATAAACATGGTATATCCATTACCAGAGGGTTTCCCCGGCCTCTTCCAGCGGGATCTCTTGGTTCTCGCAGGGCGGCAGCAACGGCCCCGGCATGGCCTCCGCCAGGGTCACCTCCATCTCCGCGGCGGCACGGAACAAGGTGACCAGGGCCACCCCAAACAGCAGCATGGCACCGGTGGCACCAGTAGATGATCCACGGCCCCAAGGAAAAGCCATCAAAAACTGGGGAAAGGTTATATTGGACAGTGGTTTGTTTGTTTTTTTTCTGGAAACTGAGCAATATGATGATGAAATTATGATTATGATGTGAAGTGGCAAAGATCTGCGGTTTTGGAGTTCCAACCACCTATTTTTGTGATATTTGAAGTTGGACAGGTGTGAGTTTTCATGCGTGTCTCGTGACGATCTACGGCACCTACAACTCGATGTTGCGCCATGCGAATGCGAATTCTCAGATGTTCAGACATGGGTTTTTCTGAAAATAGGCTATATTCCCAAACAAATAGCCATTTAAAAACGGGATAATGATCAGCAAAACCATTGGGTAAAAAGGGGTACACAACATTTTCAGACACACCCACATGTTCTTCACTACGCGGAGTTTTTCTGTGTACCCTCTGGTGAACGTTTACATAGCAATGGAAAGATCCACCATGCTATTAATGGGAAAATCCACTATTTCGACTGGGCCATTTTCAATTGCTATGTTAGTTCACCAGAGGGTAATCAAATCGTCCAATCAAAACTGCAATACACTGCAATGCTTGTCCGCTGGCGATATCTGGCGATGTTCAAACTGATCTGGACCCATTGTACAACGAATCTCAACACACAAATGCAATCAGGGAATCGCCAACTTGTGGCGACAACACCTGAAGTGGGAAGAGTGAGCCCGACGTTCCGCTGGAGACCAAGAATTTCTTGAGTTTAAGATGCAGCCAGCTACGAAGCCTTGAATGAGATTCCATGGAATTTGCATACATCGCCTGTTTGGTTTTACTAAATCGCCATATATCCGTCGTATGTCATATAATTCAGTATAAATATGTATAAATCATATTATCTAAAGTATTTAACCCAAATATACTTCCGATACAAACAAATATCTTGAACCCCGTTCAATCTTCAGTAGCTCCTCGAAGACGGGCTTCAGCTCTGGATCGTTCTGAAGATCGTTCAGTTTTCCAGACTCTCTGAGCTTGGCAGCCTGGGCTGCTGGATCAAACACTGATCTTGCGGTACACTTCATCACTTTTTTTGGATGTTGGATCAAAATAGAAATACCTAGCAACAAAAGCAAACCAAAATAAAATCACAAAAACCATCAAAAACCACTTCCCTCAAAAATCCTCGACTACACGAAAAGATATTTAAAAAAACCTTCCGCCTCGGACTGAAGTGCCGGGTTGTAGATCGACACATCCTCAGCCCACATGCCAGCTGCAGACGTGCATGGTCAGTTTCTGAAACGAAACTCACAGGTTTATGTAGACGACATGATATATAAATGTCGTCTAATAATTGAGATGCATCTCCATTGGTGTTGGGTTGTTCACCTTGTTTTTGGGGTTCGTCCTTCATCCGTTGCTATTGTTGTTGAGGGTAAAAATATGTTAAAATCCCAGTGTTTGCTGGCTATACTTCAACATGCTTTCTTGATTGAGCCCCTATCGCCAAACAAAAAAAACATGTTTGAGCGAAAATCCCCATGTTTACTTGGACCAATCTCTGTTTGTTCAACAAAAAGTACACATACCGTATGTGATATGTCCGGCAAAAGTCCGCAACCTCGGTACGGGTGAAAAAAATCCCCCATTTAGGTGAGCATCAAGCCTCCATAAACTGCCGATTTTAGCTAATCCGGATGGTGGTTTGAACATATCAAAGTATCTGTCTCAAACAATCTCAAAATATGTTGAAAATCAGATACCCTCTGGTAATTTAACGTAGCTATTGAAAATGGCCATAGAAATAGTTGATTTACCCATTTAAACTGGTTATTTTTGATAGTTAAGTTAATATACCATATGTTAATTTACCAGAGGGTTAATATATAATAAAAACCATGAAAATCCTCCATATCTTGGTACCACCATGGTTTCACTGATCGCCTCCAGCTCGCTGCCCATGAGCTCATTGGCCTCTTCCTCGGTGGTCCTGGCGAACTTGTTGGGTCTTAAAGAATTGCTTTTCTTGGGGAAAATATCGCAGAATATATAAATATAGTTATATAGAAATATCATATCATATGTAGGTTTTGTTGGGTGAAATATGGTGAAATTATTATTAATCTAAGAAATTTGTATGAATCTAAGAAATTTGTCTATGGTCTTTGTTGATGGAGAATGCAAGAATGATCATGTCATTTATATAATTAGTTTGTTTGCGGGAAAAAAATCTAGGAATTACTGAATTATGTAGTTTTCCGTTGATAGAATTCTGAATTGTTAATTTTGGAATATGGACACCTTATCTTTATGAGAAATCTATCCACTATTGCTTCTGAGCGTGGTGGTGGTGATTTCATCAGCTATAAATTGGTTCACTTGCCTGATCACCAGAGGTATGAGCCCTTGCATATTTGGTGCGGATGACCATGTGGCGAGGAATGCCGCTTGTTTCTGTCAGCTTTCTTCAGCCATACCAAACCCACTGTAGTTATGCATGTCTTGTGCCATAGAAATCACCATCAGATTTCCCACTGGGGACAGCAGCCCCACGCAATCCTGAGATTCTCAGGTTTCACCGCATACTGATCACCAGAGTCAATTAGTCGCACGATGAGCCTTGAAGTGCCTCGGCCCAGGCTTCGGCCCGTTCTGCGAAATTGGGTAAGGTTGGGTATGGGGCTACGTGTCAAGCATGGCTGTGTAACAGACTTTGCTGATGACTTGTCATTTTGCGGTCAGTTCACCATGTGGGGAAGCTGAAAATATCATTGTCATGGCCCCTGAATCAAATCTACCCTTTGGTTATTTAACATAGCCATGGAAAATGGTTGATTTTCCCATTAAAACCTCCATTTATAAGGGATGTTCCATGGCTATGTTAAATAACCAGATGGTAAGACAAACAATAAGACAAAGTGGACAGTTTTCAGTCAAAATGGGGACTTCATCGACCAAAATCAGGTAGGAGTCTGTCCTTTTCCAATGGCTGCAGATGCCGGTTGAACTCATCGCTCAAGGCTCAAGTGTCGCCAATGACACCCGCAAGGATCGGTGGACCATACTGAGGCAGCTTCAAATCAAAGTCCCATATGAACATCTAAAGTATGATTGAAATTCTTCAAATTGGACATTTACATTCAAATTTACCAGTACATATATTTACATTTACCAATTTTTCCAACCCCTATCTGAACTACTGCAGAAATCCCTTCTTCTACCGCTTTTCTTGGTGCCTCAAGTGGGCCGATAGCTGGCACAGCTATTGGTTGGTGCATGCACAGGTGTGACGCTTCAAAACTTCTGCATCCGAAGGAGCCTTTCCTTCCAACTCCTGAGATCATTCAATGGGTAGGGTTGCCCCCATCCACGATGCCAGTAGGTAGTGAAGATTAATAGGGGACCCTACCACGCCCTATCCAAACTGGCAATGTGTGTAGGACCCAATCAGTGGGGTCACAAAATCGGTCTGGCTCAGAATGTCTTACCCGCAATCGAATGGTTCAAGCTCTTGAAAACAAACTCGCCGACACAAGTAGGAGTCAAAAAGGGTTTGCTCAACAGCTGGATACTCCAATTACAACACCATTCCATGGTCTGTTTGATGTTCATCATCCTTATCCCCGAAATCATATGTTCTTCGGAGTACCTTATCATTAGTCGGAGTAAAAGAGTAACATCACCAGGTCTTCAGATATCATATCATATCACATGTAATCACCATATCTTATGACCCATATTCCCATATCTTCAATTGTATGTCTGTATATCACAGTAAATCAGGTGCTATCTCCTCACATGTACTGTACATTCACAATATCACATTCAATTCCCATGATATCCTTCCAACCTTTAGGTGCTATATTAGTTGTTATCACATATGGTGCCAAAAATTCGCAATATTCCCATTCCCATGTTCACAATATTCAGGTGCTATATGGTGTTATCACATTCCAACCCCACGTCATCGTTCCGAACGCCGACTCCTGCAGCAGCGCTCCAAAAGCCTCCGGCAGCGGCGCCGCGAAGCTCCGAGCCTCGGAGCCCTCGAGCAGCGCCAGGCCATAACGGTGGAGACCTGGTGGAACTGCGGGGTGACGTGGTGACCCAAAAAGTGGAGGTTTCCTATGGAGGTACCCCTAAATCATCCATTTTTATAGTATGTTAATAGGATTTTCAAGGATTTTCATGGATTTTCCATACATATATTTGGGTTTGGAAACTGCAATATGTAACTATATTGGTTGGTTGATTGACCGACTTGGTATATCATGTATATCTGACAATGGTTACATAACTGCGATGTATGTTTGGAAACATCTTTGGAAATCTATTTAGCTGATATGAATATTCATATCATTTACCCCAAATTCCTCAAATGTAATGCAAATGTATCATACTGTATCTACATTTGGAGATATGGGTTTGTCTGAAAATAGGGGATACCCACAAATAGCAATTTTAATGGGGAACATGGTGATAATCCATTGGAATATGAGATACACCATTTTCAGACAAACCCATATCTTAGGCAAGATCTAAAACCTGCAAATCTAATTGGAATCCTCAGAAGCGGCGACGCATCGAAACAGCGACCATCGGATCATCGGGCCATGGGCGGCCAAGAGACAGTTCTGGGGGCAGAGTGGGGCATCCTGCCGGAAGGTCTCATCTGCACAGTACCTGAGTTGGGACATGTGCTGCACAGTGTCTCTGAAGTGAATCAAGATGGATAGATATGGATAGATATGGATAGATGGATAGATATAAACAGCCAATTTTCAGCCCATTTCAACCTCTTTCATCCCATTTCTCAATGATATGTTGGTACGGTTGGGTAAGGTTGGTATTTTTTTATGAGAAAAAAGCCAAGCGGCTTGCTATCGCACACCACAGCATGGCCAATGAAAGCCAAATGCGACCGAATCTGATGCCGCCGTCCGGTTCCCAGACTGATGTCCAGCAGGGTGGATGCCTCCAGCAATCTGAGAGGCTGACATTGATTGCCCCAACCAGATTCATCAGAATCTACCCTCTGGTAATTTAACATAGCTATGGAAAATCACCATTTTTAATGGGAAAATCCACTATAAATGGCCATTTTCAATAGCTATGTTAGTTTACCAGAATCGGAATGGAAATGATTGGTATTGTTTCACCATCCTTATCCTTCCACCATCCTATTATTCTGCAGAACAAAATCCGACAGAATCCTTCCACCAACTTCTGGTGGATTTTCCCATTTTTGCATTGATGGTCGGATGGTGGTATCTTGGGAAAATCCGTCGCAAGTTACCCTCTGGTAAACAAACATAGCTAATTATTGAAAATGGCCATTTATAGTGGATTTACCCATTAAAAATTGTGATTTTACATAGTTATGTTAGTTTACCAGAGGGTATCCAAGTTCCACCATCCTTATCCACCCGGCGCCTGGTACCCAGGTAGCCAGGCCGAAGCCTCCCGACGCAGGAAGGTGATGCTGGGCTTGCCGCGGCCACAGCGGCTGGGCCCTGGGTCTGCATCCTACGGTCCAACGGCCGACAAAATCTGTGGCAAGTCCCTGCCTTACACTCAGAAGATCAATGATGATCGTGCAAATGATAGGCCCGAATGATCTGAATGGTAAAGAATCATGTGTTCTTTCTTCGACAAACAGTTTGTTGAAAGTATCGCAGTTTTTGTAAGTTTTAGTTGGATCAGGTTTGATGCCATCCCACCAATCCCTGCCTTCCACGTCACCCGCGCGCGGATGTAGTGGCGATCACTCAGAAAGCCATGGCAAAGGACCAGGTAGTCGCGTCGGATACGACCCGTCGACAGCTGTAGCTTCAGGTTGTAATAGGCCTGCCAAGATATGCCAAGCATGGAAACGCATCCTTCTAGAGCCAGAAAGTTCGTGAAAAAGTACCCTCCGGTAAACTAACGTAGCTATGGAAAATCACCATCTTTTATAGGTAAATCAACTATAAATGGGCCATGTTCAATAGATATTTTGACATAACCAGAGGGTAAGCAGCTCCAGCCAGTTGCCGGTTCCAGTCTCCCAGCCTGATAGGTGAGACCACAAAGCAACAGTCCACTGGAAGGCCTCGGCGGAGCCGCTAAGCCCAGGCTACACAGCAAGGTTTTCCAAGTTTCATGGGAGATTGCTAGTGTCTTAAACCTGGTTTCTCCCAATCTCAAAATTTGGGGGACATCATACTTCATACCCAATTAGGGTGTGTTATATACTGTATACTGTTATTATTAGTCGGTTCTATTATCAGTATGATTTATCATTTTATTTTATGATTATGTTATTTATTATTATTATTATTAGTAGTAGTAGTAGTAGTCTCATTATTATTAGTAGTAGTAGTAGTTTTTAGTCTATTATTTGTTATTATTACTATTATAATAATACTATTATCATACTATTTATAATAATAGTAATAAGTGATTATCATACTATTAATCATATTATTAGTATGTTGTTATTTATTAGTAGTAGTCTCATTATTATCATCCTATTGGCTTTACCACATCGCAGTATATCGGCCCAGTGGCACGTCCAAGCGGTGAATGAAGCCGCACTGATGCTGCTGATCTCGCAGCACCGGTCGATCAAAGCCCAAGGCCTTTTTAGCGGAAGCCGCGGAAGCGAGGGAGGGGCCGTTGGAAATCACCAAAGGGATCACCAACATTCACCAACCCTTGTTATACCCTCTGGTCAATGATGGTGGATGGGTAGATCCAAAAAATGGTGATGCAGCCAAAAACTGGTGGTTACCCTCTGGTGAACTAACATAACTATGGAAAGATCCACCATGCTATTAATGGGAAAATCCACTATTTCGACTGGGCCATTTTCAATAGCTATGTTAGTTCACCAGAGGGTAATGTTTATAGTACCAATGTGTTATGGGATCACTTTTTTATTGGTCTATAAATAACACAAGTGTAAAAACAAATTGTAAATTGCTGGTAAATAGCACACAAGTGTAAATAACACATTGGTTTATAACCCTTAAAAATGATCAACCCTTGTTATAAACCAATTATGTTGTGGGATCATTTTTTTCATTCACCAACTTTATCCATCTAAATCCCATGTTTGTTGCTAAACCAATATATTTATAATATAAAGGGGGGTTGTATCCATCAAGAGAGTTTCTCATCCAAGAGATATTTCTCTGCTAGAAACTACAAACCCCTGGACAGCAGCAGGAGGAGAAGATTTTTCCGCAGTGTCTCGGGCAATTGGCTTCGGCAACTGCATCACCTGCAACCAGCAGCTTTTGATGGTGCAGTCCCAAACGCCCATTGGTGAAATATCAAAGTTGGAAACGGAAATCGATTAGATGAACAGAGTTTGCAATCAACATGCACATGAATAAGCCTTGCCAAATCCATTTGAACATGAATATCGCTCTTACATGTGGACTTAAAGGTCACGAATAAAACGCTCGAACGGACTTGTTGCGCATCGTGGAATACCTTCCAATTCTTGGTTGGGTGAAACTTTTCGGGCGACACTCTCGTGTTCGGTTGGCTTAAAACTCCAAGTTCTGCCTCAAAACAGATATACGGATGTGATATTTGGAGGATTTTGTTATCATACTATGGATATTTAAAATTTAATGTTCAGCTTGCTTCCCCACTTATGGGTTGGGCCTCCACGACTGCCGCCAGCTTTGCCAGGCCTTCCATGAAATCTCGGCCTCTGGGTTGGAAATACCTGGCGTATCCTGGTCCCTGGTAGACATCTTGAGTTTCTGAAAATCATATCGATCAGCTTCATCAATCGTGACTCAAAAACAAACACAAAGATTTTTTTTAAACATGAATCTATCATGTATATAACTCAGAGGTTTCTCAAAAAAAGAAATGAAGTTTCCTCATATATTGTGTTGAAGTTTGTCCCAAAAGAAATCCTTCTCCACTTGAGACCTTCTTAACTTTCATTTTCCAAAAACATATGTTGAAGTTATTCCCGCTATAGGTTGATTATACCATAATAAGAAAATATATATTTAGTGGATTTTAGTGGCAACCATAGGCGCTAAAAAAAATGGCGTGGCAACCATGGGCTCAACCGCTGGATGTTGTGCTTCTGCTGGATGTTCATAAGATGGAAGGAGAAGATCACCTGAAATCGGGGCGGATGCTGCTTCTGCCACTGAGTTTCCAACTGTTGGATCACCAAATATCACCAACATCTAGGGGATTCTAATCGACATAGCAAAAATAATCGGGGGATCCTCGAAACCTCTCGGCTGCATGTCATGAACATGTTCCTGGTTAAGTGTATCCTTCTGAAACTCCTTTGACTTTGCTGCTTGGCAATGGACTTTGCCCATACCAGCTGACAAAGCTCTACTCAACGGAAATGCCGGCAGCCTTCGGCAATTCTCAAACTGTCGGATTCTGGATTCCACTTACCCTCTGGTAAACTAACAGTTTGCTATGGAAAGATCCACCATTTTCAATTGGTAAATCCACGAACTAAATGACCATTTTCAATAGCTATGTAACAAATTACCAGAGGGTAAATGGACTCCGCAACTGGGAAGTCCAATGTCTTCACGAGAATTAATGCACGGCCGGCTCAAGCGTCACATGCTCTGCTGGGGAGGGGGCGAGCCATCCTTCTTCCAGGTCCGCTGCCAGAGCAGCCTCTCACCCAAGCCGTTCTTGACCTCCACTTCACCGCCTTCAAAGTCCATCTTCACCAGCTGGCTACCAATGTAATCACAGTAGATCTCCTGCTTGGGCCCCTGGTAGAAATGAAAGAATTGCTTCATGGTGAAACCGATGCGAGTCCCTCCAGACAAAACGTAGAAATTGTCTTGGACCATCACCTGATCATAAACAGGATCCTGAATGCGATATTTTCCATCGCGCTTCGGCATCTTCTCAAGAACCTGGATGTGCCAATTTCCCTCCAACTTCTTCAGGAGATCTTTTTCTTCCTCTTCAGGCATTGGTGTGGAGCCATTGGGGATGCCTCGAACTTTGGGTGCTGATCCCAAGCAGCCGCCCGCTTGACAACAATCCCTACACACGTTGCGCTTGATGCGAGGGTCTCGGGGGACAGGCTTGGTGAAGGGTTCGTCCGACCAGACGGGCTCCGTGACAAACTCGATGCTATGCCTACTCATGGCTGCGGTGACTACAAGGCACAGCTGGATTCCGCTATGGAATCGACAATTGATGACAATTGATGAGAAATTTTGCAGAAATCCTCGAGCCCGAAATGTGATCTGCGCGACAAAACGAAAATGGTGCAGCTTCAAAACTATGCAGTTTTCCATGGATTTCCATGGTTTCCCAGTTATCTGGACCATGTTACACCATGATGGACAGTCATGACAGTCCCAACTCTGCACACCAGCGTGGATTTTGCCACACGGTCACCGCGTTGCGTTGCGTTTTGACGAAACATCTCGACAAACTCGGCATATCACTAGCATTCAATAGCCATGATCAGGGATTTTAATGATGCTGAATATGATTTCTCGATTGCTTTCGTTGAACCATGTTGAACCCTTTTGCCAAATGTCAAGCTCTGCAGATTGCTTGGAAACTGCCTCACTCCCTCTCCCATTTCCCAAGAGCACCTTCATAATGTTGAAGATGTAGAAGAGGTTGATGTGAAAAAAAGAACGATGTTCATGAGGATATTATGGCAGGCCGTGGCGTGGAGGATGGATTGGAAGACTATACCCTTCATAATAAAATATTATGAACATTATGCTATCTATTTTTCTATTTGCTATGTGTTCTACTGGGAGTTCCCGACAGAACTATGTGATAGATTTTGTGGTTTTGCCAGCCAAAAGTTAGGTTTGAATGATGTTGCATGCTGTTATGCATGTGTTAGATACTGTTAGAGAAATATGGGATGAGATGTTATGCAAGATGTTGTAAATGGCATACTAGTGATTAAGAAAAAGAACTCTCAACTTTAGCTACGTATAATATTGGCAACATATAAAGCCTGAAGCCAGCATGCCACCCACGGCAACCTTTGCACTTTTTCGCGACTATTTGGCCTCTTTGTGCTAACAAGGACGGTGTTCAAATTTCATGTATACAATGCGGTGATTTTGTGGTGTGAGAATGCGCGCGCCATTCGCCTTCTGTGCCCCCCCGCACGTGTTCAATTCGAAACCTCTCACGTCCCTCTGGCTGCGTTGCATTTCCAAACTGTGTGCAGGAATTACTGCGACTCGTCTGACTCGTCTTGATTCTCAGCATCACTGTCCGTAGTTGTCATCAATTGATATCCTGGCAAACCATCCAAAAGCTTCCGTTTCGCAGCGTCTGGCAGGTACACACATCCAGCCACTAGAAAATGTCTTCGCTTGCCAAGCGCCCCAAGTAAAAAGCGATGCACAAGTTTGTACTGAAGAGGGGGCAGATAAGAACACAAACATGCCGTTAAGGAGTTCTCGATCTTATACGCACCTTTGATTTCCCAGAAAGCAAAGCGCAGCATCAAGGTGGCCCAAAGGCCACCAGACATGGTCCATCGGGTGGAACACCACAGTAAATCCACTTTGGCTGGGTGCCTCCCTGCCATGGCATCCAACAGAGTTTGCAATCAACATGCACATGAATAAGCCTTGCCAAATCCATTTGAACATGAATATCGCTCTTACATGTGGACTTAAAGGTCACGAATAAAACGCTCGAACGGACTTGTTGCGCATCGTGGAATACCTTCCAATTCTTGGTTGGGTGAAACTTTTCGGGCGACACTCTCGTGTTCGGTTGGCTTAAAACTCCAAGTTCTGCCTCAAAACAGATATACGGATGTGATATTTGGAGGATTTTGTTATCATACTATGGATATTTAAAATTTAATGTTCAGCTTGCTTCCCCACTTTTGGATTGGGCCCACCTCCACGACTGCCGCCAGCTTTGCCAGGGCCGCTGCAGGCCTTCCATGAAATCTCGGCTAATTCTGGGTTGGAAATACCTGGCGTATCCTGGTCCCTGGTAAACATCTTGAGTTTCTGAAAATCATATCGATCAGCTTCATCAATCGTGACTCAAAAACAATCACAAAGATTGTTTTTTACATGAATCTATCATGTATATAACTCAGAGGTTTCTCAAAAAAAAAAGTTGAAGTTTCCTCATATATTGTGTTGAAGTTTGTCCCAAAAAAAACCTTCTCCACTTGAGACCTTCTTAACTTTCATTTTCCAAAAACATATGTTGAAGTTATTCCCGCTATAGGTTGATTATACCATAATACGAAAATATATATTTAGTGGATTTTAGTGGCAACCATAGGCGCTAAAAAAAATGGCGTGGCAACCATGGGCTCAACCGCTGGATGTTGTGCTTCTGCTGGATGTTCATAAGATGGAAGGAGAAGATCACCTGAAATCGGGGCGGATGCTGCTCCTGCCACTGAGTTTCCAACTGTTGGGTCACCAAATATCACCAACATCTAGGGGATTCTAATCGACATAGCAAAAATAATCGGGGGATCCTCGAAACCTCTCGGCTGCATGTCATGAACATTTTCCTGGTTAAGTGTATCCTTCTGAAACTCCTTTGACTTTGCTGCTTGGCAATGGACTTTGCCCATACCAGCTGACAAAGCTCTACTCAACGGAAATGCCGGCAGCCTTCGGCAATTCTCAAACTGTCGGATTCTGGATTCCACTTACCCTTTGGTAAACTAACAGTTTGCTATGGAAAGATCCACCATTTTCAATTGGTAAATCCACGAACTAAATGACCATTTTCAATAGCTATGTAACAAATTACCAGAGGGTAAATGGACTCCGCAACTGGGAAGTCCAATGTCTTCACGAGAATTAATGCACGGCCGGCTCAAGCGTCACATGCTCTGCTGGGGAGGGGGCGAGCCATCCTTCTTCCAGGTCCGCTGCCAGAGCAGCCTCTCACCCAAGCCGTTCTTGACCTCCACTTCACCGCCTTCAAAGTCCATCTTCACCAGCTGGCTACCAATGTAATCACAGTAGATCTCCTGCTTGGGCCCCTGGTAGAAATGAAAGAATTGCTTCATGGTGAAACCGATGCGAGTCCCTCCAGACAAAACGTAGAAATTGTCTTGGACCATCACCTGATCATAAACAGGATCCTGAATGCGATATTTTCCATCGCGCTTCGGCATCTTCTCAAGAACCTGGATGTGCCAATTTCCCTCCAACTTCTTCAGGAGATCTTTTTCTTCCTCTTCAGGCATTGGTGTGGAGCCATTGGGGATGCCTCGAACTTTGGGTGCTGATCCCAAGCAGCCGCCCGCTTGACAACAATCCCTACACACGTTGCGCTTGATGCGAGGGTCTCGGGGGACAGGCTTGGTGAAGGGTTCCTCCGACCAGACGGGCTCCGTGACAAACTCGATGCTATGCCTACTCATGGCTGCGGTGACTACAAGGCACAGCTGGATTCCGCTATGGAATCGACAATTGATGACAATTGATGAGAAATTTTGCAGAAATCCTCGAGCCCGAAATGTGATCTGCGCGACAAAACGAAAATGGTGCAGCTTCAAAACTATGCAGTTTTCCATGGATTTCCATGGTTTCCCAGTTATCTGGACCATGTTACACCATGATGGACAGTCATGACAGTCCCAACTCTGCACACCAGCGTGGATTTTGCCACACGGTCACCGCGTTGCGTTGCGTTTTGACGAAACATCTCGACAAACTCGGCATATCACTAGCATTCAATAGCCATGATCAGGGATTTTAATGATGCTGAATATGATTTTTCGATTGCTTTCGTTGAACCATGTTGAACCCTTTTGCCAAATGTCAAGCTCTGCAGATTGCTTGGAAACTGCCTCACTCCCTCTCCCATTTCCCAAGAGCACCTTCATAATGTTGAAGATGTAGAAGAGGTTGATGTGAAAAAAAGAACGATGTTCATGAGGATATTATGGCAGGCCGTGGCGTGGAGGATGGATTGGAAGACTATACCCTTCATAATAAAATATTATGAACATTATGCTATCTATTTTTCTATTTGCTATGTGTTCTACTGGGAGTTCCCGACAGAACTATGTGATAGATTTTGTGGTTTTGCCAGCCAAAAGTTAGGTTTGAATGATGTTGCATGCTGTTATGCATGTGTTAGATACTGTTAGAGAAATATGGGATGAGATGTTATGCAAGATGTTGTAAATGGCATACTAGTGATTAAGAAAAAGAACTCTCAACTTTAGCTACGTATAATATTGGCAACATATAAAGCCTGAAGCCAGCATGCCACCCACGGCAACCTTTGCACTTTTTCGCGACTATTTGGCCTCTTTGTGCTAACAAGGACGGTGTTCAAATTTCATGTATACAATGCGGTGATTTTGTGGTGTGAGAATGCGCGCGCCATTCGCCTTCTGTGCCCCCCCGCACGTGTTCAATTCGAAACCTCTCACGTCCCTCTGGCTGCGTTGCATTTCCAAACTGTGTGCAGGAATTACTGCGACTCGTCTGACTCGTCTTGATTCTCAGCATCACTGTCCGTAGTTGTCATCAATTGATATCCTGGCAAACCATCCAAAAGCTTCCGTTTCGCAGCGTCTGGCAGGTACACACATCCAGCCACTAGAAAATGTCTTCGCTTGCCAAGCGCCCCAAGTAAAAAGCGATGCACAAGTTTGTACTGAAGAGGGGGCAGATAAGAACACAAACGTGCCGTCAAGGAGTTCTCGATCTTATACGCACCTTTGATTTCCCAGAAAGCAAAGCGCAGCATCAAGGTGGCCCAAAGGCCACCAGACATGGTCCATCGGGTGGAACACCACAGTAAATCCACTTTGGCTGGGTGCCTCCCTGCCATGGCATCCAACAGAGTTTGCAATCAACATGCACATGAATAAGCCTTGCCAAATCCATTTGAACATGAATATCGCTCTTACATGTGGACTTAAAGGTCACGAATAAAACGCTCGAACGGACTTGTTGCGCATCGTGGAATACCTTCCAATTCTTGGTTGGGTGAAACTTTTCGGGCGACACTCTCGTGTTCGGTTGGCTTAAAACTCCAAGTTCTGCCTCAAAACAGATATACGGATGTGATATTTGGAGGATTTTGTTATCATACTATGGATATTTAAAATTTAATGTTCAGCTTGCTTCCCCACTTATGGGTTGGGCCTCCACGACTGCCGCCAGCTTTGCCAGGGCCGCTGCAGGCCTTCCATGAAATCTCGGCCTCTGGGTTGGAAATACCTGGCGTATCCTGGTCCCTGGTAGACATCTTGAGTTTCTGAAAATCATATCGATCAGCTTCATCAATCGTGACTCAAAAACAATCACAAAGATTGTTTTTTACATGAATCTATCATGTATATAACTCAGAGGTTTCTCAAAAAAAAAAGTTGAAGTTTCCTCATATATTGTGTTGAAGTTTGTCCCAAAAAAAAACCTTCTCCACTTGAGACCTTCTTAACTTTCATTTTCCAAAAACATATGTTGAAGTTATTCCCGCTATAGGTTGATTATACCATAATACGAAAATATATATTTAGTGGATTTTAGTGGCAACCATAGGCGCTAAAAAAAATGGCGTGGCAACCATGGGCTCAACCGCTGGATGTTGTGCTTCTGCTGGATGTTCATAAGATGGAAGGAGAAGATCACCTGAAATCGGGGCGGATGCTGCTCCTGCCCCTGAGTTTCCAACTGTTGGGTCACCAAATATCACCAACATCTAGGGGATTCTAATCGACATAGCAAAAATAATCGGGGGATCCTCGAAACCTCTCGGCTGCATGTCATGAACATTTTCCTGGTTAAGTGTATCCTTCTGAAACTCCTTTGACTTTGCTGCTTGGCAATGGACTTTGCCCATACCAGCTGACAAAGCTCTACTCAACGGAAATGCCGGCAGCCTTCGGCAATTCTCAAACTGTCGGATTCTGGATTCCACTTACCCTTTGGTAAACTAACAGTTTGCTATGGAAAGATCCACCATTTTCAATTGGTAAATCCACGAACTAAATGACCATTTTCAATAGCTATGTAACAAATTACCAGAGGGTAAATGGACTCCGCAACTGGGAAAAGCTGAAAAACTGCACAGTCCAATGTCTTCACGAGATTTGTGCCTCTAAGGCATTCCCAGCTTCTTGGACGCTTCCTGGCTGCCGATTTAATCGGAATTAATGCACAGCCGGCTCAAGCGTCACATGCTCTGCTGGGGAGGGGGCGAGCCATCCTTCTTCCAGGTCCGCTGCCAGAGCAGCCTCTCACCCAAGCCGTTCTTGACCTCCACTTCACCGCCTTCAAAGTCCATCTTCACCAGCTGGCTACCAATGTAATCACAGTAGATCTCCTGCTTGGGCCCCTGGTAGAAATGAAAGAATTGCTTCATGGTGAAACCGATGCGAGTCCCTCCAGACAAAACGTAGAAATTGTCTTGGACCATCACCTGATCATAAACAGGATCCTGAATGCGATATTTTCCATCGCGCTTCGGCATCTTCTCAAGAACCTGGATGTGCCAATTTCCCTCCAACTTCTTCAGGAGATCTTTTTCTTCCTCTTCAGGCATTGGTGTGGAGCCATTGGGGATGCCTCGAACTTTGGGTGCTGATGCCAAGCAGCCGCCCGCTTGACAACAATCCCTACACACGTTGCGCTTGATGCGAGGGTCTCGGGGGACAGGCTTGGTGAAGGGTTCCTCCGACCAGACGGGCTCCGTGACAAACTCGATGCTATGCCTACTCATGGCTGCGGTGACTACAAGGCACAGCTGGATTCCGCTATGGAATCGAAAATTGATGACAATTGATGAGAAATTTTGCAGAAATCCTCGAGCCCGAAATGTGATCTGCGCGACAAAACGAAAATGGTGCAAAACTATGCAGTTTTCCATGGATTTCCATGGTTTGCCATGGTTTTCCATGGTTTTCCATGGTTTCCCAGTTATCTGGAGGGTGGTTACACCATGTTACACCATGATGGACAGTCATGACAGTCCCAACTCTGCACACCAGCGTGGATTTTGCCACACGGTCACCGCGTCGCGTTGCGTTTTGACGAAACATCTCGACAAACTCGGCATATCACTAGCATTCAATAGCGATGATCAGGGATTTTAATGATGCTGAATATGATTTCTCGATTGCTTTCGTTGAACCATGTTGAACCCTTTTGCCAAATGTCAAGCTCTGCAGATTGCTTGGAAACTGCCTCACTCCCTCTCCCATTTCCCAAGAGCACCTTCATAATGTTGAAGATGTAGAAGAGGTTGATGTGAAAAAAAGAACGATGTTCATGAGGATATTATGGCAGGCCGTGGCGTGGAGGATGAATTGGAAGACCATACCCTTCATAATAAAATATTATGAACATTATGCTATCTAATTTTCTATTTGCTATGTGTTCTACTGGGAGTTCCCGACAGAACTATGTGATATATTTTGTGGTTTTGCCAGCCAAAAGTTAGGTTTGACGGTTTGAATGATGTTGCATGCTGTTATGAATGTGTTAGATACTGTTAGAGAAATATGGGATGAGATGTTATGCAAGATGTTGTAAATGGCTTACTAGTGATTAAGAAAAAGTTAAGAACTCTCAACTTTAGCTATAATATTGGCAACGTATAAAGCCTGGAGCCAGCATGCCACCCACGGCAACCTTTGCACTTTTTCGCGACTATTTGGCCTCTTTGTGCCAACAAGGACGGTGTTCAAATTTCATGCCTCTCACGTCCCTCTGGCTGCGTTGCACTTCCAAACTCTGTGCAGGAATTTTACTGCGACTCGTCTTGATTCTCAGCATCACTGTCCGTAGTTGTCATCAATTGATATCCTGGCAAACCATCCAAAAGCTTCCGTTTCGCAGCGTCTGGCAGGTACACACATCCAGCCACTAGAAAATGTCTTCGCTTGCCAAGCGCCCCAAGTAAAAAGCGATGCACAAGTTTGTACTGAAGAGGGGGCAGATAAGAACACAAACATGCCGTTAAGGAGTTCTCGATCTTATACGCACCTTTGATTTCCCAGAAAGCAAAGCGCAGCATCAAGGTGGCCCAAAGGCCACCAGACATGGTCCATCGGGTGGAACACCACAGTAAATCCACTTCGGCTGGGTGCCTCCCTGTCATGGCATCCAAAGCAGGCATCAAACAAAGGACGAAGCACAGCGCTTGCCAAGAGGGATTCCAGGCACCCAAAGTGCCCAGGTATGCCCTGCTTCCAATCCGGTGGGACACCCAAATTACACTTACCAGCGCTGGGCCACACAGGCACAGCTTCGCAGGCAGTCCTAGTTGGGGCTGAGCCTCAAGGGAGACAGTTGTCAGGAGCATGAGCACCTTGGCAACAAACACACCCCAAACAAGGAAGGTCATGGTGTGAATTCCACTACTAGTTGCTCTTTTGAGAACGAACAAGCATACCAACAAACTGAAGCTTGGAACGCCTGATTCTTTGCACAACAACTCCGGCTCTGCAGCATGCCCCCTCACAATGGGCTGCATGAGCCCATTCTCCGGCCATCTCTCATGGTTCTTTACCAATCGAAACGGGATGTCAAAAGAACGGTAATGCAGGACGTCTCCAACCAGCAAAGATAAATTGACTGTCTGCACCTTCGCATAATATATCATCACCAAAACAAATGGCGTGGCCAGAAATAGAAGGGCATCCCAATCCCTCATCTTGTAATAACACTGGCAGGGCTGGTTTGGCACCTGTGCCACAAAAATCTCACAGGCTGCGATGAACAGTAACACTGAACTTGCTGCTGCAGCTCCCTGCACTGGGATGCATAGCAGTCCACAATGCAAGGACAGATTTTCATCGCAGCCGTTTCACAACATCAAGTCATGCATCGACTTGAGTAAAACCCACAAAATAAGGCATGAGGTGTAGACCACAGCGCAGCGGCCATGACTCATGTCGCTTCTGACGAGCTTTTTCATCCCTTCGCTTGCACACATGTTGTTCATCTCCTGCTGAGTGACGTTGGGGCAAAGACCGTCTAGCAAGGATTCGGATCCGCTGACTCTTGACTCTCCAAAGATTGATAGGACAACACCAGAGTAAAGATTGACAAACGATGCCACGACTTCGTAGAAGACCTGCAAGCCTTTGTTGCTCCACAATAAGGTCTCTGTTTGCAAGCTGTACGTCGTCTGGTTGGATTGGTTTCGGCGGAAGTGATGGACCCTTCTGGTGGCATGCTCGGTCCTTTGAGATTGCAAAAGCCAGTAATTGTCCCACGTCCCCAGTGTCATGCCAAACGAAAGACCCCAGTGATCATCTAAGCAAACACCACATATGCAGTATTGGACCATGTGATACATGGCAGAGGCACATTTCTCCCCAACACATGGCCATACGTAGTCATTAATTCCTAGAAGCCCAAGAGGTGTCCGCGGCAAGATTCGAGCCTGGACAACGTCATATTCCACTGGAATTGCATGGAATTCGTCGGTCATCACCAGGGGTCGAGCAACACCATTCTGCACGGCCAAAACATCAGGGGCTGTGCCCGGCACGCCGGAGCCTGTGAAGAGCCGTTGAAAGTTGCATGGCCGGTCGTTGCATGGGACAAAGGTCTCCAAGTCCGGCTTGGACAACTTGGTGATGATGCCGTAGAATGGATAAGCTGCGATGATGCTGGTAAACACAGCCATGACCATGGTGGTGGGTTTCGCAATGGGACCCCTATCGCTGGATTCATTCGGGCTCTCTGCCATTGCAATCCAACTAGACGCTTGGAGGCAAGTGTCTCCCCATGGCTCTCTCCACGTTTGAAGGCAAGCCAAAGCAAGCCACAAAACGCCACAAGAATGCCTGGCAAGATGTGGCCGGCTTGAACCCAAGGAGCACTGGATGTGATCTCGTTACTGGTAGGATTTTTGAATCATCAACATCTCCAAAAAACCTGAAAATCCAAAATCCAGTGCGGAATATAGTGCCCATCTGAGCTCCGGGCGTTTGTGGCTTTGCTGCAGTGGAGCTAGTCCCGATCCATGCTGGCAATGGGAATCTGCCTCTGACCATGCTTAGCAGTGCTCAATTGCTTTTGTGATTTAGAAGAATAGAGGGGCGAGAAGGTTGGCACCAAACACACATATCTTAATGTTATATTATATATATAATATAATATATATATATATAAACCAACTCTAGATGGGGGCGGCACCTTTGCTCGAGCCCTGCGAAAAGAACATGTCACTGGCACTCACCACAGCTGCACATCCAGAGCTGCGTGGTGTGATCGACTTGGCATGCCGCCTCCTATAGGACGTTGCCTTCTGTCAAAGAATGTCACGAGTCAACTTCTTTATCCAAAGTCCTAGCAATTGGATGATGATATTCCGGCCTAGTGGGTTGGAACTTGGAATCCTTGACATGTCCTCAAAACAAAGCCAAGTAGTTCAGCTTTTTCCTCATGCGCACAATGAGAATACCCACATGTATCGACATGCCAATTCTGTTATGCAGTCCCAAGTCCCAACAACTGTCACATACAGTAACCAGCTGAAGACATCTGATCAAGACTCCAAGCGTTAATTACAGCGTCAACTCAGTTTGAAAGTGCGGTCAATATCCCTTAGACGTCCTCCAGCACATGTGAACAGTCTGAAGAGCATGAAAACAAAAAACCACCTGGTTTGCAAAACCAAGGCATGTGGAAATTCGATAAAAGATCCCGAAAAATATCATATTGTCAAGAGGGTACCAGTGACTGTCCAATCACGCATATCAGTAATAAAGAGTGCCGCCAGATGACTCTTCTCTTGGTTATGGCGTGCCCTTTTCTTCCAATTGCTGACTGGAACCACCTTTTCCCTCATAGCCTCATAGCTTCAAAACACACTATATTGTAATATATTATATAGGTTTCTTCGCATCAAATCCTCTGTTTTGTGGTAACGTGTCCTATCTTTTCCACTACGGGATCTGTCTCGGGCAATCTGCTCAAGCAGCTGCATCACCTGCCGGGCAGGGGCTAGTGGGATGAGCGGGTATCCTGGGTCGAAGAATCTGTAAAGAGCATTGACAATCCTGCACTGTACTGAGTTTGTAATGTAAACATGTGCAGTATGTAGAAAACCCAAGCAGTGAAGTTGCGGACAAACTATGCACCTGAGTGAAAGGTATGTAGCTTTCAACGACGTCTTCTTTTCAACTTTCAACCAAAGAAACTCCACTGATCCACTGGCATGTTCGGACTCCTAAGCAATAAATGCTAATTGTTTGGACATGCCCATTTCACCCATGGTTGAATCTCTCGCCATTTCTGGCTGTCTATTTAAGAAGAACCGGTGAGTTGACCCAAAAAGTGCCGGGGTACAACCCCCAATTTTGGTTGGACTAAAATCCCTACCTTAATCTTGGTTCAAAACCCCAACCAGCTTGTGCTTGGTAAAAATCGTAAACTTTACTAAACATTGAAAATCACCAATAGGGAGAAAATCCCCATGTTTCCGCTGGTTCTGTTCCTATTTTTGGAAGCCCACCTCCACATGCCCCGCTCTCTGCGCCAGTGCCGCCGCCGGCGTCGCCAGGCCCTGCTCCGCTGCCGCCATGGGACCGCTGTCCAGCTGGGCTCGCGCCTGCAGCAGGCGGCAGACCACCTGGGCTCAAGATGCCAGGTTGCTACTCGGTTCTAGTACCTGTACCAATCAACTTGTATTGGGGATATGATCGGGAAATAATATGATAAACTGGGGGTGTAAACCAATATATAATGCTGGTTGCAAATAGTTGCCTTGCCGCCGTTCAACCGTTGCTGTGTTGCTGGCTGTAACTCTGGTGGTTATCTTTTTGATGCTTGAATGTGCATTTGCTCTACTTAAAATTGACTGTATAGTGTTGAAAGAAGTAGCCATGGAAGTATATATGATAAATTGAACCGATAAAGTATAACTATAACCGATAAGCAAACACATATAGAACATACAGTATACTGTATATGGTTATATATAGTCTACCAAAGGCAAACCCCTGGCCCCAACCCAGCAAAGAAAATACCTTTCAAAAGCAAGACAAAACAGCAACCCAGCAACGGTTCAACAGCAGCAAGTTGCAAGCCAATCAGTTTTTTCTGTGGAGCTGTTGACAGACAGCTATCCCATCACCCCCTTCGCGCACCTCCAGATGACCAGCCTCGGAAGCCAGGCACAAAGGCGTTAGGCCATCGGGGGCCGACTCCAGATCCACCGAGAGCTCCAAGAGCAAGGCAACCACCTGGACCAAAAGAGTATGGTCGGAAGGTGATCAAATAACCCAGTGAAGCGGGGATGGTAGGCGCTAAATGATGATGGGAATATTGGAATATCAACCAACGAACAACTTTTTAAGGAAGATGCAACTCGGAAATCACAGCTATCCCAACCCAAGTTGAACAGTTTTTTGCCTGCTGTTCTATTTTACCATCCGCGCACGTTATCCGCTCCCCCACCTCCACGTGCCCACCGCTTGCTGCGCTGCACAGCGCATGGGTCGCCGCTGGATCTGCTCGCGCATCCAGCAGCTGCCGCACCACGGCGCAGTCCCCAGCGCCGCACGCCACACTGAAGGCGGAGGCAGCCTCAGCCTACGACAGCACCCAAGGTCGCCCAGCTATATATGGGGATGTGCTCCAAGAAAAACGGAGAGAGCACACCCACAAAATTCAGAAAAGCCGGCTAGGAACTTTGAGAAAATGTTTCTCCTAAAGAGAAAGCAGCAGGTATCAGAGATTTCTTTGGATACCCACTTCGGGACCATGGCCTGGCTTCCCGGCGCACCAGCAGCCAGCAGCACTTCTACAGCCTCTCAGCAGCGCTACTCTCTTGCGCTTCTATCAAGTCTCGGTGCTCTTCAAAGAAACTTGCGAAAAGTAGCACAAAGCATTCCGAGATTGCTGCATCTTTGCATCATCTGGCTTCATCTAGTAGTGAGACAAGACCAAGACCGGTACAATAATTGCTAGTTTCTTGGCTTCCCCGCTTCGGAATACGTCCATGCAATAGATATGATCGGAACTGTAAGTTTTATTATAATGCATCATCTTATTTTGACAGCAAAATCTTGTTGGTTCTATCATCAACACTTACTGGGCTCTAGCCATTTCACCAATCTCGGTCCGGTTGCCTCGTGGTGTCCGTTGCCCACAGCACTGAGCAAAGGGGTCAAGCCCTCGCCCTGGCAGTCGAGCTGGGCGCGGGCCGCCAGCAGCTGATGCCTCAGCAGTGGGGACATATCTATTGGGGTCATTTTTGGAGGTTTTCATGTCCAGGTTAAATATGCCAAAACTTCCACCGGAACACCAATGAGAGTGTCTCATAGATTTATAGACTATAGACTATATTTATAGATCTTGGGGTCATGAGCTTGCGGTTTGAAAGCTTATCAAAACATTAGGAACCCACCAACCACCCAAGAGAATGGCGGCGCATGCCAAGTTGGTACAGCTTCGTGTTCTTGAGGTTGGGAGTGTTCCTGACAGGCCATGTCGTAGTCCCGAACCGGTCACCAGACCCTGAAAACCTTCACCAGGCGTCCCGTTTATCGGGGAGGCAAGCTGTGCACACTAAGGAGAAATGCTCTAAACACAAAAGGATAAGAAATATATATGAATGAGAATATCAAACATTCATTCACAAACACGACAATGTAACAAAAAGTGGTAATTACTGAGCATACTGAGTCATGAGTCATGAGTTTAACTGTGATGTGATATCAGTGATATCATATCCATCAAGAAGACTGACCAGTCCCGTCCAGAATGCCAACTCTGTCCTCGACCCGCTGTTCCTGTTGCATGCCTGTGTCCAGCCTTTGATTGGGTACCTAGGAGCGCAAATGTATGAGAATGTCACAGTGGCAGGGATGAAATTCACAGGTCATTTTGGCTCCACTTTGCCAAGCATCGGACAACGTGATGAAGAGCTTGAAAGGCCGGCTGTTGCCTGCGCAGCATGCCACAGCTGTGCCATTAAATAGCTAACTGCTGAATCCGGTCAAAGTTTTGGGCTAATATGGGAAACATATGCAGAGATCATGAGCTGATTTTCCTCATTCCAGCGACGAAGGGCGAGTTGCAGTGTCGCAAGCACATGGTGAACTGCTTGATAATCTAGTCGTCGCATCAAATCAATCCCTGGTGTCTGTACATTACTTGAAAGCCCAAGATCCAGGGTGGCAAACTTTGCTCCTATTCTGCATGTCATATGTCCTTTGTTTCCTTCATAGGAATGCTTGGATCTGGGCGCGATCAGCTGCAAGTTCTCCCATCTTCTTTGTATAGATAGCGATCTCGTTGTTTCTTTCATTGACCTTGCTCTCAAGCTCCCTTCCCTCGGTTGTTATTGGTGCATTCCAGGTCACATGACTAAGATGCTGGATGTACCTCGTCTTCTCCTCGATCTGCTCTCTGAGTATCCCACTTTTTCTCTTGTCAGAAAAGCCTTGAGCAGCACCGATGACTGCCCCTGAAGCTGCTGCCATGGTACTAACCTGCAAACCTGCAGCAGCACATTGGATCGCGTTGCCCCAAATGGTGGTCCCCTCAAGTTCTAGAAGCTGATCCTTTAGATCTTGCAACTTCCGCATCTCAGTTCGAAGGTCTTCACTGTCTCTGAGTCGCAATTCGTTAGAATTCTCCACGGCCCTCTGAAGGTAGTGGATGTCACGATCAAGCCATTGGATTTTCAGGTTCAGGTCTTGTGTTTCCTTGGTTTCGAAGGCTGTGCACATGTCAAGTATTCGTTGCGCTGCAATGCGCATGGCAGCATTGGCTGAGACTTTCTTCTGGTGGCTGTCGTCAGTGGAACGCAAGAACTCACTCAACTTCTGGACACCGGGATCACTGCCATTCCTTGCGTCCATGGGAATCACTTCCACAGGAAGACCAGGCATGATTTCCTCCAAGCAATCTTGGACATATGTCATGCACTCACTGCGCTCCTCCTCAGTCTCCACATGGTTCCAATAGTTGATAGCCATTGTGATCTTGGACTGTGACTCAACCAACTGTTTGAGAATTGGGATTTCGCGCTCTCCAATTGGCTGACGTGCACTGATCACCACCACTGCCCTGTTTGAGCGCCTAGCTGCTTCCAAAGCCTTTTGCTTGTGCTCAGGCTGGTTCCAATTATCCAAACCAGTAGAGTCCACAAGGAGATGGCCATGCCAGTTGTAGAAATGAAGGTCACTTGTAGTGGGTTTGATCCCCGTATCACAAAGTTTTTGTCCAAGAAGAGTGTTGATCAACGTCGACTTGCCAGCACTGAAGGCACCAACAAACATAATCATGGGCTTCTTGTCAAAATCGGCTTTTGCAGTGTGCAAGACTTGGCACACTTCTCGCATCTCTGGCCCGCCCGCCCATGGTTTGCCAACACTGGAGCTAGCAAAGGAGATGATGCAATCGAAGCGCTTGAGAGTGTCATCCGAACTGCCGGCTTCACAGCGGAAGGACATTGGTAAAAAGCTGCGTCTAGAGTTAATGCTAGAATGGCTGCGCACTGATGAGAAAGAACTTTGGCTGAGTCTGCGGCTTCCAGATTTCAGTACATGTGAGAGCCTCAAATAGCGTGATACCGAACACTGTCTTGCTGTTGTTTCTATCGGACACGATAAAGTGCCTGATCTGAAAGACTGTTCATTGACAATTACCTAGAGGAGATTCATAGGTACCAGGTACCCCCGTTAGTGCTTGTTCAGCAAGGCAGGTGCAGGGCCAAGCGGGGGCGGCACTTGGTTGATTTGTTCTGCTTCTTGTCGTGGTCGCCGTAGTTGGTCGGAGCTCTTGGGCTCACAGCAGAGGAAGATCAGGCGTCAGTGTGCTCAAGCCATTTCTGGACGACACCGACAGCAGATGTCCTCTATCCTGGGCATGATCCTCCACTCGTTATTATTCGTGATTCCCCAATTCCACAAGCAACTGGTGCCGATGAATAGTGCACCGAAACCCCACACAGCTGCAGCATTTTCCAGGGGTTCACCTTGCCGCTGAGTGGCATCACCGGCACCTGTCCATTCTCTGCCGCCGCATGCAGCGCCGTGAAGCCCCGGGAGGAGCTGCGGTTCACCTGGCGGCTGGGATCAATGGAAGGACCAAAAAAAAGCGGGGATTTTGACCAGCGGGACATGTGACTTGAGAGTGTGTAAAAACGGGAGGTGAATAAGTTAATTTCAAGCAGCACCACAATTCCTGCATAGTTTTACCCAAAATTCCCTAAATGGATCTACAGCTAAAAATGAGAGTGTAATCGATAAAAAGAAGCCGGCTCAAACTCATCACAGCAAGTCTGTTCATGGTTCATCATGTTTTCTATGCCACCATCCAATGTTGTCGGTAAATCCTTTGGAACCATACAAACCGTACCCAAATGAACAGTTGTGGCATGTCCAGCACAGGTGACCAGCCAGTGATTCACTCTGATTCACTTCGCCTCTGCTTGTCGCTGCAGCAGTAGATCCACTACCTGGACGTGGCGTTGAAATCGACTGAGGACGACCAGTAGTTTCATCTGCTATCTCCATTCACGAGTATCAGAGTATATCACAGTAATGTTCCACGGTATCAATTGTCGTTCGAAAGGGTCATCTTGGCTGTGGATCATTGAAATTTGACTGTTTGGTGGTATACCTACCCCTCTGAAAAATATGACTTCGTCAGTTGGGATGATGACATTCCCAATATATGGAAAGTCATAAAATTCCATGGTTCCAAACCACCAACCAGTTTGATATTGAAATGCCCAGTATGTGTATTGATATTGAATTTCCATAGTCGTTCCATTTGGATTGAAACTTGAGAACTCCAATATCAATGAGGCTTCTCCACAAATCCGCCAGACTCTGCCTCCACATGTCCTTGCTCGGCCGCTGCCAGTAGCGGTGCTGTCTTTTTGGTCGAACTCGGTTCGTAACATCCCTCGACCTCCTTGGCATAGGGTGAAAGAATCAAAGGCACCGGGTGTCAAGCGATCTGGATCCACGGTTGTTTGGGAAGCAGGGCAAGCATTGCAAGCAATATACTGTGCAGGTATAGTTGCGGTGTTCTAAGTGTGCAGCCATTCGATTTTCCTAAAGTTGCAGCAACAACACAGGCAATATGGCACAGAACATCCATGGCGTTCATCCACGCGTAGAAGATTTTACCAAGAAAGAAAGTCATGCGGAATCTCCTAGAGAGAAGGGCACCATATCATTCTGCCAGCGCTGAATAAAACTTCTACGGGTTTTGCAGGGGAGGGATTTCGAGGGGAGGAAGTTTAGAGCTTGGTACCTTTATATCCCGCATTTGGGCACTTTGGGCCACAAGCCTGATAAGCAGGAGGTCACAAATCCAGTCAAATCTGATGTTCAGTCAAATCTCTGTTGCAGACCATTGCCCAAATCCAGACGATAATGAATCACAAGACAACGGAAGTATGATTCATGGACTTCGTCAATGACAAGCGCAATGATGGCTGTAAAACAGGTAATGATGGTGACAATGTGCCACTATCCGTACAGAACTTTGCCGGTCAGACTCCCGAAAGTTCCAATGTCCAAGGAAAATTGCATAATTCCCTCCGAATATTGGTCGGTTGGTTTTCTCTGACAAGCTTTGGGCTGCATTACCAGGGGAGGGCACGCACATACTGCGTATACTGCTCTAGGCAATATATACCCAGTATATAGTGCGTATATACTGCTCCAGGCAGTATACATCCAGTATATACTGCGTATATACTGCTCCAGGCAATATATACCCAGTATATACTGCGTATATATTGCTCCAGGCAATACATATCCAATATATCATGAGTCTATATACTCAGGAAAATTATTGTCTTTTCTGCATTTTCCTGCTCATTTGTCACTTGCTCACTACAATTCCAGACCCATTTTTGGCAGGCCCCCCATCACCTGCCCCCAGATTCTGACAGCAGTGCTCAAGACAAGAAAAAGAAAACAGGAAAGAACAAAATTATTATAGACACACATGATAAGCACCAGGCCAGGCAAAGACCAAACCTGACAACGCAAAGAAGAAGCAAGAAGTAACTATCAAAGATAGCATGGCCCAATCGGCATTTATTTGTGCACTCCTCGCGTGCAGTGATGAAAAAGAGCAGCGAGCAAGTGAATCCCTTCATCCTGCTTGGTGCCAATTTCCCCAATGTATGCCAACTACTTTTTGTTGCTGATACCTGTATAGAGAGCCTTCTATAAGCCTTCTATATTGATCATATTTAGGCAGTATATACCAGGTATATACCATGTATATATTCATGTTCTTCAGCAAAAAAACTGATCCCCTGGAATTTGGGAACCAGAAAAGTTCCTTGAAAACTGGCTTCTCCCTTGGATTGCCGGAAAGGAAGATCCAACAACAACCAAAACATAGCAAAACCACGAGATCAAAATGATATCAGATATATATCAGGTATGGCCGACCATAGTTATGTATGTTATGTTATAGACCATGGATCAACCCCCTTTTGCCATCCACTTCTCCGCAACTCGAGCATCGGCACCAGCGTCCAGCAAGCAGCGCACCACCTCGCTGAAGCCCTTTTCGGAGGCGATGCACAGCGCCGTCTTTCCACGCACCGTGGTCCTGGTGGCGGCCACGGCCACCAAAGGTTGGACCATGGAAACTGGGCCGTGGAAAAATGATGAGTTCATGGATTTTCTATGGATTTTCTCAGGTTTCTTATAGTTTCTCTCGGATTCTTGGCAAAGATTTCTGAAAATTGGATGTCTTATTCCCGAAATGCTTCCAATTTTCGCTCAAACCTCTCCCATCTTTCTGAAGTCAACTTCCGCCCCAGATTGTCCTCCAACATCCATAATATCCATATGGACATGGAACTGCTGACCACAGTACTGTAATATACTGTACTTCACCAACATAAAACTCCAGATATATATATATATATATCAAGAAACTGTTGACCTTGTTCCCATGTTTCAACATCATGTAACCATGGTTAACTCCCCCAAAAGCCCCCCATCCCCACCAGGTCCTCTCCAGGTTGGCCCTCACCTCCAGGAGCCGCCCAATCACCGCCGCGCTGTTGCCATGCGCCGCCCCGTGCAGCGCTGTGAAGCCCCGCAGCGAGGCCTTCTCGATGTCCGCAGCAGCGGCCACCAAGCTGTCCAACATCTGCGGCGTCGCTGGTGGAACTGGGTGATGTCACGTGGGGTATTAAGGGACAGTAACCAACCAACCAACCAACCAACCGACCGACCGACCAACCAACCAACCAACCGACCGACCGACCAACCAACCAACCAACCAATCAACCAACCAACCATACTTGGGAGAGATCATGCGAAACAAAAATACTGGGATATGAATGGATAGAAACCAACCATGAGAAACCAGAAATCATGTCAAACAGCGCATGGCTGAGCTTATAAATCTTATAATAATGAGAAACCATGTCATATTCATGGGATAGAAACCAAACAACCATGAGATGTCCTTAAAATATGGATAATGTCACATGGAAGACCAGCCGTGATGAGAGATAATTTTTGATATAATGGGATATAAAGCAGGGACGCTTAAGCACCAAAGATTGAGTATAAATGGGATGACATATATATAATGAGGATATAAAACCAACCATGATGGCTGTTCAATCGGGAAGTTGATGATCATATTATAATGGGTGGTTGATGTCACTATATTATAATGGCTTATACCCATTATAGGGTATAGAACCAATTATTTTATAATGGGTGTTGGTTGATGTCAGCATCAGAACCTATCTTCGATCCATCCACCAACAAGGCCTCCAGGTCGCCGCGATACGCTGCGACGCCCACCGGGGTGTAGCCCTGGGCACCTTGGTCAATGAAGATGGGTGTGGTCATTCAACCAGAAGGAGCGATCATCGTAAGTTGCATCAAGTTGCGTATTTCTTTAGTGCAAAAATTTGTAGATGTACAGATATACAGTATGGAAATAAGAATGATGGATGATCTTCCCGGGGAAAGGTCATTGCTGTGTGCAATCCAATGTGCACCAAGCGGGTGGAATCTCCTGACTCGGCAATACCGAGGCGCTGCTGCGGTTCACCTCGGCCTGGGCTTCCAAGAGACAGCGCACCGCATCCAGGTGCCCCGCCTGCGGAAATCTGATGAACTGGATGCGTTCCTCTGATTTCATGGATTAAACCTTGATACCTTGAGAATGTTTCACATAATGAACGGATGAATCAATGAACTCGAAGAAAATGAAAGTTAGTTTTGTTATGTTTTGTTGCTAAGAACTTAAGAAGTTGACGGAGTCTCTGCGGCAGAAGTTTTCATTTTTTGCCGTGAGTTGTCCTGTGGAGAGTTCCAGAGTTCTGAATGTGTGTGCAAGGCTTTGCAAGGCAAGAGTACTTGAAGCTTATAACATCTGACCGCGTGCTTGGTAGATTTTCTCAAGCGCTTTGAATCAACACATGCACCTTGCTGGCGATGAGAAGTGGAGTCCTCTCCATTTCATCAACACCTCAGACGCAAGAAAAAGACGGGCAGATGCTGCTTCCGGTCCCAAGGACCTGGATATGACATGATATGACTTGAATTTCAAAATTGCCTGACAGAAACATGGAAAAGTTGGAACTTCAGGTCATATGGACTTGTCCGGAAATGGGAAAATGACCGCTAACCATGGGATTTTGGGGTGCCCTACTTTTGCACAAAGCCATATTCGAGTTTACTTGGAAACCTACCAACCACCATGAAAAAACACCCTACTGTCTGCAGCCGAAGGCACAGTTGGGATTTTGGAAGTGGCGAAGTAGCTCCTTGCTCCGGATCCCGTCTTTGCAGCTCTGGGTTTTTGTTTACAGGCACTGATGCGACACTGGTGCCATAAAGCCACACTAAATTCGTGAAGTCCCACCATGCCGGGTTCTCCTCCACTTGCTCAGCACCCTCCTCTGCGGCCGAAAGCAGTTCAGCATCAAAGTCATTCACCTGCAATAGTTCTTCGGAAAGACTGCTTAAGCTCCAGCACTCCTATCAATTCTGAAGGATTTAGAATCACTCAACAACAAGTAAAGACAGCTCATTTTATACTGAGATATTTTTGGGGTGTCCGCAGACATCATTATTTTAAGGTGACGTTGGCCAGTCGTCATGACGAGCAATGGCCGGCTGGGAAGGCTCCAGCCTGCGACTGAAGCGCCACGCGCACTTCGCAGGGATCATCGTCGGCAAAAAGCACTTGGCAGTAGCCTCAGGAGGCTTCCCTCAGTGTGGTGGAAATCCTGCGTGAAACCCTGCTATGACATGGTAAATTCCATGTCAAACACCAAGAATTATATGAAAAATGACAAAAATGATCATCTACCCCCACTAGTGGCCCGCAAAGTTCAAGAAATCCTATTTAACCACCCCACGCTTCCCCCAGTTTCATTTGCAGTTTGATTCCCCCAGTTTGAGCCACCTGCTTAAGGAATCCCAGTTGCTTTACCCATATGTTTGCTTTAAATCCCCATTTGTTTCTTGGAATTTCTTGATGAAACCACATTAAACCATGTCAAAGTCACCCAAATTAATCCAAATTATTTCTTAGATTTTGCTGGCTTCAACCCTACCCAATTTCAAAGTCACCTCAGCACTGGAGACTCCCAGCTGGAGCCCAAGGCACTGGAGACTCCCAGCTGCCGCGTGATCTGCTGCTGGACCTCCTCCACTGACTCAGCGGAGCCCAGCAGTTGCCCCGACAGCGCCGAGCGCGCCACGACGCGCCGCGCAACGGGCGCCGCAGCCGCAGCCGTGGGGGCCATGGCGGGATCCCAGCAGAAAACCGGTGAATTTCACCGGTGAAAGATGGGACTTTCGGGGATTTCACAGCTGAAAGATGGGGATTTCCTGGAAATGTTGAACTTAAACCTCTGGGAGTTGCAAGTTGGAGGAGTGAACTGAAACTTTCTGGGGGGAATCTCAATAGTCAGTAGAGTCCGTTTCAGTATTGCAGACCTTCTTCTATCTTCCACGGTGCTGAGAGGGCTGGCCCAAAGCTGCCCTCTTTCTCTTCATCTTCTAAAACTGTCGTATCATTGCATGATCTCAAAGGTGTTCTGCTTGGCTATGTTTATAGATTGCAAACATGGGGTAGTTAGGACTTGGTTTCTCCATGCTGCCTGAGCTTTTTTTTTGTCTCAAAGCTGCACCGACCTCGGTCTTTGAGACGAAATGGTGGTAAGTCGGTCCTGACCTCGCAGGCTTCCTCAACGCTGGTAACCAGGTAACCATTTCAAACCTCACCCAAAATCATATCCAAATGTCAATTTTCCACTTCATCATTCAGGTTTCAAAACTTACCACCCCAATTTAACCCCAGTGTTTGCCCCAGTTATCTATACTATAATCCCAGTTATAACCTCTAAGTGATTGGTTTTTCCTATGGCTATGGCTTTCCCATGTCACCTCCAGTCATTTCGGCCACACCACGGCACCTGCAGGTGCTGCGGTAACTGCTTGGCATCCTCCATGGCACCGGCCGTCTCCCAACCGCAGGGCTTGAGAATCAGGAGCCGATCGCCCAAGGGGTGCAACCTGCGGAGGATGGCCGTGGGATCTCCAGACTCTACCCGGCCTGGTAAACGTTTACAGAACTATGGAAAATCACCATGCTATTAATGGCCATTTATGCTATAATGTTTATCAAAGATCATAAAATATCATAACTATGGAAAATCACCATGCTATTAATGGGTAAATCAACTAGAAATTGCCATTGGTAAACGTTTACAGAACTATGGAAAATAACAATTTTTCATTGGTAAATCCACTATTTCGACTGGGCCATTTTCAATAGCAAACTGTTGAATTACCAGAGGCTACCTGAAAGTTCTCCCGTTGTTCGCCGAGCAGCTCAGGTTGATCATTGGAAAGTTGAAGTGTCACAGTTTCATTCACCTGCCAGGGTGAGGTCGGCAGATCTGACCAGCCCTCCATCCCCTGGCCAAACAATTCACAAGAAACACGTCCTACTGACCCTAATGCGAAGCCCTTGAAGAAGGAGAAACACTATGATTTATGATGCGCAGGAAGTAAATCCATTCAACATAACCTGTATTTACAGGTCAAACACAAAAAGAAAATGTATTCACCTCAATGGACTCAACCACCCAAAAAGAAAAACAAATGCCCTGAAGCTTTCAGTCCCACCTTGGCGATCGCCGGCTGCTGCAAATCGCTCTGTCCATCCAAGCGATGGGCCAACCTTTGCCGGGGGCCACTGGGGCTGGGGCGATCTCGATCATCGCATCACGTGACCATCCCATCCCAGCTTCGAACCACCAAGAATGGGCTCTTGAAGCTGCGTGCGCCGGGCACATTGGACTTTGAACCAAGAAAAGTAGGTGATATATGTGATATGCTCTATAGTCAGGTCCCCTGACTGCTATACCGCTACATCATTCTTATCTCACCATGGGTATCTTCCCAGTTTCCACCCCCCAGCGGCCCCAGCGCCACCTTCGCATGGCACGGCTGGCCGCTGCATAGAGCGTGGTGCCCATCTGGGCCAAGTTCAAGGCCCAGACCACGCCCAGCATGTCCTGACCATGTGGGGCAATCAAGTTGCAGGAAACTTTTTCTAATTGGTGATATACCTACCCCCCTGAAAAATGATGGAGTTCGTCAGATTGGATCATCATCCCAACTATTGGGGAAAATAAAAAATGTTCCAAACCACCAACCAGTTTTCAATGGCAAGGTTTGAAAGATTCAAAAGCTTTGCAGCTTTTTCTATGTTTTCTCTTGAGTCTTTGTGTATTTTGTGTGAGATGCTTTGGATAGATCACACTTATAACAGTTGCAGGAATGCTTGTGCCCAGTCCTGGTAGGTGTCATTCTATATGATAAGAATTCATGAATACATATAGACTAGCATATAGAATGATCGTATAGAATGATACCTACCAGGACTCTATACAAGACTGTGACTATTTGATCTGTTACAAGTCCCCTTTCAACAGTAACACTGCCATCCTGGAGGACTAGACAGCTGCACTGGATGTCCTCTGCAAGAGCCGCACTTTCAGCCTTCAGACTGCCAGGGTTCAGTGACTTTGGAGCTTCAAAGCGCTGGAAGCGGCGCAACATCTCCTGGCGTCACTTGGCTGTAGTCATTTAGTACCCAGCAACCCAGGTTTTAACGTCCAACATGCCGCTAGAATGCTGAAATTGGATGTTGGGATTTGAAGAACTAAAGAATTACCCTCCGGCGTCATCAAACTTGGCCAGGAAATCCTCATAAAAGGGTGGTTTTTGTGGCAAAGTTATCTACAAATCGAGGAATTTCCATTGCCATGGTTTGATGACACCGGAGGGTACTCCCTTGCACCCGCCTTCTCCAGCTCTCGGCCAAGGTCTACTGCAGCTGCACTGACCACGGACTCCGTCAAGAGGTCACAGGCGCCCAGGGTGAGGAAAAGCAAATCGCCCAAGCTGAAGCCGGACCTTGGAGGGAAGAAATTCTACTTCCAAACAACTTGCCCCAGACATCTAACTTCCTGCTGATACTCAATGCGATGTTGCAATTCTTCCGTTTTTTTGCTGAAAATTGACCCAGTAACAGACCAAAGCAGTGGTGGTTCTCTAGTTCTCTTTGTTAAAACCGTGACATTAATGATTGCCTTTAAAATCCTTCAGATCAATCAGCTTTGCAGCACTCGGTTACCTACTTCACAGCCAGTTGCTCATTTTGGGAAATGTATCAGAACCGTGACAGGCACAGCAAAAAACAATCTGGTACAGCTGGCGTAGCTGGATGTTCATCATATGGAGGTTTCCTAAAATATGGGTACTGTACCTCCAAAACATCCATATTTCCATATGTTAACAGGTTTTTCCATTATAAATACCATCCAGCTATTGAGGTACCACTATTTTAGGAAACCGTGGCATCCCCATCTCCTACTGCCTGGCAAGTCACAGCTGATGCAATGCCTGCTCGGCGATCAACTGCGTGAACTGCTCGTTGCCTAAACACATTTGGATTTTTCTCCGAAAATGAGGTGTAGCCTTAAGACTGTAACCTTAACAAGCAAAAGATGAACAACCGAGCACAAACTGAAGCTTTCACCGGAATCAATTGGTTTCCCGTTGCCCATGACCCAACCAAGAGACTGGCGCCCAAAGAAGACGATGACCAAAGCAAGGTGGACAGCTCCTTGGATGCGGCCATCTACATATTGGGTTGTCCAGAAATTGGGTACACGGGTACACCCCAAAATTGTAAAATTGAAGGAAAAACCATGACAAATGGATTTGAGATGATGTGAGGTATGAGGTATCCTACTTTTGGAGAACCCATGAACAAACCCACATTTGGCGCACAGTGCCAACATGCTCATTTCATAGTGACAGTGACCTATGATCTTTTCAGGCGTCCCCTTTCCTGAGAAAGTTCCGTTCCCAGGCTTTGGTCCTGTGGCACACAAGTGGAAGATTTAAGACCGCGCAGGGCGAACTGCAGCCTCAGGAGGCCAACAAAATCTTTGGGAGGGGGGGTAAAACCATGTGTCAAACATTGTCTGCACTGAAAATTGGGTGGAAACTAACATGAAACCACCAAAATCCAATTTCATCCAATTTCCAAGTCTGGAAAAATATGAAAACATGGAAAAGTCATCTTCCAAATCCCATTTCTGGGGGGTCCATTGTTCTTTTACCTGGAATTCCTTTAAGTTCCAGTGGCGCATCAGCCAGGCATTCAGGGTCTGAAATCGTCAGCCGCGCGAAGGCCCAGAGGTAGAAAGAACTGGACTTCACGACTCCTGCGGAAATCAGGAGACCTGGTGGATTGGATGGGCTCAGATCAAGTGTTCAATTTCTTGAAAAATGACACAACTGTTATAAGAAGATCAGGAAAAACTCAAGGATTATCATATATTCCTTTGAAAAATACCATCCCCAAATCATTGTCACAATAAATCCTTGAGCCAACCACATCATGGTATCCCCAACGGCTGATTCGCATCTGGTCCTGCTGAGTCCGCCTCCCACAACAACTGCAGGGCCCTGGCTTCTTCGCCATTTTCCTCTAAGGCAGCCAGCAAAGCGCGAAAGGTCACTTCACCTTCCGTCGCACAGGGGCAAGCAGAAGAAAACATGGCAGTGTGTCAAAACCGTGTACCCCTGGTGAACATCAAAATAGCTGGTAAATGGATGTTCATCCCCCTAAAAATGGAATTAATAGGTATTGATCCATACCCACATGGGGGAAGTTGGCAGCCTCATCCAAGGACCCGGGACCAAACAGAGAAGCTCTTGCTTCGATCACAACGTCTACATGCCAGTTTCGCCATGGTGAAACAAGTGTACCGAGTCTTCGGCATCGCATAAAAACGATACCTCCACTTATGGCCAGTGAAGCTTGAAAATGCAGAAAGCATCAGATAGCTAATATTGAAATATATTGAATCTGCCGAGTCACCAGCGAATTTTGGGGTGCCATCTTTCCAAACAAACCCGTCGTGGGTCATTAAATGTCCCCATTTTTCACATCACCCAACCATGATCGGTATATGGTCTTTTTCATGGCTACTTACTATTTACGGTGATGTCCAATATTCCCAAAATGGGACAGTTACCAACCCCTGTTAACTAGGAACGTATGAAAGTGTCATCATTTTGGCTTTGTCTGAAAATGTCGTGTACCCCTTTTTACCCAATGGTTTTGCTGATCATTATCCCGTTTTTAAATGGCTATTTCATTGGGAATATACCAAATGGGTGATGTCCAATATTCCCAAAATGGGACAGTTACCAACCCCTGAATGGGAAAATTGCTAAACCCCAGTTGGTTGATGATGAGTTTTGGGGATGAATGGTTAACCCAATGCCATCTTTCCAAACAAACCCATCTCATCATATCCCCTGCAAGTTCACCTGGCTGCTCTTCCATCCCAAACAGCTGCACTGCGCGGCGCCACGTCGACATCTTCGACGACGTCGACGACGACGTCGACCCCACGGCGCCCAGCGCCGCGTTGCGCGCCACGCGCGAGGTGGAGACCTACCAAGGCAGCAGGGGCCATGAGTTGAAATTCCCAAGTTGTTGGTTGGTTGTATGCTGATATATGCTGATATATTGTAATGATTTGTAATATGTCTACATCATCAATCATCAAATCTCTGAGCTGAAACCTCCAAGTTGTTTCAATTTGTTGGCTGGTTATGCGTTTCAACCCCCGTTTTTAGTCGATGAGTTTTAGCTCGTGTATCAGTCAGCGGATTCACATCAACCAACACATCAACCAAAATCTACTGCAGCTTTTTTCATATTTTTCCCAGCTTGCATGCGGCCTTGTGGTAAGACATCTCTTGCAAACAACTCAGTGTCAAAGGCCATTCAGACTCGGCTGCACCTGAGAAGGACTGGTGGGATATCAACACATTGACTTCGTCTTCATGCACTGTTTGCAAGTCTGGGAAGTAATGTGGGTTGTTACATGGTAAAACAATAGTCAACCCCCCATTTGGGAATGGTTTATACCACCTATCTATGGTGATTTGGGGGATGGTTTATGGTATTTTTTTTACCCACATTATTATAGTTGGTTTCTTCATCATCCCAAGGCACTTGGCACGGGGTGGAAACTAAGAAAACATCGGCAGCGGGTTCCATGGAGGAAACGACTCAAGCGGACCGTGGATTGGCCAAGACACTCATCAGGGTACCGAAGCCCACCACGTCGCGTTGCATCCTGGTTCCGCTGTCACCAGACATCGAAAAACTGGGTGGTGGTTGAACCACTCATCTGCAGGATAGGAAATTGGGATCATTATCCTTATCAGAAACCTAAACTTGTTTCATGTATTGGTGTAAAACCAAATGGAATCCAAATAGTACTTTAATTGAAGTGGGTTGTGGATTAAAAATGATGGGCTTCACTACATGACTGAAGTACTACCCTCTGGTAAACGTTTACATAACTATGGAAAATCACCATGCTATTAATGGGTAAATCAACTATGTTCATGGGTCATTTTCAATAGCAAACTGTTAGTTTACCAGAGGGTAAAGTATACACTATACTAAACTGACCATTGAATCATCCAATCCCATCCCATCCCACCCCCCAAGGCGTCACCGCCTGCTCTTCCAGCTGCTTCGCAACAGCCACAGCGCTTGAGGCCAGCGAAGGCAGCTGGCCGCTCCGTGCAGACACACCAGGTCGCATTGCCAGCGCCTGCTGGATGTTCAAACGATTCAGTTCGAAGGCGGAATCACCATGTATGACCAATAAGAACAAGGGGTACGGTATGTCGAATCCACAAAAACTGGGAATCAGAGCAATTCATATAGTATGGCTCAACATCAAAATCCAATAAAAGCTCCCCAAATGATTGTAGATTTGATGAACAATGAACAGGGTCACATGGTTTTTCACCCCCAAGCATATTACTTGATGTACCTGGTCAGAGGCACCTCCTCAGCTGCTCCAGTAGCTGCAGCCCTTGCTGCCACTGCCGTGCAGTGACACAGGCGCTCAAGCCGTTGGAAGCACCTGGGACCGCGCAAGGACCAGAGAAAGTTGGATAAAAGGAGTCCCAAGTACAAACAGCACACAAAATCTGTGTATTCCCAGCAATTTCAAATCGGATTCGCTTGTCGACTTTTTGGCAAGTATGTGATACTATGATTTTTGCGGGTGTAAAATGGTGTAAAAGCCCAAAGTAAGGAAAAAAGGTCAGAGCTATGTAGCAAGATCTTCTACAATATGCACTATGCACCTGTTTCATCCTGTTTCATCCTGTTTCGATTGAGATTTTGTGTATCCCAAAGGACACAGAAATTGGGGCCGATCCCCCCGTATGAAAGATCTGGGGATCATCCAGGCGACGTACGGCATCAGATGGGTCCACGGTCCTTGGTCATGGGAGAGTTCCTGCATTTGTTGATAAACATGTGGAAACTATTAAAGAAACTTGTGGAAACTATTGAAACATACGAAAAACATGGGACATATAACAGAGGTCCTTAACAGAGCTTTATCATCTTTTTCTATAAAGTGGAAACATGTGGAAACTATGAAAGAAATACAGAGCTTTTGAGCTTTTTCTGTACATATCTATACAAGTCCTTTGAATCTGCAGCTCAGGATTCAAAGGTCTTGTTGGATTCTGAAGCTGAACTGGCAGCAAACTTACTGTATGTTCATCTCACGACGAAACAGCAGTTGCAACGCCTTTAAGAAGGCAGCCCCAAAATCCTTCAGCTCACCATGGGAGCCATAACAAATTCAAAATCCAATTTCGGAAAAGAAGGGCATTTCATCATCGTGTATCCATCATGAATTTCATGGATAGATTCACCATCATCCATGGATAGATCAAACCACTGATCTCCCACAGTAGTTTGACATAGCCCGAACCTCCATCGCTTTGATCGAGCTTCAGCTGTTTGAAGACTCGTCGCCACTGCCCCACTGATCCCTGGGTCTTCAGCACACCCCGTTGCAGCGCTGGATCGTTTTCCAGGCCTCATCGGGTCAGGGTCTCACTGGTGGATCAAGTTCGAAACATGTCGGAACTCCATGGGATTTGGAAGGAAAAGGTATGTCAGTTGCATGGTTCACTGAGTCTCTGAGTTGATGTTTGAAGGATATCTGCTTGGAAATCCGAATGTTTGAAATCCAAGCGTTTCGGGGTCTACAGAAACCTGAAAATGCCTATGAAAAGTGAAACGTCATGGAAAACTCTTCGGGAAAGCCTCCAGTCCAAACATCAACTGGGCGTATTCACCCGCACTGTTTCGCTGTTCTAGCCTCTACCCTCTGGTAAATTAACATAGCTATTGAAAATGGCCATTTATAGTGGATTGACCCATTGAAAATTGTTATTTTCCATAGTTATGTTAGTTTGCCAGAGGGTAATAATTACTGCAATCACCATTCTTCAAACAGGATCTAACCATCCCTACTGTCAACCCCGGATTAATAAACCCTGGTTGATTAATCAGGGGAATTCCCTAGTGACAACTTGCACCTAGACTGGCACCCCCCATTTTCAACAGCCTAGTGGATTACCATTCATCCGGGGTTGCCAATATACACATGGGTACACGATTTCATCCACAGGTTTCTTATCCTTTTCCATACAACATGGCTATAATTTGGGGTATACCGGGTATACCTCATTTTTTGACATACCCCGAATACCATACTCGTGATTGTATCATATCATATATCCGTTGTACTATGACTATATCATACTAAAAAAATATATCTTCCACAGAATGGTTGGTCTTGCAATTGGCCCCCTATCTTTTTGGGATTTTTTGGGGTTTCAACAACAAAAGCTTCATCCTCTCGCCAGTTCCGCCTGCTTTTCTGAGTCGCTCTTGCAGAAGGATGGCGAAACGCCACTGTCGACTCGCACCGCCCAGGAAGGCCGTCACGGTCTCGGACAGCGGAGACAAATCCGTGGGAAAAATGGGACAAATCCAGGCGAAGCACTGGAAAAACCATGGAAAACATAGGCAAACATCGTGGGAATCACTGAACATGTTATTTGGAATGATGTTCTAATATGTTCTAAAGGGGTGGTTTTAGATTCCCAGCTGAGTTTCGAAGCTTGGCAAAAAAAAAACATTGGCAAATCTAATTCTATCGAAGCCGCTGTCCCACAAATGGGGGAGAAAAAATATGAAGTGATCTACGCAAGGCTTTAGCCATCTATGCTACTCGTTTCATTGCCCAAATGTGGAGTACGGAATCTAAAAAAGAATCCAATGGTAGTGAAGTCACTTGTTTCGCCCACGCGACTCCCATTAAGGCTTCATCCCATCTCTGGAAGCCCCCGACCTTTGATTGAAAATAGTGAAAACCATCTTCCAATAGAAGACCTGAGCAGCAGGAATCTCCACATGGTCAGCCAACATCCCAAACTCCAGGATCCTGTCACCAATGATGCATGTTCCCCTGAAAAACCTCTGATGACAAACTCCACCAGTGTGGTGTCAAGGCACGGAAGGCAATGTCCCAGGACTGCTGAGTCACCTACAAGCAGACGTGTTGCAGGTCACTATAATAGGGCTGGGGTACATTCGGCAAGTAAGGATCGAATAAAGAACTGCGAAATCAACAAATTGGTTCAATGTTTGATCAGTGCTTTGGGTTGGTGGCTTGAAGTCTAAGGACCCAAAGTGAGAATACCCTGGGCATTAAGGGGCATTAAGGGGCGACTTTAAACCACCAACCACCAACCCAAACCACCACTGGATTGACCATTCCATTCTGGGGGCCACCTGGAACGATTTAAAGACCGCGAGGAAGCTCACTTCGTCCGGAACGAAAAAACGATGCTCCAAACGCCTCGGCGAAAAACACTGGACGATGACAGCGGATAAAGGAGACCAGCGATTTTTGGAGACCCTTTGAAGAATCCTGAAGAATCTGCTCCCTAGAATTGAGTTCAGCTTCAATGTGAATATTCCTTTGGGATTAGATGCCAGTCTTCGGCAAACGCCAAGTTTCTTCAGATGCTGCACCGCCATCTGCCAGTGCGCTCCATTAGAGCCAGCAGCGGTGCCAGCCGCATTGAAAATGACAAGATTCAAACGCTGCTTGACCTGTGGCCACCCAGGAATCAGCAGAGTTTGTGGTACAAGTTTTAGATAGGTGCAGCTGAAGATTGGAATAGATTGGGTGTCCCAAAGTTGGATGATGTGCTGAAAATGCCCAACATCTGTGGTTGCCAGCGGCCCTTCTGCCCACAGCCACCTCTGCCAGGCTCCTGAGGAGCGACTGCGCCCACTGCCAGGAGCTGTGGGAGGTGGAGATTGCAGCGCTGGCGCTGACCTGGGATGCCCCACCAGTGATGGCGGTTTCACCCACAACTTTGGCGACAAACAGCTGCCAGGAGGACTTGATTTAAAGGCCCACATTCTGTGAAGGAAGTGCTTTTGGACACCTGCAAGACCACCTTCTGCCGAACAGCTCTACCTGCTCTACCTCTTCCAACATTCAGTCAGCAGGCTGCGCCAAATTCGAGTCGTCTCTGAGGCAAGGCAAAAAGGATTGCCTCAGAATGCCAGGTCGCACCAGAGATCAACAGCCCCCAGAACTCCACGTGGAATGTACTAGATCTGGCTTTTTTAGGGTAGCGGCTGGGTAGCGGTTTGCAGGGTTAAAACCACAAGCGATTGGTTCTACATTCACAAAATCAACTTGCCTTGCCTGGAAATGTCTCTGTTCACAATCAAACTCTTGGAACCCAATGGAGAATGTTTCAGCAAGCTTCCAGTACTATTTATAATATAAGGGAGTCCCAAAGGCATGGCACGAAAAAGCAACAGGCCATTGGAATTTCATGGACAACCTTGAACATCAGCATGTCAGATCAGGCTCAGATATAGTAAAGTACTGAACCAGGCCATTGCAAACAAAATGAAGGTCATCATTTCTGTGATTTTTGACATGTTTTTTCCACCTGGCGCTCAAAAACACACTCGTAGGTGTGGGGCCGTTCATTCTTCACAGCGCCCAAAAGGTTCAATGATTCAAGATCATCAATATACCGGATATACCACAAAAATTGTCATGAATGGACAAACACCTACTTAGATGGGCCCTCCTGGTATTACTTATACTGTATAACTTAACTGCTTAGGAATTGGATTATAACTGGTTCAATATCCAGTTACTAACTAGTTAAATAGTCCCATGGCCTATCTAAGTAGATCCTCGGCAAATTCCATGGCGCTTCGGGTCCAAGCCGCAGAGGCTTTGTGCCAAACAGCGCCCCGCAAGATGGGACTCCACAAAAATTCATCCGGTGAAACCTGGCAGGTTTTGACAGTGCCATAGGTGCCATAGCCACTGTCACCAATTAGAAAAACGATTTGGGAGGCTAAGTTCTATGTTTAAATATGTTTCAATGATCCTAAGTAGGGTTAAAATAGGGGTACAAATACAATTAAACAAGAAAACACAACTTCACCACTGTGGTGGATCCTACAGTATTTACTGTGAACTTGATGGCAGCGGTGCGCCTTGGAACGCACGGCTGCTTGGAGTGCCATGACAGCCATGGGCCAATGGCCAGCTTTTTCACACGCACCTCAACGGCTGAAGTAAAGGGGTCAACGTCCACCAAAGGAGCTGCTGCAAATGTCAAAATATGGGTCCCTAAAAGGATTGAACAATGATGAAAAATGGATCACACGCATCTTTGTTGGAGACCCCTATGATAGCCCTATAGTCAGTCGAAAATCTCAACCCAAGTCATTGATATAAGGGAGGGGACCCTTTTGTTTTTGTCGGTGTCATATCTCTTTTCCAAATTGACACAAATTTAAATCGTGAAAGGACGGCTCTTCTGATCGAATATTATATCTTCAGGCAGATTGCGTCCTGAACGTGCCTAGTGGGGCAAACAAATTGCTAGTAAAGTCAATTGTGGTCAAGTTGTTCCTTCTCCATCTGGAGGCGTTTGCGGTTCATTGAAAGAAAACAACGTGTTCTTTGGCATTTGGTTGTCAAAGTAACTTGGATCTGGACAAAATATATCCTTGGCAATGTACGTTGAAAATCATTTAAACTCTAGAATGAACACACCCAGCAGCACGCCCACTCTAAACACCCATCATCACCACTCAAGCACCCAAGCCAATCCAACCACCACACGAAGTCTGTTGATGCCATGCCGCTATTCGTGGTGCACAGCAGAACTGGATCCAAAGGCGTTAGCCTCACACAGCTAGGGCTGGGACATTTAGTCGTGGGGGGCACGTCTTGGCAAAAGATGAATGGTGGCACAAGGAGAATACAATTGCAGCCCGGGGTTAGGAGGTTGCTAGCAGCCGTTGCAAGGATGGAAATGTGGCAAGAACATCCCAAAAGGAAGATTTTGCATCATCTTACAAATCCCGGTGTCGGGTACTTACAAATAGCATGGTTTCACTGACTGTTCCAGGGCCCTTTGTTTTGACCCAGAGCCATTTCCCCTTGCCTCTTCGTTCGAAGCTCTGAGAGTTGTTCCAAGCCGCTTGGCCAACGGCCACGCAGCTTGGCTGCTCCTGGGCTGGGGCAACACATCCAAGGGAGGTCAACCACCATAGAACGGGAGGGGCCAAGCCCAACAACATGCAAAGATGGCTATGCATGAAAACCCTGGTACCCTGATAAAGATCAAAATATCTGGATGTTTATGCCACCAAGTATGATATTATAGATCCCCGCATCAGAATGCTTTGGAAGAAGCTGTGGTGAATTTCCAAGTGAGCACAGCAAGCCAAGCTTCCACGAGATCTTGAGTGGCATTCGCTTCCCTGCGTCAGACACCCATCCACACGATCTCACCCCAAATAGGTGGTTCCTTATGAGTTGTCACATTGACATCTCCTGGGAGGTTTACTTCTCCACCTGTACTCCTCAAGAACCTTGTCCACTTAAGCTCCTGTGTGGTGGTCAACTTCCAGGCCTTCGCCCTGGGCCCGCCAGCTCGCACCATGGCATGAGGCCACGGACTTCAGCTCCGGGCAGTGCGGAGAAAGCTGCAGAGCGGTAGCTGGAGCTTGGCTTCCAGTCTAGGGAAATACTGAACAACAGATTTTTGAAAAGACACTCTGGTAAGCTGGCTGCAAAATCCCTCCTTATCTGTTGATTTACAGATTCTGTTCTCATTTAAAGAAGAAGAACATGTGTTGTTTCTTTGACATGGAACTGATTGCCAGAGGGTAATCTCTTGGCCACTTTCTATGAAGCCCTGGGGCCCCAATTTTGAAAATAGTCTTCAAAGACATCTAACTATCATATGTGCTTTGGAAAGCCTTGACACTAGCTCCTTGGCTCACGGTTTTGTTAAAAGAAATGGGAGTTTCCATAGTCATGGAGGTACCCCAATAGCTGGATGGTTTATGGAAAAACCCATCGAAAAACAATGGATGATAACTGGGGGTACCCAGTAAAACTTAGTAAATCTTAGTAAACCTCCTTGAAAAGTGATTAACTTTTTGGCTGTTCCATGTTTTATCATGTTTTATAAACCATCCTAAGCGAGCCACTGGGGATCCCCCATGGAACCCACTGGCGCCACTGGGGAAAATCTGGGGACCCTGGACCCTCCAGGCTCTTCTTCTCCTCTGCCGTGGGTGGCACCACCATGGCCTGATCCAAAATGAAGCGTAGCCGGGCACAACTGGTGCCAGGCGCGTAAGGCAAGGCGCGTAAGGCGCGTCAAATTGTGGGGGAGTTCAACAACGACAATGCGGTGATATTTACATGGTGATTTTCCATGTTATTTAATGTTATTATATAATAATAATTAATGGTTAAGAATTGCAAAAAAAAATCAGGGATTCTTGGGGTTTGTTTGTTGAAAGACTTTGAGATTTAAATAGAGATATGGCCCACAGAATGGGATTGGCTAATCTTCAAGAAAAGGTGAGTTCCCTCGCCAGTTTATAGATTACCAATTATCACCACAGGTTTAACTCATAGAGAACCCAAAATTGGAAAGTTGCTTTCAAACTAGAGAAATTGTAGAAAAACAAAGGAATGGCACAACGAGACAGAAATTGGGCTCTGCTGCGTGATAAAGAACGAGCTTGGGATCATGATTTCATATGATTTCCATATTTCCATCCATATTTCCATCCAAAGTTCCATCCATTTCTTCATCCATTTCCCCATCCATTTCTCCAATTTGGCTATAATGTGACCCATCATTCGACCCGTCGCTGCCGGAACCGGTGCCTTCTTGCCGTTGAGCTCCGGAGCCTTGGCCAAGCCCTTGATGATGACCTCATCTCCTGGCCTCGGTTGACCAAAAATGAGGACTTCACGATTTGCCGCAGAAAAAATCTCAAAAACAAAGGGATTGAAGTTGATTTGGGTTGATGAACATGATTTAACTACCACCAAGAATGGGGATTTAGATGGATTTCACATGATTTAACATGATTTAACTACAAAAAATTGGGGATTTCGCCAACGAAAACTAAGATGAAATCTCAACAAGAATTGGCGTCTCGGAGTCTCCGTTTTGCAACGACTTCTGTATCATCTCGGAACTTTCTGAAACCGGCCCTACTAGGGACCTTGTTGGACTCCTGGATCAGAGCGGCTCCACTATCAATGACAAAAGAACATGACTGGTTAATATACCTGGTTAATATATGGTTAATATGTGTTAATATTAATGGTTATTATATGGTTAATGATGGTTAATATTGTATCTGGTTGGTGGTTGAGCCCTACCCCTCTGAAAAATATGAGTTCGTCAGTTGCGATGATGAAATTCCCAATATATGGAAAAATAAAATTCATGTTCCAAACCACCAACTAGCATAAAATAGCAATGTGCTTGGTGACTAGTCTCAAAAGCTCGGTTCACGAAATGCTACGTTCTGCCTAGATCATTTGACGTTTCTTTGGCCATGTCACCATTTTAGAATAGGGAGACGTTCCTCTCCTCTGTTGGCCAGGCAACTTCCATCCCACATCCCTTTCCACTGCATTTTTTTCCGCAGCCCAAACAATGGTCGTTCTCCTCCTCGACGTGTCATGGCAGACCTTTTCCACAGCTCAGCCGCCGAGGTGAAGGCTTCAACATCATATCCAGCGGTGAGGCGCCCCAGGCAGGTCATCTTGGGTCAGCAGAAAACATATCAATCTCGAAGGACTGAAAGGGCCAAGGCCATTAGCATCCTCATCTCTCCTATGATGTCCAGTATCGGCATGGGTCGGCAAATTGTCGAAGTCACTCTTTCAGAGAGTGTAGCAGGGACCGTGCTATTGCTGCCCCAAATCATGTGACAAGTGCCTGCTTTGCCCATGTGCATGCAGCAGAAAGAGGATGTCTCCACAGAATGAGCATTGCATTTCAATCGGCAAATATCGAACAGTTTCACCTTCTTCCATGTTTTCTTCTTTGCCACTTGAGGGATTGCACATTTCGCAGCATACTTTGGCGGAAAACACAGATTCTTAAGGCTATCTGCCTTCACCAAAAAACGTGACGTGGCCAGGACCATCTGCTTCAGATTGTCATCTCTAAAAGTATCATTGAAGAAATTGCATTTGTTCATCTGCTGCATCGTTGAAAGGACGGCCTTCGCATCCTTCTGTAGGGTCCGCGCGAAGTCATGCATCCCTAACACCACCTGCGCCGTTGCCAGTGTTCGAATGGTCAGGTGCAACAGCCTTCGCCCCCAGCGTTTCCGCGACGGCGCACATTTCACCTCCGCGGTGGCCTTTCGTTTCATCCCAAAACGCTTTAGTTCCAACTGCAGCTTGGATCCCAGTGGTGCCTGCTGCACAACCTCCAAGACATCTGCCACGGAACGCACCTCCGTGGTGTTGACCGCCACAATTTCATCCAACCACCAGAGTCCCCTGGTGGAAATGGAGGGCCACCAGAGCCTGACACCTTGGGAGGACACGCCCAAACCTGCATTGGTGGACAGGGGCCATACCAACTTGGCTGCCCCCAAATGCTCTTCGATGCCAATGCTGGAGGCTTTGGCGCCGTGTTCATCCCTCAACTGTGGCAAGATGACCTGACGACTCTGACATGTTAGTGAGCCAAGCCCTGAAAAATCATGGAGAGTGATGGAGAGTGTATAGAAAAGTTATAGATTTGGAATCGCCATCCCGTTTTAAAGAAAACAAACATGCAGAAACATTGAACTGAACCTACCAAGCAGCCTGAAGTGTGGAAGTGCTTACAGCAGCCGTCAACAGCGGCGTGCTTTGGAACTGCCAAGTGGTGATGCCAATGACTTCGCCGCGTCGATTGATCAACGGCCCACCACTGCTGCCGGGCCCTGCAGGCACCGAGGCAAAGACCATGCCATTCACCGCGCAGCGCCGCTGGAAATCCTGCAGGGCCAGCCACTTCTGCACCGCCCGGGAGCTCTCACGTCCCACACCGGTGACGGAACCTACACCCACCAGCCAGGCCCAATTGCCCGGATGCCCCACGGCCATCACTTCTTCACCCAGTCTTGGTGAAGATTTGGACAGTGGCAACGGTTTTGGCAGTTCAAAGGCAGTCCCAGAAGGCCCAGAGCAGCTGCTGTTTTTCAGCTTCAATAGCGCCACATCGCACCGTTCAGATGTGGCCACCACCTGCGCCCGGCAAGCGCCGCCATCGGCGAAGTGCACAGCTAAGAGCGAGGACATCTGCACCACATGGCTGTTGGTCACGATATGTCCATCAGCGTCCCAAACAAAACCTGATCCATGGGACCTTGCCCATGGCCTCCAAAGGTCCATAGCCCTCACCAAGACCACGGATTGGCTGGCGATGGCACCCACATTGGTTCCAGGCCATAGCCACTCCAGGTATCCACAGAAACGCGGTAAGGAAACCCACGAGAGACTGCGGCGGATGACATACGCCAGGGCTAACACGCAGAGAAGCCGCAACACCACAGGGGATTTCCAGGCCTTCATTGCGACGCGCGAGCTGCAAGCAGTCACAAAAACCACCAGTCACGAAGCGTCCAATGATAAAGTGGATAGAGGGACACGCTGAATACTCAAGAAAAAATGGCAATGGCTCAAAATCAGGCACTAATGAATGAACCCAGAATCAGTGTGTTTCTGGTCTCAAACCAAAGCACACCCTAGTCATCAATGCATCAAAGTTCGGTTTTTCATGGTTTGTCTGAAAAATGCAGAACCCCATTCAATTCTAATTTCCCATGGTTTGTCTGAAAATTCCCAAATTTCCAATGAAAGTTCTCATCATTTCCCATCGAATTTCCCATAGACCCCGAAGAGCAACTGGCTCTTCAAAATGATGTCCTGATAGGTAAAGTCCTATCAAAACAGCACACTAATAATAGCTGAATCAAACTCATTGCTTCGAAAAATATCATATGCCCATCAATAGATGGAGAAAATGTATATTCTGGTTATTATGGAATATATAATATTTATACATTGTTGAATAATCTGACCAAACTAACTATAGCCTATACCCATCCGTTGTTGGTTCTTCCCCAGCCCCGAACACAAAACAAACGGCACTGCCGAGGTCGCTACTTATACCTGGGTGCAGCTGCACCCGATGGAGGCATTCCAGGCATGCCAGGCATGCCCGGCATCTGAGCAAGAATGATTGTGTAGCCATATATATATATGAGACATTATACGTATATGTCAATGTAGATGTAGAGATATACACCTATCATCATCTATAATTATTCTATTGTAAGCTACTTTTAGATTATACACATACTGCATCGTGTATAAATGTCCCAAGTATAGAATAAGTTGAAGATCGTTGTCACAAATCTATGAAAAGGAAATCCAGGATATCACTATCACCTATCAAAACTCGTGTAAACCTCTGTTTGTCATTTTGAGATTATACACGGATGCAAAACAAATACCGTGTCTCTGAAAAATATATCTGCAAACATCAAACTGATTCTGTGACAGTCACGAGCAACATCCAAATGCATGGAATCCACGCAAGACCCACACACCTGGATCCCTCAACCAATATATGGACATAAAGGATCAAAAAGGATGAAACTTGTAGGGTTTCTTGACATTGTCCCTATCTTTTAAAAAGCTACAAGTAGCTATCATATTCCCCCCTGAAATTGAAAAGATTGATGTATTAGACTCACCTTCACCACTTGATTTATCTCGATTTACCCAGCTTTACCCAGACTTCCTGATGAATTTTTCGGTTGAAATCCCCATTTCCCCAGATCCAAACCAGGGCCCCTGGTGGGGCCCCTGGGGGCCCCTTGGGGCCCCAACTCCTCCAGGCATTCCTCCAGGGCTCATCTGATTCATCCAGGCCTGAACTCCTCCAGTGGCCTTGGAGAATTTCTCCAAGATCCTCCCGGGCACTGGTTATGTCAACAGTTTGCTATTGAAAATGGCCCAGTCGAAATAGTTGGTTTTCCCATGTTCATAGCATGGTGTGATTTTAACCATAGTTATGTTACAAATTACCAGAGGGTATACAAAGTACCAGCTATACAAGCTATACCATGTTGTCTTCAAGCTTTCTTGGGCTCGGACATTTTTTGGGGCTATGAAAATAAACTAGTTAGATTAAAACCCGTTGGTCATGTTGGTACCAACTAAAACAGGAGGTTTTGGGCATGGCACAATCGGCATGTTGGTTAATGCTCTCTGGTCGGTTGAGCCGCCCATCTCAAACATATGCCGGCAAATATGGGATGGCCATCCACCTTGTGGACATGGAACATCATTTCTTCAACTAGCAGTGCATGGTTTAGTAAGCTTAGTACTAATTATGGCAGTGATTCAATCATATTCACCCCAAGAATTGATGGTTTAGTACTAAAAGTGGCCAGCCATCTCTGTTCAGGATTGTACCCTATCACTTGGGTTGCAATATGTTCAATGGATCTGCTGTACTGTTGTTTGCAAAAGAAAACTTCCCAAAGTCAACCTAGTCACTCATCATTCACCACTAGGTTTACCCAGTTACGTCCATCTTTTTGTACATATGATCACATTGCTTCACCCTTCACATCTAATGTGTCTTAGCAAAATCCCCAAAAGTTCACTCAATGGGTTGGTTTATATACAGAGAATCTAGATCTTACACATGTTTGCCATTAAAAAAAAGGGGTTCCTTCACATCGAACCGCAGATGTTCATCCCATTCCGGGATGCTTGTCATCATGTCATGTCCATGTCGTCGTCCTCTCATCGTTCTCGTACTTCTTCATGGCCGACAGGCCGTTCTTCTTCACATCTTCGAAGAAGTCCTGGTAGCGCCAGAAATGGCGCTAGGTGTCAACAGTGTCAACCGTGAAGGATTGGGTACTGTACCAAATTGCTCAAATTGGAACCCCCCGAATTTGAGAAACCAAGTTTTACTCAGGGCTAACGTCATCGACTCTTTCATTTGGCAGCTGTCACTAAGTATCAAATATAAGATTTAAAAAAAAAAATAGTTGAGTGGTATCTAGTCATGAAAATTGGGAGGGCGTCTTCCATCGGGTCCACTCAACAACATATGTCATAACACTCGCACTCCAACACCTTCCAACCCTCTCGAAGCTCCTTCAGTTCAGGATCATCCTTCAGAGCCTCCACGGCTTGTTCGGTCATCTTCTGGTACTCCTAAGAATGCACCGCGAAAGGTCCGTGCCGCTGACCCGTCGCTGGCACTTCCAGTTCCAAAAAAAAACTGCCCTGCCAAATGCCAAAGACCGGTTTTTTCTTTAAAGAAAAAGTGATTGACGGTCAGCAAATGGATGAATTGGATGAATTGCCCCTTTGCTCTTTTAGCTGGAAGAGTTAGTCCAGCTCCCCCGTCCTCAACGGCTTTTCGCTTCTGAGGATCCTGGGCAGATGGGAAATCACCACCGATTTTCGAAGTGAGGTTGAAAAGCCCCATGCCCAACCACAGCAAAATCTGAGAGTGCCATTTTTGGTCGTCAGAAAATCAGAAAGACTGCCAACTTTGTCATATTTTGTTCATCTTTTAAGTCCATGTTGTGTTGTCTGGATTGGTTGCTTCGTGAACTCTGAACAGTCTTTTTTCCAAACCCTGGCGCCCCGAAAGCCTGGGGCAACGTAGTGGATCTGTTCATTTTGGGGTCCCGTGGCCCCATGTTGGGGGTTGCATCATGAACCAATGGGATATCAAATCATATTGCATCAAACTCCAAATTTTGGGAAAAAAATATGTGTATGTAATATGATGTGTAATATGATTTAATATCTACATCAATGTAATCCATTCATGAAAAGAAAGGAATCCAATAATCATAATAATCCCCAACATCTTCTGGTAGCTTTTTAGGTGACTCTGAAATCCTCCTGAAATCCTCCCGAAATCTCGCACCTTCATGATCTGCTCCATTTCGGCCTGCATCTGCCTTGGGAACGTGCAGGCCCGGGTGGTGAACTCAGCCTCTGATATCCCTAATTTGGTGGATAAAGCAACCTTTTTGGATAGTGAAGTCTAAGAGATTCTACAGTTAGTACATTCTAAAGTTGGTTCACATTGTTTTTGGGATGGCTGATTCCAAAGTTGGTTGGCCAAGATGCCAAGATCTGGACTTATTATGCTGGTTATGTCCCTATTGTCGGTGCTTTGCCGTTGATCTCAACTCCCAGCATCATCCATGATGAGTCACACTGCGGCCCAAGCCAAAAAAGATATGGGTCCCATTTCTATCCTGGAATGGTCGGAGAGCACTGTAATAAACTCTTCAAAACCAACCGCTGCCCTGGTCATACATGGGTTTGTCCAAAAATGGAGAGTACCCTATACCCAATTTCATGGCTACTTCAATGGAAGAAGTCTGATAAACCATGGGATGTGTTTCCAAGGAAATTGGCCGAGAAACTTCACCTTCTCGGGATCTTTCATCATCTCCTGACCCAAAAAAGATCACTGTGGAAGAGCCAATCCATCAAGATCCAGCTACCAAATATCCCATTTATGTATGCATTGAAAGGTCTGGTGAGGAATATGAAAAAAATCCCGGCCCTAATCTATTAGGTTCTATCTATATATCCAAATTTTGTGCCATTGTCCTGAGCTTTTGAAGTAACAACGGTTGACAATGCTGGTATGTTGGTCACGAAGGTCCTCGAGGTCCGCCATGTTTGCCCTGTCATCAGCCGTTTTGCATCGTGTTCCTACTAGAAAGTTGTGAGGTCATGTTGAAATTGTATCAAATTGTGGTACCCTCTGGTAAACTAACGTAACTATGGAAAATCACCATTTCTTATAAAGGGTAAATCCACTATTTCTATGGCCATGTTCAATAGCTTTTTGTATGTTTACCAGAGGGTATAATTCGTGGCTACCAAGGTAGCCTTCCTACCAAGCTGTTCGCCTTCCTTTTGTGGCTACACCGTGCAACAGCCCAACACCTGTCCCAAGGGGTGCCCCTGGATGACCAAAAAACAAGACAGCCACACCCGGCCATGTCCTTCACGGATGCTCTCCTGGTACAACACATACTGGTGGTTTTCCCCATCTTGAAAAGTATTAGTCCTTGGGAAGGATTCTCCCATATATTATGGAAAATAAGAAATGTTTTTTCCTCTCGGCGCTACGGGGCTAGGCTGGGGTTCGCAAAAATAAAAAATGTTCCAAAACACCAACCAGCATAAAATGACTGGTTGGCGACATGCAACAACATGCTTGTGACAAGAAATGGATTCAGTGCGCGTTGATGCAACTCACACACCATGGGGAATCGCTACCTTGTGACAGTTTGGTTGTCCAAAACTCGACCAATGACCTGGAAAAGAAGCCACTCCCCCGGTTTTTTCTTGGTGGCTCCTAAGGGATGAAAAGGACTGACATGGCAAACATTGAACCACAAATAAATTGTCATTCACCCGTCACCAAAGAATTGCTGCAAACCCAAACCCATAAGCCATACAGCATTTATCATTACTATCAAGTTACCTTTGTGAAGTATTAAAATCCA